CTGGAGGTAATATTTATAGTTTTTTGACAAAAAATAGACATTTTTTTTAAGAAAAATAAAGGATAATGTAATATTGGCAGCAAAGTATTCAGGGAAAATGAAAAAGTATCAATATATGTAGTATAGTTTTCAGCGCATATGAATAATTTATTTTTGAATTTTTAACACTTTTCAATCACATCCCCTGAACATTAGTTCATCAAAATAATTAAATTAAACGTTTTTGTAAACCCTCTAATCTACCAACTCCCCTTTCAATCAATTCCCTCACGTTTCGCTTAGGGTCTATGTGTCTTATTTTTCACTCAATTGCCATTGCCCCAAACTAAACCAATGTGGCGTATGCGTAATCCCGGACAGCAACAATCGACAAATTGCACAGCGGCAAACAGAAAATTCTCGCTACGTGACACGCAACTATTTTTGTTTGTTTACAGCTCAGTGCAATTTTCATTTGTCAAAGGAGCATGGACACGGGTGGAAATAGAGAGAGTGGAAAATAGGAAATGTGAAATGTGTTTACCCATGGTACATTAGCAGACAACATTTAAGGTTTTTTTCTCTTTTCTACAACCCAGTTTTTGTTTTTTCTGCTTCACTTTTACCAAGGAAACACAGCTCATGGTAAATTAATTGCATCGTATGCACCATTTACTGATGTTTTCGCACTCTTTTTGATTTATTCCCGCTGATTGTGCACTTAATTATATAGAAAAAAGTGTTAGCAATTGAGGGGGTTTGCGCGTAATATTATATAAATAAATTATAAAAAAGTGTAAACATAAATGATTAAATGTAATCCTTCGTATTTTGTATTTATGTAATGAAATATTCAGTAGGAAGTTGTGGTTTGTGCATGGAAATGCTTTTTTTGTCAGGGGGAATCCCCCATATATAGAGTAAAGAACATAAAGTTGTTGGGCAAGAATGTCAACAACAAACAAATGGCCGTCGCAGTCATAACACTAAAACTTTCGTTGCTCTCTCTTTTCCGCTATCTGGCCCAGGCAGCAGTAAATGAAATTTATTTAAAAACATTACAAGTACACCAAGCTGCGGCCAGAAACTAAATGTTTTGTTCTTCTCACTGCCAAACCATTGAAATTCATTCATTTTTCTCAACTTCGTTGAGTAAGCATGTGCGAAATTCATTAAATCGATAAATACTTGAACTTCTGCCAATGTACTCGTATACCAAAGGTTCAAAAGAAACTAGTTTGTTGGCTTTCTTCTATGCCTCTGGCTGAGATTTGTATTTATTGGAGAGAGAGAGGAAAGAAAGCATACAAGAAGTTATCAACAAAAATTGCAGCCAAAAGGCGCCATCAGCAGCAGAAAAATACTTATTTATTTTGTTTATTTAATGTCCTCAAAGCATTTTCTAAACGATTTTCTTTGGCGTGTGTGTGTTTCTGTTCAAAGCAATGGGAAAATCGCCTACAAAAACGAGGAAAATTTGCATTTCTCTATTTGCTAGCTATAAGTATCTCTTTCAGTTTCAGCTTTCAGTTTCTTCTTTTTTATTTAAAAGGGGTTACCTCTTTAAAAATAACCTTAACTAGTAAAGATATTAAAAACTCTCATTTATGTAAATAATCACCTGTCATATGCACTCTAAGCCGGAAAGTATGCAACATTTTTGGTTACCTCTTTTTAGTGTGGTGGATTTGACTGGATTCACTTTTTCAGCTGTGACTAGGACATTTTTGCAAATGACATCCATGTCGGCTTACCTACGAGTATTACTCACAATCTGCCTAGAAAGTCTTTGGCATTTTGCACGGCACATTACCCATATCCCTTTTTCACAGAAGGTGTGTGCAGCAAATGCCATGACAAGGTCTCTCCTTTTGTCCCTTCAATTTTCCCTCATATATACATCTTTGGTGCAAACATTTGTTTTACACTTTGTCGAACGTTTTTTCCTATTGACTTTTCTTTTACTGTTTTTCTGTTAGGTTGCTCACTTTGCTTTTCCGACAGTTCAAGCTTCTCAGTTGCCTGTAAGCTGCTTACGATATTTACGATGACGATGTCTTGGATTTTCTGGGGAACAATTAGGGAATTACTGTCTTGTTTTTAGAACTTTTCTTTTGGGTTTTATTGGTGTAATATTTGTAAATAAGTATATGGTAGAAGAATTTCCTGACTAAATCTACAAAACTTTCGCAAAATGACATTCAAAATAGCTTTTAGTCACCAGCTGCATTTTCCACTTTTAATCATCTCCTTGAGGAAACTCATTCGGGCAGAGTGGAAAGTGTTCCTTAACTAATTGTTTTTTCCAACAAACCCCGCTGACAACTTGGCCAAAAGTTGTTCGTGTCATAAGTCGGCAAAACTTGGCAATAAGACTGGCTAGGAAGAGAGCAAGTCTGAACTGATTGCTGAGGCCAAAACAAATCCAGATTAATCGAGGCAGCTGACCCATTCCCATAATTTGTCATTCAGCTGTTGTTAACTGTTAACAGGTTTTGGCTTTTAGACCAACTGCAATGGAAATGGCTTATGCACGTGAAATGTGAGGTGGGCTTAATAGGTGTGAGCTGGTTGTCTGCGTGTTGGTTAGCCACACATGTACTCAACTTTTTGTGGCTGAGTGTCGTGTGAACGTGTGAAAGAATGTGTGTGTGTGTGTGTGTGTGAATGCGTGAAGCCAAAAATGTCGAACAACTTGCAACAGCAGCAAAAAGTTTTTAATTCACAGCTACAAGTCACACGTGGAACTGCATAAAAAATGGTAAAACATTTTCCAGTTTTTAAGCTGCGGAAATTCTAATTGGTGAACGTTAATTTGATTGTTTGGAAAAATGAAAATGCATTTTCCGCTAGAATTAGAAGGTTTTTCATAATCGTAAATAGATTTTGATTTCAAATCGATTTCGTACTAATTTGATTTTGTTTCGGCCAGCAATCTAAGCTCTATGTCATGGCTAATTGCAAATGCACTTAGCAGCCATGCAATTTCGCACTCTCTCTCTCTGAGCCCCATTTGCATGTGGAGCTTGCACTGGGCCTCCTTGAGCTGGGGATTCTCCGCACCGCCTTGCAATGGCAATCAAAATTTTCCATCTGCCTGCCAATCCGTGCAATTCCCCCACAAGGTTGCACTCCCACTTTGTTTTCATTTCCTGCTTGCGAATAAATAAACGAAATTTTGGCCGAAAATGTGAGCTCTTTGTGTTGTTGGTGTATTGTTTAGATTTTTCAAGGGGTTATATTTTTTTGTTCCTTATTGAAGGATAATAAAAGTTGCATAAACAAGGCAAAGATTGTGTTTTGCTTGAGAGGCAAAAATGTTTCGTTTAAGTTTTTTGTGCCAACAAAATAAATTGCCCGAAATTACCACATTAATCGTTGGCTAGACTTGGCTTCTACCGTTGAGAATAACTGCCAACATATGCAAATTTATGACTCGCTTACTCTTGTTCTAAAAAGTTTGTTAGTTAAATTTTGTGATGGACGAGAGTCAAAGTCAGAGAGTCCTGTGTGCCTCGGCAGGATTAACAATAAAAATGGCAGCCATAAAAGCGAGGTTGCGTCTGGGACTTTCCTCTTTTGGGAGCACAAATTTTCCAGAGTTAAAAGCTAGTTTTCAAAGCCAAAGAAATTGCATTCAAAATGTGATTTGCAACCCGCTTAATGTTAGGTGATATAGTTCCATAGTTTCTTTAAGCTTTCGCGGCTTCACCAGTTTGATGCCAAAATACCACACATTCTGGGAAAAATGTTTGCGGGTCTAGCAACATTTTAATTGTTCTTCTTTTTTTTGGCCGCCTGCGGTTGTAAATATCTTGGCAGCAGCTGGTTGCACGGACATGTGCCAAGTTGCAATTGCCAGGCAGGAGGCATCCCGAAATGGCAGCTAAGAGCCGCCAAAATAGGAGACGTTTCCTGCATGACAATGAGCGAAGAAGCCAAGAATCTTTTGTTCAAAAAGAAAAATAAGTCTGCTGCTGGGGAGAGATTTTTCATAGCAGAGACGTGTTTGGATGAAATTATTTATCATAATGCGATGCCTTAAAAGTCAAATAAATGTTGAAGTTAACCAGTTGGGAAACCAATAAGGATTGCCGAGAGACCCCTTTTTTAAGCCCAGCAAAATTCCACATATTTTTAATTGAAAGATATATAAAGGAAGGTGGATAAACCTTCTTGAACCCTTCTTCCCATCTTCCAGCTATTGTTCACACAATCACCGATCATTTATCAAAAAGTGCAGCTTTGGCTTGTCAAGCGGACCAACGCTCGCCCTCTGCCATATGCATCGAATTATTCATTATATTGCTCTTTTATAATTTATTTTATTTCCTTTCGCTGTATTTTGATTTGTATTGTTCCATAAATCCATCAATCATTACTTTCACTTTGCACTTTAGTTTCCATTTGTTACACACGTCAAGTTCGTCTCACTTTCACTTTAAGTGTCGTTTGCCGTTTCCGGTTTCATCCGCCTTTTGCTGTTGTTCACTTGACGGTTTATCACCGGCTTCTGGCGCCAAGGCCCGACACGATTTGGTTGGTAGTCGTTCTCGTTTCGAAGTCGAACAATTCGAATCTGTGTGCAACCGGCTTTTTTGGTCAACAAACAGCTGATGTGGCAAGCTGCACGTGGCATGGTCATAAAGCTTTCTGGGTGTTTTGGGCGGTGCAGAGGGGTTTGTTTATGTTTAGCTCGAGCGAGGTGAGGTTTGTAGATTTGTGGAAGTTTTATGAACTTTTGAAATAATATCTTTTAGTAAGTTGAAAGCTATTTCATAACCATAAGTCTTATAATTTTTAAGATATAAAGAACGAATTTCATAAACTTATCAAATAAGTCCTTAAATATTTTTTCCTGCCATTATAAGTTTGTAAAAATCCCCTTCACATCACCGGAATTTTAATGTATTTTTTAATTGTACTTATTACCGCCTAATTAAAGCGAATAATATAAAAATTATCCTTTACAAAACATTAAGCATACGCCACGGTGACCACTACAAAAGCTACCTTAGCAAAGTTTCAATCGTGCAATGCCCTTACTTGGCTGTTGTAGTCCCAACTAAATCGTTGGTGAAACTACTCTGTTAACAGCTATGTTACTTAAAGTTAACAGGGAAACCTCCTGTTAAGAAACTTACTTGCATGTTTATTGCCAATTTCTCGGCGCATTTCCTCCGTGCGATTTGTCAAGTTGGGCTCGAGTGGAAACTGGGCGAATGTCATGTTCTCATTACGCATTTGTTTTCCCAAGGATTTCATCATCAGGAAGCAGGTGTGCATTCCAGCCACACTTCGCTGGCCATCTCGTTCGTAGTAGAAGATGGAATGCGACCAATTGTGTCTGCAAGAATCCTTGATAAGCTGACATGGCTTAAGGGTATCACATATTTGGCACTCACCGCTTCATAACGTTGATTGTCAGCTCGGAAATGGTCTCGAAACTGAGCATTCCCGTTCGCAGGAGCATGTAGAACTCGTCGTTACAATCCGTTTTCTTCTGCTCAAAGTCATAGGTGGATCCACCGACCGAGATTAGAGGGGTTCCCTGGCTATTAAAGTACTTGGTTATACGGCTGACAGCGGCTGGAAAAAAAGGAAAATATCAGAAATATTGTTATATTTATTATAAACAAAGAAATTAGTATTCATTTTCTGAACTTACCTAATGAGTAATCGCAAACAGGTCCAAAGATCACTTGGGCGCACTGTTTAATAATGCCGTCCATGGCCTTGATGACACCCAATGATGCATCGCACTTGGTGTCATGGGCCAGCCACTCAAAATCGATGTGTGGTGGTATCAAAGCCTTAGCCCGGATTTGCTGCTCGGCCACTTTAAGGATAGGCAGGACCCGGGGCAACGAAGCCTGATACATGTTGTCATCGGGCAGCAGGACCAAAGCCCGTATAGAGCAGTTCCTGCCACTAGCATCGCAAATTGCCTCACATTCCCTGGCTGGCTCATCACGGCAATTGGCCAGGCAATCCTTTGGGCCAAGAAACAGGCCAAGTATGATGAACAGAAGTAGCATTTGGAGCTGGCAAACAGATCTATTAATTGGGATACTGTTTCCCATTGCTCTCAGAAGGAGAACTTTCTGAATCAAATCGGATGTTTCGCCAGACACGCGTTCAGCGTCATTTTGTTTACCAATTTGTCTCCGTGAATTGGTTTCACAAATTTGCATAGTCGCAGCTCTCTGTTCGAAGAATATTCTGTGATTGTGGTTTCTATTTCTGTTCCTCTCTCTCTCTCTCTCTCTCTGTGTGTTTGCCTGCGAACTCTGGGGTAATTAAGTTGCTTTGATTGAGCGCATAATTGAGCCGAAGTTTGGTCGTTGCATGTTGCTGTTGCACAGTTGCTGAGTTCCTCCTGCGGATGGTGCGAATCAAGTGATTGAAGTCATTAGCAGTTCCCTTCCTTGCTCCTCGAGGATACATAAATTATTGAAGTTTTAATGAGCAACCCAAGGGGGGGGCTAATGAGTGTGATGCAGAGGAATGAAATGGGCTGCTGGTTTAATGGGAAACTCTTGTTAATGTGACATGGGTTAAGATAGATTCTGCTTTAAAGAAAGAAGTAGCTTATATCCCCCTGCCAAATCTATATCAATTAACAAACGATTTGCACTTTTATCAAATCTAAAGATCCCAAGCCATAAAAATCAAAAGGTATTTGCCAGTCATAAATTTCTTTATTTTCCATTCCGGCTATCAGTGTCTCAATTAGATACGGACTTTAGTGATAGTAAAGAAAATAACAAACTTTATCTTTCATTGAACTGCAATGGTGACTTCCCACTGTCTCCAAAGTAAACAACAACTAAAATGCAAAACCTCCTATTCGATATATATGTATATATATTAGTTATTTACGATCCTCACCATATAACAACACTTTAACAGCATTATTTTGGTGAATGAATTGTTGGTGGGTTTTATGATTCGGTGTTATGGTGCTGACTCACTACCTCACTGCTTCTGGTGGCCAATAATTTGCCTCAATTTCCATCGATGGCGATGCAATAGATAAGTGACACCATGGCACCTGTTGTTTATGGCAATTTACCTGGAATTGCTAGCGGATTGCATGGGAGTAAGTACTAAATGATAAGAATGGAATGAAGGGGAGTATACAACCCAGTGGAATATTCATGGAAATCTCGAACAAATTAACCACTTGAACGATTTAAAGTTTCAACGTCACGATTTCGAGACCGCTTGCAATCTATTAAAACGTCATCAAGGTGACAAACTAACCGAAAAACAAGCAACAGAAAAACAAATACAAAAATAAAAGTTAAAGAAAAAAACAAAAAAAAACGTGTCAAATGGTAGTCAACATGCTGCCAAGTCTAGTTAAACGTTCGCCGATTCCTAATCTAATCGTGACAAGCGGGAAACTTATGATTGCCGAGTATCGCGACGAGTCGTTTCAGTTAGTCATGCGGTTTGCCAAAATAGCTAATCATTAAGAACTCTTTTAAGATGAACTTTGATCGGGAAACTGATGTACTTGCCTTAGATCTTGAATTTATTTTTTTAGTTTTTTAAGTGAGTAGATAAAGGAGAAGACCATAAATCATAAACAAATCGGTTCTAGTAATCGCAATCTTTGTTAAAATGTTATTAAATGAAGTTAATTTTGTTTCAAGTATTTTATTATATTTTTTTTTTTGCTAAGCTGATAACATTTCTATTATGAAATTGATCAAAGTTAAAGCTACTTTATAGAGAGAAAAGGTATATAAAAGTCGGTCAAAGAGTGAAATATATATAAATTTTATATACCATCACTACCGGATATATATTAAAAAGACCACCAAAGAAGAGACAGTTTACTATTTTCGTATTCCCCCAGACGAAGCAGACAAGAACATTTTATCTTTTTCCCCGATAAAGTGCCGTGTGTAGGCTGAACTTGAAAGATTGCGTATACGCCGATTGTTCGATTGTGCGTGGAAAACCCCCGAAGCGACCCGGCGACGACGATGATGATGATGTAGATGATGATGGAACGGGGAAGCCGCCGGTTCGTATCGCTTAGCGCAAACACCGCGGAACTCCAATCGGAGCTGTCGGCAATTAATAAGAATTCATCACCCGACCGATGACAATCCAGAAAATCGAATGCCAAATGCCAAATGCCAGCGCGATTGTGGGTCATGTGCCTGCCATAGCGATATCAGTGATCGAAATATATATCAACTATATATATGTACATGTATATGGATCGAAGGAGCCAAGACGGGGGAAACCCGAAAGTACCAACATCAATCATACTGAAGCACATTATTTGCATTGATAGAAGTCCAGAAATAGCAACCGAGTAAATATTTTTGCAGCAAATCAAAAAAATAAAAAAGAAGAGAAGTATTATTAACAAATTGGCATGGACATCATCGGCGGGTCTTATCAGTTCGAGGCCCAGGTCTTCAGCCGAACGTCAGTTTATTTTTAGCCAACTGAGCACTGAGCACTGACTGATTAAGATTGCCCCGCCCGAAAGTCACGGAGTCGGACGGTCGGGGCGAATCAATCATATGCGGACTCCTAGCCTTTTGCCACTCACGGTGCTTTTGGCCCGGAGCCTGGCCAATAAGCCCTACGGCCGCACTAAGCCCCCGACATTCAGACACACAGACACACACACATACAGAGTAGGTAGTTTTATTCATGCTTTTCCGTAATTTTTGTGTGTTGTTTTTGGTTTTATCAGGCAGCGGCACTCAACGTGTAAAGCAAACAAGTACAAATCGTTGTGATTTTCGGTTTTGCATTCGTGCTGTAAGTGTGAGCCGAAAAACAAACTTGTTGACCAAGAAAATTCCTCATTGTGGGTTTTAAAATGTAAGGGGTTTTAATATGAAAGATAAATATTCAATAATTATGTTGAACAAGGTTGAACTCGTAGCGGCATTCGACTTGCTTAAAAGAAAATAAAGGATTTTCAAAGGATTTTCTGTCCTGCATTTTCAACTATTTTGTGGTATTTCCTTAAACCCTTAAAGTAGGCAACCTATTTTGTCATAAAACCTTAAGCCAGCCTTAAGCTGAAGAAAGAAAAAGAAAGTTGTATAAAAAGATGACAAATACTAGTATAGGAGACCTTCGAAATTCGCTTGCTTGGGCCAATCCTAATGTCAAAAAGTTGGCAAGTTTTTGATGGTTTATGGCAGAATAATAATGTCCGGAAGTGTGCAAGAACTTCTAGGAAGCTGTGCCAATTTAAATCGAATTTGTTTTTCAGAAATACCAAAAGAAGTAACCTTGAATTTGACAGGAGATGTACGCAAAAAAAAACAACTTAAATATTTAAGTTAATTAAATGATATTTGAAGGAAAAATGAAATGACGAATTCATAACCAAATCAAGGATTACTAAGCTTATTGTTATGTCACTCACTCAGCGAAAGGCAATAACTATTTTTAGCTCAAGTTACTCAATGTTACTCAATGCCATTGAGTACGAATAGTCACCCATCGATTAGAACACTCAATTAGTTGTCGCACTTAACACTAAGCCACTTCACAAGTTTTATGTTCAATATCAATCAGTGTTAAGTTTTCTACCAACTTTGTTTTATGGCGAATATATAACCTTTGGCAAACAGACTCGGCAATCGAATGGTAATGAACCGCGGTCGCTGTCGGAAGACAAACCGTCTACGATTGGGCCTTTTTTTTTTGGTCTATTTATAGGCTTTTGTTTATTTTTAATGTCCAATCAAGCCGCTTTTCTACCGTCTGCCGCCTGCCCTGCTCGATAAGATTACGGAAAAGTCTATAATAAACAGATATTCCTACACGATATTCCACTATATACTCTCTATATATATGTTTATGTCCATATGGACATCCAGTTGCCAGGCCCACAAATTTTAATATCTCTCCATTGTCTGGCTTCTTTTTTTTTTAATAGAAATTCAAAAAAAAATATATAAATCGGTTTTAGATCTCCAACATTTGCATGCAACTTAAATGTCCATTTGTCATCGGCTAAACCGAAGGGCTTTAGCTATGCTAAATTTATATTATTTATGAATTTTTAATCCCTGTTTAAATTCAATTAAATTTAGACAGCCTAGTGGGTTATCAACGAGCAAGGTTAAATTAAAAATAAAGTCTGGAAACCCATTCGACTCTGACCCTTTGGTTTATGGTCTAGACACGGGGCAGATAAATAAGGCTTAAACTCTGACCCCGTTGCTGTTTGAGTTTGGCCTGCCCTCGATAAATTGTAAATATCCTTGCCACGAGCATGTGTGGTGTCCTTGCATGCGTGTTAAATTCCTGAAATCAATGCTGGCCATCCACCGCCTGCAGTTTAATGAACCGTAATTAAATCTCTGCTTTAATAGTTTTAATTAATTTTGAAAGCATTTAAGTGTCGGTTCCAATATAACGTCGTATAATAATCCTGAAAATTGTGGCGCCCATAAACCTTGGTATTTAAAGGAGCAAAAACTGAAACAAAAACTTAACAAATATACCAAGGTTTCTGTAGTGTCTCAAAAATCAAGTCGCTAGCCAAGTTAATTGTCTTCCAGAACTTTCCTTCTCACCACACATAGCGTCGGAACAATTTAGAAACTAACGCAAACTAGTTTTTCTCAACTTATTGGAAAAACAATCTCTGTGAGCTGCTTAACCATAAGTAACGTAACCAATTTTCGGGCGGTGGAAAAGTTTGGTGTATTTTCGTTAGCCTAACCCTTTTGCCAGAATCATGTTCATATTTGTTCGGGTGTTGGCTTACCAATTGATTAATGAATATTTACATTATCGCTCTACTCACTATAACCCTAGCACATATGCCAGAAGAAGAGGAGGAGGAGGAGGTGTGACCAGTAGTAGAGTCTAGCCCAGCCCTAGGCAGTATTGTGTATACGCCGGGTTGTGTTTGATTTACTAAGTGCTGCCTACTTCACAGCATCGCTCAGCAGGGGGTGTTCTGGCAAATAGTGCTGCAAATATATGTTAAATATGGCTTAAAAGCCAAGTTTGCTGTTTATACAGGAAGGAGTCTGCCAGTCGCACAAAAAAATTCAACAGTGAAAAGAGAGAAGGATAATTGATATTTTCGCCAAGCGAAGAAAATTGAATTTGTAGAGCCACTGACCATGACAATGAAATAGTTTTCTTGATTTACTGGAGCTGCACTAAAAGGAAGGTCGCCCATTGTAGTAAGACTAAATAGGTTTAAATATATCTTGCTGAATTTATAGAAATATTATTCATAGAAAAGAAACACTAAGGGGATTTCTTTTTCTTGGCATAAAGTGCCCGCTTTAAGCTATACAAAACTTCAGCTGTTAAGGATTTTTCTAAGCTGACACCTCTAGGCTGGTAATCCAATCAGAAATTCATAGTTTCTCTCCCTCTACCAAAACCCACAAAGTTTAGATTTAATGCCCCTGGGCATTAAATTCCATTTTCTGCTGTTGCAGAAATCCTCATTCAACGAAGCTGAAAAGAATCCGCTTCAATGATTTATGCAAATTTAATAATAACAGAACTCGATGTGTGTCGAACAAAGTCAACTGGGCCGGTTACCCCCATCTCTCAAAGTTGCAAGTTACTTTGTCTATTTTGCCACAACCCGATGGGAATTTACATCTAGGTATTTTATTTTAATTTCGCAACTAGGGTGAAAGGCACTTTGTAATATTTACCCTGGGGCCAAATGCTGTTTTGCAATCATTTGCTTTTATCATCATAAGATGCGATGAGAAGGCAGGGTGTGAGGAAGTGAATTTGCATGAAATATTGCCGTGTGGGCGTGTCTCTAATCCGAAAGGAGGCAAGAGCCTCTGTTGGGTAAGAGCTTATAAAGACTTGTCGATGAATGTCCGGAATGCCTGTGACAAGCTTCTAAAAGGGGGGAAAATCTAAGTTGCCAGCTCACCTTGTCCTTTGTCGGGAATATTTCAAATACCTTAGATTTTCTTTTCACAAATTTTTGTGTTCCTTTCACAGTGCACTATGTGCTCTTTCTCTTTGAGAGTTTTAAAAACTATTCATGGGTTTTTCATGGGGATCAATTTGGTTTCCCAATATATTCAAATTTATTTCATATTCATACGCTTAATGGCAGACACATTTTTCGACATTAGTTTTGTGCAAGGCACGAAGAAAACACACCGAAAAATACTATATATATATTTTGCAGTCGAAAAATCTAAAACAAAAATATCACCAAATATATCGCGAGAGGTTTATAACCCGTTGAAAATAAGAATTTTCCTCGCCCACTTCTCAGCGCGCGCGTTGCCCGAATTGAACTGAAATTCGCGGTCGCTTTGGTAAACTGTTCACTTTGTTATTTTTTGTTCTTCATTATTGGCCAAACTATGGAAAAGCTCGCGTCGATGGCATTTTGGTGGAACATTTCACCAATGCTCTCAACATTTCACCAATGATAACAAGACAGTCTGATAACAGTCCCTCATAACATTCTCTCTGTTAGCTGGCCAAGCTCTGTTATCTAGAGTCGAAGACAATTGGTGGAAAGGTTTGAAAATCCCCGCCCCAAATTGGAGTCTTTAAAGTGTGAAAAAACTCACTGCTCTGCTTGAAAAAGTAATTTTTTCTTTAATGGGTTTTTCTTTCAACCATTTTTAGCTGAGGATACTTAACATTTGCTTTGTTTTATATTGCGATTTGTTAACGTTTTCCTTAATGCCCTTTTTTGCATTTGCTCTCCATGGCGTATACGCAATGTCACCATGCACATTGTTTTGGCCCGGAACACGCACTTTCGGCTAAAACAGTAGCAGCTTTTCAGCATTTTCCCCCTCTCATATGTGCTTTTAAATCCACCGAAATTAATAGCATTTTCAGCGGGACCGCAGCTGAACGATGTTTGCAATTGTTTGCCCAACTTTTAGCATGAGCTGTGGCAGCGGAAAATCATGTGCGGAAATGGTTTTCAAGTGTGCTTAAATGCTTTCTGCGCTGTCCCAGTTATGAGTGAGTGGACAATTATTATAATTATGATTTCAAGCGAACTGACAAGCTCTTTGGTTTTGCTGGCCCTAAGTGGGCAAGTTCTAATGGCAGATGTGGAATGTTCTTAACATTATAAGAATGGAAAAGAAATCTAAGAAAGGAAGACTTACAAATATTTCAGATTACTAATCATCCCGTTTTCTTACAAATTAAGAAGATAATACACCATGAAACTCTTTTCTAAACTTAAATAACAAATTAACATGAACAAGAATATGATTTCAAACTGGATTTTATTCATAAGCTTTCTTATTTCTCCTTTGCTGATTTCATTTAATCCTTTGTTATCAAGTGCTTAAGGCTGACAATGGGTTAAAGCTTTACAGAGCAATGCAAGTGCGGGTGTTTGTGTGTGTTCGTGTGTGTGTTTGTAGGGTGTGCGAGTGTGTGTTTGAGTAGCTCTACGCAGACATTTTTGCTTTTGGACATTCGCATTCATTATTACAAAACGAGAATAGCTAACATTTATCAATTACTTAGAACTACATAAGCTGTGCATGTGTTGCAAGTGCCACCGCCGGCATCAGTTGCATCCAATTGCCTCGGATTCCAGAGCTGCATCTTCTGCTGATGCCCCATCTACTTGGCATTGCCATCGTCGTCGATCGCCTTGAATATTATGCCATAGACATGGTCCACCAACTTGGCCCACGTGGCCGCTTGACTCTCGTCCAGACTGCAGGCGGCGGTCAGGACATCCAGGATAACGCCTTTCAGTTGCTAAATTTAGAAAAAGTTTAAATTAATATATATACTTTCTAACTTAATTCAGTAACTTACAGTGTACGACTCCTTGGAAATGGTTCGTGGTATATGACTAACGGCCACTTTGGTCCAGATCTCGTCCAGCTTCTCCAGATCACCATCTTGCCCCAGAACCTGGATGGACTCGTCAAATACTCGAATGATCCTGCCGGCATGCGCTCGGAAACGAGGATTTCCCTATAAAAATCAGAACCAAATAAATCTTCAAACTAATTTAAAGTTTATTTATGATCTAAAACTCACACTTAGCTCCTCCAGTGGAACATCACGGAAGGGGAACTTCTCCAAGTTGGACGGATAGCTTTTGAAGAACTGCGTTAGTATCGCCGCTCCAGAATCTGTAGGTGTTGCCACGGGGATTTCCCAGGTCTTCTTGATCAGTTGCACCTCATCGCTGTTCATGTTTATGCTCCGTTTTGGTCAGCTTTTCACTCTTAAACTCTCTCTCTTAACCTTTGGCTCTCTCTCTCTCTTTGCGGCTTTTTAAGCTAAAAAAATAGAAGGAAAAAAAGGGAAATAAAATTAACTCAATTTGTTGCGGCCTCTCTCTTTTCGCTCTAATTGTAATTGACAGTTTTACAATGCATCTCAACGTGCTGTGGGGCACAAACAAAAATCAAAACAACAAACAGTGGCTTATATAAATAAGCGCACAGCACGTGCTAAAAGTCAATGCCTTCGCCGTCGAACAACAAAAGCAAAGCTAACATCATCATTATTATGATCATTATATCCAAGCTCAAATTAACGTCTGTCAGTTTAGCCGAAGCAAAAGCCCAATACACCTTCCTCCCCCCCAAAAACTGAAAAGGCAACTTACTCATACATTATTTAGCACTACCATGGGTTGGAGATGGTATCGTGAAAGTTACTTTTTATATAAATTAATGTATATTGATGGAAATTTTAATTTATATTTTAGGTATATAGGTATCTTAATCCCAATCAGTAAATCAAAAACCATTTTCCTTACTAAAAACCCTTTAAAAACCCTTTAACATTATTTTCTTGACCTCTTTGTAGGTATTATCCTTACATTTTTCTATATATTTCCAACTACCGCTTTGTTTATGTAACCCATTGCCATCCCTAAGTGTGCCTGCCAGTCTGCATGGCTAGCTCTCGAGTTCATTAGCTGACCCTACCCCTGCCCTCGACCTGCCCCGAGTTGACCCCCAATCCCTGCCCAGCTTTGTGGCTGGCTTTCGCTTGCAAAAATTATCATGCCCCTGCGTTCCACGGAGAGCTATTTAAAATGAGAAAGATTGTGGGAGAATTCTCTGAACGAGACACAAAAAAAAAAAAAAGCGGAAATGTAAACAGCAAGAGCGCCCATATAATATGCAGACCAAAAAATGATTTTGTCGAAAAATAAAATCAAATATAATTTCATTTATTTATGAATTGTTAAACAAATATTTTCGTGTGACATACAAATTGAGCAAAAAAAAAAAGGGAGAAGAGGAAAACCAAATTTCCATGCAAACCGCACGTGGGAAATAAATATTTATGAGAAGGACTGGAAAATTGGCATTTAACAAGCGGAATTTGATGAATAATAAATAAAGTATTTAGCTTTCTTCAGTTGACTTTTCTTCTTTTACTGCCATGACAAAGGCATTTCCCTCGCGAGGGAAACAACAAAAACAGCAGTCGGCCAAAGAAAAGTTTCTTTTTTTTTCTAAAAAGTAAATACAAAAGTTTATTAAAAATTCACAAACTGACAGACAAACAAAACGGAATAGATATGATACAGAAAAAAGAAGAAGAAGAAAAAACGAAAACAGGAAAATGGACTCAAGTGCAGCCGCAGCAGGTGGCCACCATGTTATTGTTGCTTTTTGCTAGGAAAAGTGGGGGCCTGTGGGTGGTCAATGGGTGGTGCAGGCAAAGATTCTAATATAAAAAAAAAATTTGCCATCTCTCAGTAACCTTGTCTAGAAGACCCCTTCGGGGAGCACCAATACACTGGCATACATATGCCAGGATGTGCGCGTCTGTGTGCGTTTTGTAATATCCTTCATGCCAAAATGGCCTGTGGCTTTTGCGGTTCAAGTCTGGGCCTGTAACTGTATAAGTGCTGGCCACTGGTGTGTGTGTGTATGAGTGTGTGAGTGTTGGGTAGTCACACGAGTGTGAGTGTCTGCTGCAGTCAAGAGTGAAAAAAGGCAGCAACAAATCAAGGGTTGCCTTGTGGTACGGCACTAAGAGAAATTCGGATGGTAATTAAATGGAAAAAGAAGAAAAATTTATGAATACCTTAATTCCTAATTTAGTGTAAAGTTATCATCATTTTTAATGGACCTCGAAAAACAGATATTTCCTAATTCGAAATCAACTACTATCATAGCATACTTTTTGGCAGCCCATGGAGATATCTGAAGTCTCCAAAAATGTGTTTTGACCTCTTTTAAAAGTTTTTCATGACTTTTTAAAATAAAGAAGTTTCCAGCTATAAAAGTAAGTTAAAATGATAAAATGATGATAAAATCTGAATCTCAATTTTAATAAGATTTTTCTCTCTGTGTTCTCTGCTATTGTGAGTGCGAATGAGAGAGTGTTGCCAGTAAGGACATTGAGCGCTTAATTAAATTAAGGCAAACTTGATGGACAGCTACTAGACAGTCAGCCGGGTTCGGAGCATTGTAGAAGGGGGCATTGGGTGGTAGATTGAAACAGGTAGGGTAGGCGTGGCAGGTGGGCTGGTGGCAGGTCAGGTGTTGCCAAAGTGCCTGCTACAGGACTGTGTGTTTCAGTGCGAGTGAGCGAAGTGTGTACGTGTGTATTTGTTTTGTGATGCTGCCACTCAAGTGTCGCTATGGATTTGGTTGCAATTCCGCCTCTGTCTCCTTTCACCTCCCACCCCTCCCCAGCTCGCTATGTGAATTTATTTTATAGAACTCAAAAACAACATTCTGTCGGTTGCCAAGTGGCAGATGAGAAGTGCTGTGAAGTGTGTGTGTCGAAATACGAGGCTGGTTTATAACAACTTTAAAACAATTTTCAAAAGGCTTGCGGAAGTTCTGGGCTGGGAGAGTTGAATTTTGATAAATTGGACTCTGATATAAAAGTTTACGAAGAGGCATGAAATGTGAACTTTTAATATGGGAAATATTTGTTATTGGTTTTTGATTTTACCAGGAAAACCTTTAGGGCTTAAAAAAGAAAAACATGAACTAGAACTTTTCTATTTTTGTAGAATCTGCTAAGACTGTATTGATTACTAGTAATGGCTTATATTTGCTAACTATTTATTGCTTGATTTTCAGAAAAATAATCAGATTAAAGTCAAATAAAGATAGCGAGATCGTTTAAGATAAGTTGTCCTAAATCAGCTTAAACTAAAGCCTTCCTATTGACTAAAAATTCAAACTCTTTCAAGCCTCTTAAATTGTCTTTAAAGCCATAATGCCTTGCTGAACACGCACACATACAGCCACTCACACAGATGCACACACTCTTGTTCTCATCACGGGCATTAAGGATAATGACTGCCACAACAACAACAATAATAACAAGAACAACAAATGGTAATCACAAAAAACAACAATAACAATCTGGTCCTGCCAGAGGCGACACTTGTTTGCAAGGACACCACAGAAATCCATAAATTCCAAGTCCGCTGATGTGCGGCTCTTTTTTATGGCTGGCAATACGAAAAATAAAATCAAAAGTCCAATGAAATCGAAACTAAAAAAAGGTTAATCTATATACAAAGTTAGGAACAAAAAAATAAAAAAGAAAACGCACAGAAAGAGCGTTTTAATCAGCTGTTGCCTGTTGAGCGTTTTCGATGGGGAAGATAGCGCGTATTTACAGTTCGTTAAGCGTGTGCGTTTTTTATTCACCCAATTCTTTCATAATTCCGCTAGCTTTACACTACTATTGTTATTTGTTTATATATATATAATAAATATATATATTTTATTTCCGCTTTTACTGTTGTTTGTTTACTATTTTTTTGATTGGCGAACTTGATGGGTTTTTGTGCCGTTTTTGCGAACCGAAAACCGAACCGTAAAAGTGTTCAAATCTTTTTCGATGGCTTGATAGAACCGCACACGTTGCGTTCAGGTCGAAAACTGAGCGCGGGCAAAAATTGTGGGAGCCAATTCAGTGGAGCGAATTCACAGATTTCATACTCTCACTCTTACTATCTCTCTCTCTCTCCCTCTCTGCCGGCAAAGATTGGCGAGAGATTCGCCCGCCAAAAATCTAGCGGAGCAAAAGCTGTCAACGAAAGAGAGCGAGAGCGGGCTCAGGTGCGTAGTTTAAGGGGGTTCGAGGTTTGTCACCTGCCAGGAAAATAGTTGATATTCATATCAGATCTTAGGCTAACTTATAGGTAGTCTTCCTATAAGGTTTTATAACTTATAATATGTTCAAAAAAGGAAAACAGCTATTGAACTGACTAGCCAAATACTATAAAAACCAGTGACACCTGTGGACCTTCCGTTGAAGAAGAGCGTTATGTTGGCTCCCACAATGCTAGCTCTCAAGAGCATAAGCTTTGAACTACGGAAAGCTTAGAAACCCGTTGGGCAAGGGCTTTGTTTGAAAATAGAAAATTGTTTTAAGCTTTAAAGAATCTAAACATGTATTTAATTTTTGTCGTTAAGGAAAAATATTAAAATTTTCCATATCTCTTTAAATTTGAAAACATATATTTAAATTTGGCTATCTTTTACATTATTAAGAAATCACCTGACAACCAAATTTCTTATCACTAACAGTGTATTTTATATTTTTTTTGGTTTTTTTGTAGTTAATAATATGTACTATATTACTTATCAAATGGAAGGTTTTGCAATATATACTTATAATTCTGCGCTTTACATTATCAATAGACATTCCAACCGACTTTGACTATTTTTAAAACAACTTTTTCCCTATCTCTAACTAAACAAAATCCTCAACTTAATACCGAAAACAAACAAACAAACTCTATTAATATACTGCAAACAATATCAGTTCCATTCAAATATTACACCACACACAGCTTGTTTATTATTGTCTCGTATGAATGGGTTTCGTAAGCAAAGATCGTTTATAAATGTAATCAACTCAATTAATAATATTTGCATTTTCAAATACGATAGAACACTAGATTTCTATAGACACTCACAATATTTAATAGAAGCTGGGCAACTGTGCACACGACGCTGTTAAAATTTGAACTGAGTACAATTTCTGGACAGTCAGGGCCTTATAAAAGATTTCCGAACAGCAGCGGCAACAACACCAGTTTCTAAATTAACACAAAAAACGAAGCAGCAAAAGTTGCCGAACTGTTAATCTTCGTTTACTATCTTCTAGAAACCGAAGCACCTCGATTGGTGAGGGCCGATTGGAAACATGGGGTCAACTCGGGTGAAAGTATGCGATTGTTTTTCTATTTCCCAAGACAAGGCCAATATTGCGTGAGAGTTGATGTTTCAAGTCATTGATAATGATCTTATCAAGAAAAAAATTAGTTGAAATCAGTATCAGAATATATTAGGAAGGCTAAAGAAGAGCTTAGCCGATTTATTCTATTTTCTATTAAATTTTTAAATATAGAAAAATCAGAAAGTTTCAATATAGAAATGTTATTTTTTATAATAAATGTATTTAATTTTACATAAATGCTTGCTGCACATCGCTCTTGATACGAATTAAATTGGTTTTTAAAATTTTTAGAAAAATGTTTGTGGAAAGGGAACCTTTAAATATTTTTTTCCGCAATTTTTGTTTCTTATAATACGAATATTTTAGCTTAGTTTACTGTACTTAAATCAGAGATCTAAAATCTTAAATCTAGATATTGATAATCAATGTTTAGGAGATGCAAATATTTGATGATCAAAACAAAACAAACAAAAGGCTTAACTTAGAAGAACTAAACAAATAAAATTCCAATTGTCTACCCGCAAAATGTAAATATGTATAGAAAAAATCAACATTCTGCTAGTAATTAATAGTTTTTATCAAGAGTTTATTATAGACAGTAAATACTCAAACAACAAACTTTAATAAATTTCAAACAAACTACATTTCTTCGTGTCAAGTTGTTTGCCCTTCTTTTATTTAAAGAAGTTTCCGCAAGCCTTAATTTAAGCTTTGCATGCTCAAGCAACAAAAATATACATAATGAAATTATAATTTACTTTGTTTTTAATTGTAAATATAAAAATACTTCTTATCACCTCTCCCTCTCCCTGTGGTGTCTGATTATTATTTATAACCCATTTTGGGTATAATTAAACTGCAGTCCAGATAATAAAAAATCTAACATGTTGTTGTTATAAAAATAAACGTCATGCCTTGTGCAAATTTCGCACTTTTAACTATGCAATTATACAATATTTTGTTCACAATTTATTTGTTAATTTTTTCCAATCACGTCATCGTTTCCTGTTGAAGGTTTACTCTTTTTTTGCTGTATGGTTTAGACCCGATTTGGTAGTAATTATATGGCAGTCGAGACGTCAATACAAATGATGAGATATTTGGTGAAACAAACAAATTGTTAATTGCGTGATTAAATTATTTGTTTAACTGCTCTCCAATGACCGATTCCAGTCACGTTGTTCGTAATTATTAATGATTTTTGCTTGCCAGCCATATGTTCTTAAAGCAGTTCGTAAGCAGTTTGGGTTTCTTTAAATTAAAGAGGAATTTTGATTAAAATTTAAAATATCTTTATACAAAAACAATAAAATAAACTAAACTTGTTTATTATCTTTCATTGGTTATTTTAGTTTTATTAGTGGTTATAGTTATTCCATTACAATGGTTACCATAACGGATAATAATTCCATGTTAACTCCATGAACTCCTTCTATCTTTAACTAACCATTTTCATAACCATAACCATGCCCCACCAAATATTACCATATGCTAGAATATTACATAATATTTGTTGCAACCTAAGCTTTGGCAAACATGTAAATAACATTCGGGGCCCAGTGAATCCGCTCCTGAGCCAAAACAAACAACAGATGATCCCCCAGAGAATCAAAAGTCAAAGAGCGGGAGAGTAATTTATCCAATTTCGGGTCAGCTATACATTTATTCAGCATATATGAGCAGTGGGATCGCCATTTGGGCAAAACCGCTCAGTGGCTTTTTAGCCACAGAGGCATTCGGTCCGAATGAGCAGATAAAACTCGATCAGAGCAAAATTTTCAGCTAAAGATAAACAGTGAAAACACGGGGCGAAGCACAAACAAAGGCGGAAAAACAAATGTTTGACTAATTGTTATTAGATAATTATAATCATAATGGACGCAGTGCAGCAGCAAACAAACAACAGCAGCAACATCGACAGCGCCAAATGCCAGAAGCTCAAGAGATTCGTGATCGTAGGCCTGCTGATCACCATTGGCATCTTGAGTTGGCACTTCTACGGTGAGTAGACTCTCTTAGTTGTCATTTTCAAGAGAAAGATTAATCGTTTCTCTCTCAGAGTACTTCCACAGCAAACCGCTGCCCAAGACGCCCGATGACGTCTTGACCCTCTCCAAGAACCTTTACGCGGAGGAGACCGAGGTCAGTCCGTACTTATACAAAGTAAATCTCCAGGGGAAGACCACATCCGGTGCTCATGATGATAAAGCCCCTAAAAAGTAAGCAATAAGCTAATTAATATGTTGATAAAGTTGGATAAAATGGAGAATTTTCCCACATTTTAGTCTCTTTGAACTCCATCAGGATTTGCTGGCCAAAGATGGCAACTCTACAACTGCCCTTCTCATGCGGCTCTTCGACAACTATGAACTAGATGTGGCCGTAGCTGAGCATCCCACTCCTGAGCACGTCCAGGAGCAGCATGATTTCCTCAGAGCCGTGATGAACACGCGGGTTATGAAGCTGACCATGCGCTATCTGGTAAATAAGGGTAAGTAAGTTTGGGTTTTAGATAAGTCACCGAAGTAACTTCCATCTACTCCCCTCTAGATATTGTGAGCATCGAATATGATGATCAGTTGCAACTGCTGCAGGAGCTTTGGTTTACTCCTTACTCCAGGGGGAAGGGTATCGTGAGCAGTTCCAGTTTCGAGCACGTCTTCATGGCAGAGATTAGGGATCAGAAAGTTCTGGGACTGCACAATTGGATATACTTTGCAGACCAGGAGCAGCGTGGCAATGTGGACTACAAGGGATGGCTGAGCCACAAGGAAATGGGAAAGGTTAGTCTTTAAAGGCATTAAGTTGGAGGAATCCTACATCTCTTCTTGGTTATCCTTGTTTAGCCCAACCAAATGGTTCTAAGCCTGCGGCATACGTTTCACAATCTCAAGAAGCCAGTTAATGGCCTTTTTGTGGGCACCTCCCCGGAGTTGGAGATGTCCCTCTACACCGCCTGCTTCCTGACCACGGCGGACGAGGAACCCTGTCACCTTCAGTTGGGACATGCCTCTGCCACAATTGTCTCTTTCGCATGGAAATGGAATGGCATGCGCCTGATAGCCACCGCCTATCCCGACAGCTCCTAGATCATCGCATTTCCCCCAAATAATTCCCAAAACTCAATAAAAGTAGTTACATTCGTGACGGCAGTGCTACCTCATCGAAAACAGCAAAAGGCTAACCTCCAAACTCAAAGTCAAGTTCATTTTGGCACTTTATAAGTGCTTTACCAAGTTGTCTCCATCAATCGAGGAGCATGTCAGTCAGGACATGAATATTGTCCGTCTGCCTATCATTTTGCTTGTTTTGACAGGATAGCGTGGCCCAAAGCTCTTAACCTTACCGTCATGAACTTGTTTATTAGTTCTAACATTAATAGTTATTACTGGCGGAAATTAAGCAAGAGGAAAAGTCAATTATTACAGCAGAGAACTAAAGTGATTATGACGTTTAAGTCTTTGCAGTTATTAAAGAGGCTTCGTAGTGGATTTCTTTCCTTAAACTTCAACTAACCTTCAGTTTTTAACTTAACTAATATAGTTTTTATACATAAACTCCCAAACCATTTTTAAATTAGTATTACTAGAGAGAAAAACTCTTTTTAAGGGCCCCTTACTTAGCCATTTAGAGTTCTTAAAAGTCAAATAAAAGTTGCAAATTTGATTTCTAATTCTTTTATTAGTTAAAAAACATGAATTTCCTTTGCTTGATTAATCCTGGAACACATGAGTAGAACGTACGTATGTTGACTGAAGAAACTTTTGCTGGAGAACTCGGTGCTGACCCCTATCCGTGGGCATCTAGATGGCGCTCGATGATGACTGTCTCGTTGGCAATGTCCGTTTGCTGGACCACCGCCGGAGCACTTGATCTTCTGGCCGTAATGATGGTAGTGTGTGCCGGGGACAAGCTCTCCGTCTCTGAAGCGTCGGCTAAGATCAAGAATGTTTCGCTGAGATCGGCTAGCTCCGAGCAGGTCTCATCGTTGGATGAGCGCATCAGGCTGGGACTACTAATGGAGCACTCCAGCGTCAGACGATCCTCGCAGTCGGGGCTCCAGCTACTTCTTGCCGGCGGCTGACGCGGCAGGCTGTTGTGGCACAGCGGATTTTCCGCCGGCGACTGTTCCAGCAGCAGCTGCTGACCCCACAGTTCCACCGCCCGGGCGCGATTGTGGTCGGCCCGTTCCGGAAACGGTTGATCCGGCTGCTGTTGCTGGTGTTGCTGCTGCTGTTCCGGGTGCTCCTGTTGCTGGCGGGGACGTGATGCCCGCTGTCGCCGCTGCCAACGGTGGTGGAGATCTGTTGTAGTCCGTGGCCACTCGCTGGGGGGCAGCTGGTGCTTGATACTGGGATTGGGACTGTGGCTGAGCGGCTGTGGTGCCTCCTGGCGTGGCGTCATACTGGTATCCAGACTGTCCATAGTCCGTTGCTCCATAATCATAGCCGGCTCCGGAATCCCCATAGTCGTACTGTTGTCCCTCGTATGGCTGCTGGCCATAAGCGTTGGGATCATAGGCACTGGCATCGTACTGCTGCTGGTCGTAGGCACTGTAGTCGGTGTTGTAGGCGGCCAGATTGGCGCTGCCTGCATTTGCAATTGTGCTATCGGCCAGCGGTTGTTGTTGTTGCTGAGACTGCTGCTGCTCCGCCTGCTGCTGCTGCTCGGCCTGCTCACGTTCCCGCTCCCGCTCGCGTTCCCTTTCGCGTTTCTCGCGCTGTTCGCGGAGTTGCTGGAGCTCCCGGTCACGTTCTTCCCGCTCCCGTTGCCTGTCCAGGTCTTGCTGTTGTTGCTGCTGCTTTTCGCCCAGGCCAAGGTTGTCCTTGAGATTCTCGTCATCGTTATCCTGGAGTCCATAGTCGGCGATACTGCTCTTGCGTCCTGTGCCCGCTGTTGTTGCTCCTGTGACTGCTCCAGCTGCAGCTGCTCCAGCGGCAATACTGGCTGCTGTTGTGGCTGCGGCTGAGGCAGTTGCTCCATCGGCCAGGCCAAGCCCTCCGGACGTGTAGTCATCGTCGGTGGCGCTGTTGTGTGGTTGTTGTGGGGTGCTTTGTATGGGTTCGATTGGGGTGCCATATGTCGCTGCCTGGTAGTCGTAAGCGGCTGTGTGAGTACAAGAATTTTGATTAGAGTGGCTCGCCAATCGAATGCAATTAGTGTGAAAGTGGAAAAGTGTGGTCTAATGGTCTTTCTCGGGGAGATCCGCCTCCTTGACTTCAGCTTCCGGTTCTGATGGTGAGGGTAATGGAATCAGTTTAGAATCAAGGACTTTGTGTGTGAGTTTTGGAAGTGCTCTACTTGGCTAAGTAACCTAATGGGGAATTTACCTTTTCCAGGAACTAAGCTAGTATAATCATGTGGTGAGCTATCTAATTTACTCATATGCTCCTCATTACTCAACATGCGATTGGATAGATATTCTAGATTCGATTGTAAAGCAGATATTTCCTCTCTTTAAGATCGTAAAGATATAGATTTAGAGAAAGATAAAGATAGAGAGACAAGCAGATGGAAGAGAGAAAGAGGGAGAAATATGTTAGTTAAGTACTGAAAGATACAATTACCGTCAAGGATTCTAATGGGTGCTCGTCTCGCATGTCCTCGGAGCTCAGCTCCGGGGATCCTTGGTGCACTTTCAGCTGTGATTTGTATTTGCCCCAGATTTGTCTGAGGCGTGACATCAGCTGCTCGTTTGTGGCTCGTAGCTGCTGCTTCTCTAGACTGTAGTTTTTCAAAAACAGAAAATATGTCAACTTAAATCAGGAAAACTAAAAATCTAACTCAAGAAATTTAAGATTAAATTATATCTATCTAAAATGAATGTGACTAGTGATGAACATTATAAAAAGTTTCAAGTGTTTTGTTGAGATAAAACTGATGAAAAATATTCGAAATGATTCATTTTTGATTACCCGACATAGATCTTCTCTAAGCATATACCTTAAACTTAAGACTACTTTGTGGCTTAAAAAAAACACTATCAAAGCTTGGTGGCCTGCTCCTGCTCTTCGTCCTCCTCATCGTGATCCTCCTGCTCTCGATCGTTCTCCAGTTCCGCCAGCTGCTCATCGATCTGTGCCAATTCCGGCGATGTTTCCTTGACAAAGGTTTCATTCAGGGCCTGAGCCACTTCGTCCACCTCCTTGATGAACGTCTCATTCAGCGAATGGGTGACCTTTGGCTGCTTAGGCTGTTTGGGCACCAGTCGCACATTGACGTCCACTTTGACTGGAGGGCGTGGTTTCTTGTGGCAACCATCTCGCCGCAGCAGTTGCTCAAAGTACACTTTAGGCTTAATGCTGGCACTCAAGGCATTGCTGCCAGGACCTCTACAGGCAGGGGATGTTGCATCTGCTGATGTTGCTGCCATGCCACCAGCATCCACCGTCAAATGTTGCACTTGACAGGTGGGCTGACAGGCAGTGGTACTACTGAGGGTTTGATTCAAAACTAGATGCTGTTGCAGCCAGGGCAACGGCTCCGTTTTGCATGGATGACAGCAGCCAGGATGATGCTGCTGCTCGGCGGTGATGTTGCTGGCGGTGCGATGGTGCTCGTGTTGGTGGTGCGTGTCTAGGGTGGGTTCGTGGCCGTGACATTGCATGCTCTTGCTGTGCATGGTTTGTGTACGCGCTTTGCTGGCCGATGTTGCTGCTGTCGCCGCTGATGTTGCTGTTGGCCTATTGCCGTTACGACTGCGGCAACATGCAGCACTCGTCTCACTGTGGCTGATGCTGCTGCTGCTGCGCCTGCGCAACGTGTGGATGTGTTCATGCTCGTGTCTGTGTCGCATGAAACTGGGGCAAAAGCATTTGGTCTTTGATGTTGCTGCTGTCGCTGGTGTTGCTACTGCTGCTGTTGGTGCTGATATCTCCGTTCTGCTTCTGGGCTTCTTATAGCTGGAAATCTTGGGAAGCGGCGGCATTTTGGCCAGCTCCTTGGCCAAACGCTCATTGCTTCTGATAATATTCTGCAGGATCTCATCGCCAGCATCGACAGCAGCAACATCGGCCGTGGTAGCAGCAACATCAGCAGCAGCCACCACATCTTCTGTAAAATCGGTCAGTTCCAAATCAGGCAGCAAAATGAACTCGTTTGCGCTTTCTTTTATTGTTGTAGGAGCTGATATTGTTGTTGTGGTCAAAGGCTCGCTTGTTGTTGTTGTTGTTGGCATCGCAAGATCGCAAATTGGTTCTAATTACCATGAAAATTGCGTGGCAGGCAGGCAGCGAAAGAAAGGTTTGAAGAAGTACAAGTACAGCGTGTTAATCCCAGTCTCAGGCTAGGTCGAGATGTTTATGATTTTTTTTTTTTTTTTGTTATTTTGCTTTTGCTTTGGTGTGGAACGAATCTCGGAAAAGAAAATTGGTGTTCGGTATATACTGGTGGGAAAACTTTGGTCTTTGGCCTTGAATTTCATATTGCGCTGTGCGGTGGTTTCCATATGTCAACAGACTTTCAATCGAATATTCACATACCATTTTATAGTGTTTTTTGGTTATTTTTTGTATATTAAAGTGAATAACTAAACTTTGAATATTATAACTCTTAAATATTAAACTACGAATATCATATTGAATGATTTTCTAAAAGCTAGATTTTCATTTTTGCTTGGTGATTAGTTAATATTTGATCATAATTACTTGTGCTTGTAGGTCGTATCCTCTAATTTGCCCGTTAAGGTCTTACACTCGTTCGTCAGTTTATCCATGAGTTGCTTCTGAGATGTTATCATTTCCTCAAGCTCATTAACCGTACCCGCTACAAACAGACATTCAACGGTTTAGTTATATATTTTATAGATATATATTGGAATGGGAGTTAATGCAACGCGCTACAGAACAAAACTCATGGATAAACTATTGAACATTTCTCTGTAGATAATTTTGAGTTCGAATCTTCGGGATATCTTGGATTTTTGGTCTTGTTTTACACACACGCAGAACACAATAGGAGCATCAATAGCTTAACCAGAGTTTATAGAAGGGGATAGTGATAGGTGAAGAGGGGATAGTGATAGGTGTGGAAAGATAAAAGTGATCCAGTAAAGGTGTTATTATCCTGCACTTACCATGCTTATCCTGCATCTCAGAGATTCGCTTGTCCAGGTCCTTTTTGGTGGGTCGTATCTCATTCTTTAGCTCCCCATAAGCAAGCTGCCAAATTAAGACATTAAGTTAAGTTACTTATTATAAGAATCTTTAATGCATGATCCACTCACCTCCTTCTCTAGATTGGCTATCTCATCGTTGAGCCGCAATACCTCCCTCTTGGAGTGAAGGAGATCTGCATCCCCACGATCCAGTCGCTGCCTCAGCGAGTTTATCTCAGCAGTCAGACGAGCTGCCTCTGTTTTGGTCTCCCTGGCAGCCCGATCTAATTGCAGACGCAACGAGGTTATATCCTGCTCCAGGGATTGCTTCTCCGCATTCACCTGAGCCATGTCCGCCAGGAAGGTGGTTCTATTGGCTCTTAGCTCCATTTTAAGCTCTTCGATCTGAGAATTGCGACTGGCCACATCCCGCTTGAGATCGGTTTCATAGCGCTTTTGGCGCTCCAGATCCAACTGTAGCTTGGCCACCTGCTCCCACTGGCAACTGAGATCCCCGCCCAGCTGATCCACCTGGCTGTTGTAACGCCTCTCGGCACTGGCCCGCTCCTCGGCCAACCGCCTGGCCATCTCATGCTGCAGTTCCCTGACTCGCTCATGCTGGCGATCCAGTTCATCCCGGAGATGGCGCACCTCTAGCTCAGCCTGAGAGCGCTCCATCTGCACCAAATCGCTGATGTAGCGCTTGGAGGAGGCACTTCCCTGACTCTGGGCCTTGGCCTCGTCTAGAAGCCTTTGTAAATGGCGAACACTTTCTTCCAGAGTCGCCTTATCCTGCTGCAGGCTCTCTAGCTGCTTGCGATGCAAATCGCAATTAGAACCTCCAGTTAGGGTGGCCACCGTTGACAGAGGATCCGTGTGGGCCAGTTTCCGCTTGAGCTCCTCGTTTTCGGTGCGCAGACGTCTCAGATCGATGCTGGCCTGCATCAACTCGGCTTCCAGTTCGCTGATCCTAGCCTCGTAAACGATATTTGGGGCACTTGCATAGCGAGGACTCTGAACTTGTCCTTTGCAGGCACTCTTCCTCGGAGTCGATGGTGTCTTTCGTCCACTGGCGAACACCAAGTGCTCGTCACTATCCGAGGAAGGACTAGTGGTGTTTATTGGTGGCTGAGTCTTCCCCGAACCCAGAGCCACCAACTCAGATCGAGCATTCTCCGTTAGCTGCTCATTCTCATTGATCACATCCTTGACTTTACCCAGCAGATTGGTCAGCTCATTGCGACAGTACTTGGACTCCTTTTCCAGCTGCTCGATATAGTCCTCTTGCTTCTCAATGAAGCTGAAGATCTCCACAGGAGCTGGGACACTGTCCGCGGGAAGAGGAGCAGCCGGAACCGAAGTGCTCGGGTAGAGAGCGGGAGTGGAAGCTAGATTCTCCTTGGAAGCCGAGAGATACCCTGAGGTATAGTTCTTCTTCGGACGATAAGAGGTAATCCGCGACTTCTGGCTGGGCGACAAGTACTTGGAAATGTCCGAGAAGACGGGACGCTCAATAACCTACAGGAAAATGAAATTTAAGAACTCTTTCTAATCCCTCAAATAATCCAACCCACCGATAGGTTGTCGGAGAAGTTGTCCCCGGAATCCTCGTTGAAGTTGCGCAAATAGGAAGACACACCCCCTCCCAATTTGGGTGCCACGTAGGAGTTGTCGGCCAGCATTACCTTCAGCCTACCCACTGCCTCGTTGTAGGCATAGTTGGTATAATCCATGGTCTTGCTCTTCTTGCTGATGCCCCCTTTCGAGGACTTCATCGGGAAGTTTCTAAAAATATTACAGGGAAGAAAGAGGAGGACAACACATATCTAAGATCACATTTTTACACAGAATTTTGACTAGAAAACGGAGTTGCTGAGCAACTGAAATGGAAAATGGAACTGAACCCGCAACGAAAAAAGCCAAACTGAGGCTGTTCCTTTTGGGGTGACAATTGGAGTTGGTGTTGCAGTGTCAGTTGTTGCCAGGACGACAGGTTGGCCAAAATACAGTTTTAACCCTCTGCTCTTGTGGGCGACTATATGCGTCACGGTTGAGCTAACACCTTGGCCAGGGGTTGTTAAATCCTGGCCACCCCATGCTATGATTACATTCGTAATTTCGTAAGTGTGGAACTCCTGAAAAACTATCTACTAAACCGGGAATATGTGTGGTATCAAAAAATTGATTGGTAGAGGATTTTCTAATAAGGAAGTAAAAATCATATTTTGTTCCTTGATTTTCTAGGTTGAGTCAAAATCACTTACTAGGATGGTTAGGCAACATCATAATAAATGAAAAATAAAAAACTTATATTAAAAGATAATTTGAATTCCATCAACGAAAGCTTTAAAAATGTCTACTTTAAAGTTGATTAACTAAAAGACAACAATTTAAACGATTTAAAAATTTACACAAATTCGTAATAATTTTACTGAATAGTAGCTCCTTCTTTGAGTTTATAAATTCCTACAAATAACTTTCTTTTATTCTCTCTCATTGCACCCTTACAATGTTATATAATTGCTTTGTTTTCCACAACTACATCTTGAGATAAACTGTTTCTGTCAGCTTCTAAAGAAACAACTTAGCAAAGACAAAAACTTCTTGCAACATCTCAAGACAGTTTGAAAGTTTCGACTTTCCAAACCCTGACCTTCTGCTGGCCGAAGGATTACCTCGATCGCCGCTTAATCCGACCACCCGCACTGCTAACGCTGGCAATGCTCTCCCTGTCCGAATATCCTGTGGAACGCTGCTGGGTGAGATGACGCAGGTCGTCACTCGTCAAAAGCGAGGACGATGTCAGATGGCCGATGTTGCCGGTGTGGGCTTGCGGTTGGTTCTGCAAGTGCGAGTGGCTCCGGGTACTTTTCGGTTGGTACAAAGGGGCGCCGTACTTGAAGAAGTTGTCTGCTTTCATTTTACACAGAGAGGGGCATGAAGGAGGTAAGAGGTAGAGTTGGGGTAACTTGGCTAAAAGTTTTTGTGGCACAATCCAACATGCAACTCAGTTCGGGAGCAGGGGAATCACTTGTGGTATGCACTTCCTTCCGCCTTGCGGTTCTGCACTTTAATTGTTTCTTTGTTTCTGCGAAAGAGTGAGCGACAGGACGACAGGACGACGACGCGATGAAGTTAAACTGAAACGGCCGCAAACACAAGTCAGAGCTTTTATAGACTCGGTTGGACCCCAATGGATCCACGAAAAATCCCCCCAACTCCATATGGTATATGGTTTAGTGTGCCTTGGTAATGGGTTTGGTGCCACGTCGTGCCCTGTCAGCGAGATTCCAAAACACTCCCATTAGCATTTCCCTCGCTGCAATGCAATTGTCTCCATGGCAGCACAGCGATTCGATAGGGGGCAAGTCCTGGAATCTCTCCGGTATTGGTTCGTCACCTGTTTGATCGATACCCAAGACAGGGGGACTCGTCAATGCACTGGAGACACGCTCATTTGTGCCAATATTTGGTCATATACATAGGCACCCCCCTCCTCTGCTCTTCTTCTGGGTTGTTCAACTTTGGGCTTGTCTTTCGGCTGCGAATCGAGGCCAAAAACGTTTTCATTGCATATTTTAAGGGCTGCTATCTAGGTTTATGTCTGCAGTTATATATAGTTTGAAGTTACTATATCCCTTACTCGCTCTTAAGTTGAGTAATTTAATTAGGGACGATTAATATTTAAATCGGGGTAACAAGGTCAAAGTGTCAGAAGTGAGAATGCTAGTTTTATTGTCTGAAAAGCGGGGCTTGCAACGAAATGTTGGCAGCCGTAAAAGCTTTACCTTTTACTGATACTACATTGCTGTTTATATACCTCCAAAAATATAAACACCTTTCAGCTCAGTATCAATACTTTCAATATGAATAACCTTCAGTGAGCACTCTTACCGAATTCCTTTTGAAGGCTATTAAATTTCAGAATTCCGTTGCCAGGGGCCAGCTAGTGCCACATGTGGTAACCGCCTAGACTCGCCAACAATTGATTGTCGATGTTCCTATAACTTATGGCCAAATCACAGACATTTAATAGCCCAAATAACTCAGGCTCGGTAGCCGTCGATGCAACAGCTCCCACCAACCCCGCGACCCCATGCCCTCCCCTCTCTACTTCCTTTGGCCTTCCGTACAAGCTCTCAAAGCCTGATCAGGCGATCCGAGGCAAACCCATCCCAAGTGCAGCCACACAATCAATCAATGCAATCTCTGTTATCATGAATAATATCCTAGCGGGCAAATGCACAGCAGCAGCCGCAGCAACAGCAGCAACAGCTACAACAGCAATTGCAGCGACAGAGCCAGAAACCCTTTTGGCCAAAAAAAAAAAAAAAAAAAAGATTGCAAAAATAAACCATTTTCCTGCACACTTTGAGTGCCCTTTTCCATATATATTATCAGCTTCTTGCGATTTAATTACCCAGGCTATGGAAAACAGCAGCAGCAGCAATAACAGCAACAATAAGACCAGCAAGAACAACAGCAACAGCAGCAGCCAGCGAAATTAACCCTCTGAGATAAACGCATAATTCCGTGTGCAAAAATCTGCAAGACAATTCATAAACATAACCTACACGAACCCAGTCTCTGAAGTGGCCGTGTGTGTGCGAGCGCCTTATCGATCGTGGTCAAGAGCAGCGGCAAGAGACCCGAACCCGAACCATGTCCAGTCCCAATCCAAGTTGGAAGCCCTCGGGGCGCTCTCAGCAATTTTCATTGCTCCAGCTCTGGCAGCAGCAACTTCAACAGCTGCACTGGGAAAAATTGAATTTCAAATAAGAGCATTTTGAAGTGTGAACAGCCTGAATTTGAAGTTTGAGATCCTTAACTCTAAAGATTTCTAAGGACTCTGCAAGATATCTTAAGGTATCTTTAAGCTACTTAAATAATTATGAGCATCTGGAAAATCAAATCTTTTAACATATCAAATAGAGTTTTATGCATAGTTTTATGTTTTTAAAATATTTTAAAGATTTTGTTCAGTGCAAAACTGCAGCCTTAGCCTCTCCGCTGTGATCGTTGTCGCGATCTGTTGGCCCGGTCGTCCTCCGACTTGCTCTGATTCTGCGCCCAACAACAATGTGGCGGGGACCGCTTGCAGTCGCTGCGGCCTTAGCTATTTACAACACTGCATTCCTGCGCCGCAGTCATTCAAGAAGAAGTTAAGAGCTGGGCTGGCTAAAACGCAGCAGGCCGAGAGCGGACCGAAAACTGAGCTGTCGAAGGCGAAGTCGATGTGGAAGTCGAAGTCGAGCGCTGAACTTGTTTCATGCCACTTGGGCTTAGTGTGTGCCCGATCCCCTATACCATTGATCTCCCCTCGCTCTTTTTGCCTCTTAAATGCTGTAATAAGCCAACAACAGCGGCCAGAAAACATGTTTATGAAAAGAAAGAAATTCCATTGCAAACAAAAGAGGAAGGGAGAGGGCGAGAGGCGTGCGCTGCGCATGCGCGCCTGTAATCCAGCTCACTTACACACAGACACACACACGCAAGCACTCACTTGGTCATGCTCTTAAGCCTTTTTTTGTTTTAAGATTTGCGAGCTGGAATCTTGATGACTCTCTCTCTCTCTCGGAGGGTTCTCTTCTTGTATGCCAGTTTGGCCCACAGGCATAGTTAGTTATGCCATGGTGGAAATATTTTTGCGAGCACAGCAGCAAAGCAACAAAAACGTTAAAGTAGCACAACATATTCAACAGGTGGTGGATTGTTAGCGGGACGGGGAGCAGTAAAGAGAGCCAGGAGTTTGGCAATGAGGTGAATATTTTTAAAAAATTATGGTGAGCTTGTCTTGCTCTCTAATAATACTGTTATTTGTTAAGTTGAAAAATAACTTGTAAGACTTTAAAGCTTTTTGCCTTAAAAACCTAATGAAATTATAATAATTCAGCATAAAAATAGGATTTTGGATTTTTTTTAAATTCTTTGAAAGTATTTAACATTTTTTTAAAGACCAGTTGTGCATTAAAATTAATATTTTTTATTTGTTAAAGTACATTTCCTTAAACATAATATAAATTAATTGAAATGAAGTTTTTTATTTACTTTTCAAAAAAAAAGGATTAAAATTTCCGATTTTTTAAATTCAAGAAGTTCGTTGCCTAAGTCTTTTCTTTTTCCTCCTGGCAATGCTCACCACTCTCTCACCACTTGAGGTGGATTTCTGCCATGCTCAAGAGAGCATGTTACTCTCTTTCGCCTGTGCCATGATCAATGGCCACCAGACTCTGCGGACTTTGCATTCAGTTGCCATTTACCTGTCGACGGTTCGAGGTGCACGTGTGTCCCGGTGTCGTTGAAGCGGACCAAACCGAATCTCCAGGCGCCGCTCTGCGTTGCGTGCCTACGTGTCCTACGTGTGTGTCTGTGAGTGTCTGCACTAGTGTTGGTGCCGTGAGTCAGTGAGCGCAAAAAAGATAACACAAAGAGCCACAGTGAAAGATCATTACGCACACACTCTCGAGCGACCTGCAATGAAAATAAAGTAGAGAAAAGAGTGTTTGTGTATGTGTTAGTGTTAGTGGCTTAGCTGAGTGGAATAACAGAGAAAATAAATGGAAATTAAATGAAGCTGCAAAAACTGCCAAATAAACAAAGTGCTATGCGATGCATAAATGAGAACCCAAAGGGAGTTACCTGTATAATCATCAAGGTAGAGCTGGCGATCACAACTTATTAAATTGCAATTCGAGATTCAGGTTTTCAGGTTCTCTCTCTCTCTCTCTCTTTCGTTCTCTGCCTAGCCGTCTCTCTCTATTGCTCTGTCTTACTGTATGGCTTCTTAGGCATATATATTCTTTAGTTTTCTTTATTAATATTGCACGATCGTAAAAGTTTAATGGAATTATTCGAACGCCCATTCCCTGTGACACCTCGGTAAAAAAAAAAAGAAAAGAAAAAAGAAAAACGAAAAAGAAGTGGAAAACCCTCGACCCCAAACCAGTTGCAAAAGTTGTCACATTAAAATCACACCTTTGGAGATATATATTTATTGTTGTTGTTGTTGTTGTTGTCGTTGTTGTTGCTTTTGGCTGCTGCACCACTTTGGCATATAACTCGTTCGCGATGCAACGTTACAACCACCGATGCAGATCTCCAGATGGAGATGGAGATGGAGATACACCCTCTCGACGAAGTGGTTGCATGCAAATTATACACGTAGAGGAAGTCGGGATCTCTCGACTGGTCATTAACTCAACTAGGAGTTGCTGCAACGGATATGTTTATGGCCAACTGATTGAATTTCATCCTCACACACACACACACATAAACTCGTACACTCATCTAACGCCTGGCAATTATCCGCAGAACGACTTTCCTTTTTCCACAGCGATAATACCCATATTCATATTTTTCCTGGAATTACATAGTACACCAATAGAGAGATAGATGTATAGATAATTTCATTGCTGTTGAGCTGGAGGTAGAGCTCTTTGGCACACGTGTTGGCCAAATGTTTTCGGTTCTTCACATCATTAGCAAAGTGCCCGAGGGTTTGCCCCTGTAGTTCGGTTAGCTGGAACTCATATATATATATAGATATATTCCCAACCCGAAACAAGCTGATGAATTTATTATATCTCTGCCTCTTAACCCTTGTAATTTCTGCATGTTAAATGATTACAAATTGGTCATTTGATATCACAACATTTTGGCATTTGTCTTCAGATCGCACACTTTCTCAGCCAGCGGCGGCAAAGTCGAATCGAATCGAAAGCGGTTAAAGATCGCCCGCTTACTCGTGCATTTACCAACAATTTCAAATATTTCCTATTATAAAAAAAAGAAAAAAAAAACAAAAATGTCAACATATGCGCATTGCAATGACAGGCCAACCACTTGGCCACTTGGAGAGCCAATGCAATCCACAATCCGGCGGTCCAGCAGTCCAACAGACCAACATCTCAGCCATGGCCCGCAGCCCCAATCAAAGCCAAAAAGCTTTCAAGCCAAAAGGCTGCCGCCGTCGCATTCGTTGCCGACATGGAAAAGCCACTCGCCGATTTCATGAGATTTTCAACAGTTTTTACCTTATTTATTTCGTATTTTTATATTTTGAAGTCTGTTGGTTGGGTTACATTAACTAGCGAGAGAGTCTTGAAATTTTTCTTTTGCTTACAAATAATATTAATTATTATTTAAGTTATTTTAAACGTTTAACAGTTTTGAATAGGATGGACTTATCTATTTCTTTCACAAAGTGTGTCCGTTTCGGTATTATGATGTCCTCTTCTTTGCATTCAGCAAAATTACATGATCTTCTGAGCTAATAGGTTGATGTAGGCATGGCTATAGTAACTATCTATTTACAAGTATTTTCATTAAGGGATCTAGATCTTAACTAAATTTAAATGAAAAAACTTCTATTTTACATTTCTCAGATAGTAGTTTCCCTCCTCCTACCTAGGGTATTTCCAATTCGTTGTTTCCCCCCGGCTAATCGACTTTCCTTTCTTGTCCGCAACTTTATTGTACGTCTCTCCCCGCCCGCCGTCGTGAGTGGGGGTATTTATGTGTCTGTTTGTATGATTTCATAGCTCTTGCAACAGCGCAATCAGCAAATACTAAAATGCAATGCGACGTATTTTTTATTATTTATTTTTACCTTTATTTTCATTTTTCTTCGCTTTTTTTTTTGTTTTTTGTTAAAGCCAAAGCTGGCCGCGAATCGTGGCCAAGAGAGCTCGGAGTTGCAGTCGCATTTGCAGTCTCTCACGCCACAAGCGACAGTTTTGTATTAGAAACGGCAACTTGTAGCTGCAGCTAGTTACGAGCTTGACGATTACCTGGTGGAAAAGGAGAAGAAGGAGATGGTGGAGGGGTACAGGGTACAGGTGGGCTAAGAAGGGGGGCTAGCTGGAATGTTGTTTCTACTAGCTAGTTGGCAATGTTGCCGAGTGACTGACATAGTTGCTGCTTTAGTTTGTAGTTGCAATTGTTGTTGCTGCTGTTGTTGTCGCAGGGCATTGCAGGCTGAACTTTTAAATGAAATTTGTTAAACAATTTATGTGTAGCATATTAGATGGCAAAAATACCCGATAGACAATATATGCGGGCGTCGTTTTTTTTTGGCTTTTGGTTATGCGGGCCACCAGAGAGAGAGACATAACCTGTTTCGTTCTCTTTCTCACCGGATTCCCCGAGTGAAAAGTGGCCAACAGTCGGAGGCAAAACGGTGCTTTTCTCTTGCACTTATCACTCTATCATGGACATGTCTCTTTCTCTCCATCTCTCTCTCTCTCGCTCTTTCTCTTTAATGAAATGTAATTTGAAAAATTGCGCGCGGCAAATTGTTGGCTTCTTGTTAGAGAGACCTCGTTGTCTTGCACAGAATTTCAAATATTTTGTCTTAATTAAAATTTTCCCCAATCTCTCTCTCTCTCTCTATCTGTCTCTGTCTCTGTCTCTTTTTGGCTTTGAGCCAAAACCAGGCCTGTCTGTCTTTTTCCGCAAAAGAAAAAAAAATAAGTCGGGCAACTCTTTTAGATAAATTAACTCTGACATTTGGTCCGTCAAGCATTTGTCGCTTTTTGCATTTGCTCGACATTTTTATTGGACTTTGACTTGGCCTGGATTTATGTGTTTCGGATTTGGGGGGATCTTGGCGATCTGGTGATCTTGGTGATCCGTGGTATTAGCCACGGTGCCATCATTCACGTCCGCAATTGTGTTGGCCAACGTCAACGTCAACGGTGTGCCTCTGGAGCAGCATGTAATTTGCAATGAGCTCGCCTTACTTTCTGGGTCTCATTTTGTGATTTATTTGGCCCAGGCTGGCTGCCTCTGCCTGTTTAATTTCATCTTAAGCCTTGCTTTAAGCACAGTTGCTGCCAAAAGTTAATGTTTAAGTGGCATTGGAGGCAAAACAAAAGACTCAGGCAACGAACTGGTTCGGTGTGGAATTTGAATTATGCTCGAGTCGAGTATGAGTTGCTGGCCAAGAATCTGCCTTTGATTGATGGCAGTCTCAATGTTTCAATCGCCACGAATGTTGTACCTGTGTTCACGGTTCATTATATAAGATTCGGTTTAATTAGCTCGACTAAAAATCTGCGCGTTCTTCTTTAATGGGTTTCGGTGAAATTTCTTCTTAGTTACAGATAATGACGAAAGAAATGGCACAAAACCATTAAGGAAATTTCGAGAGCAGTCAAGTCCAATTTTGATGGTTACAGCGTAGAACGTCAAGAAATCAATTTATATCTATCTTTCTATATATATATTAAAAACTTTTTTGCTTTATCAGATCAATCAGCGGTGAACAAAAAATGAGCGATGGCCAAGTGGAAATCTAAACAAGTTTTTCCACAGTCAGTGAGCAGCTTCCTGAGAAAGTTTTTTGTGCGTTCTTTTTTCTGTTTTTGCCAAAGTAATTGAGATTGCAGAATCTACAAATTGATACAAAATTCCAATAATTTACAGTTACCAGCGGGGCAGAGATATATCCGCAGATATCGCATAGCTCGAAGTCGAAGTCAAGATGAATGCTCTAATTAATTCAAATACCCTCTTCATCCGATACTTTCTACCAGATCAATCTCTTTCACCAGCTTCCCATCTACGGCCTATTTAACTCTTATAATGAATGCCTATTTACATATGCAGACGCTGAACAATATATAAATATCATTTCAAAACGCCGCCTATACATATTTAATAATCCAATACAAAGAAACACATTCTCCCCTCTTTTCGCAAAACATTTCGAATTCTTTGTGAACTGTGTCAACTTTCAATTCTTTTCATCGGTTATTTGCATAGAAACAACATCAAAACACGAGGAGCCACCGAATCGGAGTTCATTTAACTGAAGTGAACGGTTGGCAGTTGTTGTGCCAAATTAAATGTGTTCAAATAAATATTTAAGCAGCGCCTAATTGGCATTGAGTAAATAAATTTGGGAATTTTTTAGTAGGCTGTTGGCAGTAAGCAGTGATGTTAGCTCAGCTTAATGGGTTATTAAGTAAAAAAGATATATTCCCGCATAAAATTACCTTAACCGATGAATACAAATAATGTTTAAATACAAATGCCTCGTTAACGTGTTGCCTTTTATAGCGTATTTAACTGGCGGCTTTCGTTTGGCATATTAATTTGCCTATAAAAGCTGATTAAGATTCGTACCTTTTGCATTTATCAACTTGCAACGGAATCCCACATAAATCATGCTAGTCAAATGGCTATATCTTGGACTGATCTTAATGGTCTTTACACCTCACACTAGCAGTTGTAAGTAGAGCAGCATAAAATATATTTTAACATGTATTTTCATTCAACATTAAATGATTCAACTTAGGTAAAGCTATATGTCTTTTGCCTCAGAATACTGGAAAAGGATCGTTTCAGAGTACTCGCTGGTACTATAATAGAAATATGAAAGCTTGCCAACAATTTAGGTTCTATGGAAGACGTGTTAGAGGAAATGGCAATGCAAATAACTTTGCCAGTTGGTGGCAATGCAAGTTGAATTGTTTGTGAAAATTACATATATGATAAAAAATATTTAAAGTTATTACTTATAGCTCTCTAAAGTGCTTAGCTCAGTATTAAAACCCAGAAACTTATAGGTATGTTCCTCCTTATTAGCTTCAAAACACAGTAATAGGGTTAAAAATGTACATTTTGTTTAAATAAATATACAACTTTTTAACACATCAACTTATGCCTTAAGTCGTTATTAATCGTTATTATCTATTTTACATCTGCAGTTGCCTCATTTTTCCCTCTGCTTTACCTTTACTAAATGCCCAAAAAGCAGTTTCAAATTCATAGCAGATGATTTCAAATAAACAACTAACAAAATATTTGTTTATCATCCGAACTTTAGGTTTACCAATATAGTTTGCTTTAAGACAGCTGATTTAATATTGCTTTATAGTTGGGAAAGAATTTTTAAGGCTATAAAAGCTTTCAATAGCTGTGTCTTCATGTTAGTTTCCATCATTTCGCCATGCTGTTAAAGATTTCTTGTCTCCTGATTCTGTTAGTGCTCTTCCTAAGCCAAAGTCTTTCAAGTAAGTGTGATTTTACCTCAAAGTTATAGAAAATCACATTTTAAAATCCATCTCAAATGTGATTTTAGTCAAACGCAGATGCCTTCATGAGCTAGATCAAGGCAAAGGAAAGGCCTACCTGCGCCATTGGTTCTACAACTCTACATCCCAGAGATGCCAAAGGTTCATCTTTTATGGTGGAGCCAGGAATGGCAACAACTTTAATACCCAAGCCCAGTGTCGCAAAATTTGCCTAACCCAACAGGTCGCGCCAATTAATTTGGCAGCCAGTGATGATGGCTTTTAAAAAGAACAAAGATCTGAATCAAATACAAACTAATAAATGAGACTTAAGTAAGTTAAGGCAAGGCGAGCTAATTGCATTTTCTGTGAAATCGCTGAGAAAATCAAGTTGAAGCTGCGCCCATTTTTATTTTATTTTTTGCTGGCATGCGCAAGAAATATTTTTTATGACTTAAGTTTATTTTTTTTTTTTTTTTCTTGTCTCTTATTTTTTGTTGTTGTTGTAAAACTTGTCAGCGCCACCCACTTTCTAGGCAGGCCACGAGTGGGTGTCTATTTGCCCAGGAGGTGTTAGGCGGGTGCGCTGACAACCCAATGGAGCCGCAGCAACAATTGCAATAGCAAAAGCAACAGCAACCGCAACAGCAGCAGCCACAACAGCAGCAACATCAACGTTTTGCTAAATCAAAATTGACACTATGCAAAAAGCCAACCCACAGAGCGGCAATTGCTGTTAGAGGAAAACGGTAGCCACACACATACATAGGCATACAGAGGAAACCGTGGCTTTGGGCCAAGACTTGGGGCCAGGCGCTCAGCATGCCGAGCCATGGAGGCCAAAAGGTGCCCGCTGTCCGTGGCGCCAAGATGTTGCCGTTGTTGTTGGTGTTTGCCGCTGGTGCTGATGTTGTTGTTGTTGCCGTTTGGCGTTAGATTTCAACCATGTGCAGACAACAGTCGCCACACACAAACGCTGAAAATAGCAGTTATTAGTTTGACACAGCGCACAGTGTGCCTTTGTCGAATGGGATTTATGAAGAGTTTGTTGGGAGAAAAAAGTAATTACAGAGGTGAAGAAAATAAAGCTAAAGTGCCTATTTTTTAGCATTATTATATTATTAAAGTGTTTAACAATTCGTTTTACTATTTTATTTGATAAAAAGAGAGAAATAATTGCAGGATTTTGGCATTTCTCATAGCTTATAAGCAAAATGAAAAATATAATTTAGGTAATAAAAATCATCACAATTTTATTAGGATTATTTGGAATCTATATAACGCATATTAGTTAACCTTTTCACATAGTTAACTAACAAGCAGTGCTAACTAATAAGACATGATAGCACTAATAAGATTTTAAAATCACTTCTTCATCTCTTAATAAGATTATTATGATAAAGAAGTGGTTTTAAAAGGCCTAGCCCATTAATTTTTATTTGTTAATCCCGCACCGTAAACGCCTCTTAGCCATTAGTTACCTCAATCATTTATTTAATAACTTTAATAACTTTTTCATATTTTTCCCAATGTGCCAGCGGAGTAGTCTTGCCTTGTTTGACTTGGAGTTTTGAGTGCACCGTGGGCACCAGCATGGCGACATTTGCTCATTAAGCATATTAAATAATTAGTACTTGTTGTTGTCATATTTTATGTGCTCGTTGAGCTCAGTTGAAGAGGCTTGGCATGGCTTGGCTTGGACAAGGGGCATAAAGATAGAGATAGGAACATAAACACAGATCGAGATAGATAGATACACGGACCTAGACCAGTTTCCACTAGATGTCCGACAAGAGCTTGGCCTTAGCTGAATGCTTTTGTTGTTGTTGCTTTTACTTTGTTTTTAACTTTTTTATTTGGCCAATAAAAATTGTGAAATATATATGCGGCTTAATTGAGCAGCAATTGATGGAGCAACTCGACAGATATGAAGGTAAGCCGCGATTTCAACTTAATTGCGAGGACATGCAAATCTAAGCGGTAATAAAAGTTAAACGATAATGCTCATTTAAGTTAAATAAAATGTAAAGAAAATATATATTCACGCATCGTAAATTCTCAGTCAATAAAAATATAATAAATATGAAGGTAAACGAGATAATTAATTTTATTGTGAGAGTATTTTGTAAGGTAATTTGAGTAAACAAATAAAAAGTTACTACCCATGTTTAGATAAATGCTCGTTCAATAATATCAAATATATTACCAATATAAAAAAAGGCAACTTTCTCCTTGACTTTAGACTATGTCTTAATCTTAATCTAGGCTTAAAGTGTTGGCCAACAAGAACTTTACAAGCTCTGTGGGCTGTTTACAAGATCTAATGCGTTACTAATGATATTTCAAGCCCTTCGTAGAACAAAACAAACAAAATGAATTAGATTTGCATGTAAATTTATGCAAATTCCATGCTGTGTTGCCCAATGAACCATTTGACACTTTTGTCCACACACCACTGAGCCAGCGTGCTTTATTAATTATTTATTGTCCAACTATTGTGAATTATGGCAACGGCTGGCCATGGTCTAGGTAAAAATCAAATGCCCCTCTCGAGGCGGAGTGAAGTGATCTCTCTGGCTCTCGTAGCATTTTCCTTTCTTTCTTGGGGAGATTTTTCGTTGGGGATTTCGAACCAGTTGAGCGACATTCCATATGAGGCGCGACAGGCGACAGGCGGCGGCGGCTCCACTTCACATCGGATTCAGATTCAGATTCCAAGTCCAATTCCGATTCGGTTTTTTGGTTTTTCGTATGGGTTTGGTTTCAGTTTCGGAGATGGCTAAGATTAATCAGCTGCCATAAGCCAAATGACAAGACATATTTCTGTCGGTTGCCCAAAAGTGCTAGAGACCCGCGTGTTATTATTGCTGTCTATTTGTGTTTATTTATGGCGAGGCCAGAAATGATACAACACAAAAATCACAAAATTAATTTCAAATTTGATTACAATAAAGACAAAAACAAAAATAAAGCTAAGCTCCACTTGTGAGTAGCTTTTGATTTACTCGTCCCAAGATCTATGCCCCAACTTTTTGTTGTAGTCCGTAGGTGTGTTCCCAAAACCGTGGCCCCACCCAGAAATGCCACGAAAATTTGAAATAAATTTATAGTTATTTCTTCTATTTAGATAGCTTAGCTGTGGCGAGTAAATTATTCAAAGCCAGAGAACGGTTATGGCTTCTGCCAAAGACATCTCTCTTGTTCCCAACTTTCCGAATTGGGTTACTTTCGGCTTAATTTAAGGTCTTAAGGTTAGGCCAAATTGCGGATGGCCACCAGCCAGCCCACGCCTTCTGCAGCCACAGACGCAGCCTCTTCCTCATCCCAACATTGTGCCCCCACTCCGGTGAAAAACCAAACTGGTTCCGGGACAACAACAATGAATGGAGAAGCCCTGAAGCCGCGGCTCAATGGAAATGACAGCATACGTGTGGCCAAAAATAAAAGATATAACCGTACACCTATAAGGCGGCCAAAAAAAACATAATAATAAACAAAAAAAAAAGGCTAACCAATGATTTGTTTGTGGCGTGGGCGATCCCCTTATTAATTGTGAAAATATATACGTGAGCAGAACGATTTGTTTGCCGACAACCGATAATTCCAACAATCCCCAACTCATTTCACCCACAACATGGATGCTGGATTTGAAAGGTCAGCTGCAGTAAAGTTTCGGAGGAGTGGTTCGGTTAGAAATATCTATAAATATATATCTATATATATATATGTAGATATTTTATGACTCCCAGTTATGACTCCCCATCGCTGCTTTTTCCACTAATAATTGCGAATGGCATGCAGACCCACAAAAGGCTACCCACACACATCCACCAGGCATTCCGTGTTCCCATGGCCATCGCAGATTTGAATTCCATTTGGCCAAGTCTGCGACACAGTCTCTCTTTTTGGCTCAATAAGCTTTTGTTTTGACTTTTTTGGTATAAAAGATATAAGCAAATTCCATAATTAATACTATTTTATTGCAAATTTTTCATTAATTTTATTGGAGTCTTTAAAGGTTTATAAATTGGGCAATCTTTAAAAGGTGTCGCTCATATAGCGAGAAATGACATTTTAGGAAATATTTATTTATAAGAAAATGATCTTGAAAATTGAAATAGCTTTAAATAGTTCTTCGGTTATTTATTTTCCTTTTAACTAAAGCTTAAAAATTTAAGAAATTTAAGACTCTCATTTATAGTGATATCCATTTCTCTTACAGAACTTTGCGCCATTCTAGAGGCTTCTAACTGAGACACAAAATCCCTCGCAAAGGACCAAACCATGTCGCACAAGACGAGCAGCCGTCGCAGCAGCGACCTGGAGTGTCCACTAGCCTCATTGGGTCGCAACAGCAATGCAGTGCGGGACCACTACCACCATCCGCATCCGCTTAGCTCCAGTCCACTGGATCCGCAGGCTTACAAAATGATGTCCCGCAAATCACCGAATCCCGGCATTGATGTTGAGACACTGGCCTCGCGCAGTTCTACGCCACCCAGCGAACAGACTGCGGGATCCTCGACAGCAGCGGCTGCAGCAGTGCTCCATATGGTACAACAGAAAGCGGCCACCTTTGAGCTCAGAGGTCGCCACTCGCGACCGGAACAGGGCAGCTATGGAGCCCATTCAACGGCTTCTGTAGGAAGGCATGCGAAGAAGTCCCCTGAACTGCCGGCACCAGCCTCCAGAAATGTAGCTCCAGTTCCCCAGCCAAGAAACTTCCTGACCCTGGAGCATGTCCTGCAATTCGGAACCCAGCGACCTAGTTGGATGCACGGCAACAGTGCGGATACAGAAGATTCCAGTGACAATAATGCGGGAGGTGGTGGAACGGGCAGTGGGAGTGGTGGAGCAGGTGGACGAAGACGTGCCCAAGGTGGCCGGTGCAGTGTACCCACTGTACTTAGCAGCAATGGTGGCGGCAGCAATGGAGCCCAGTACCTGCTGGACAAGAAGATGGAGTCCCTGTATCTCGGCAATGCTCTGCGAGCTCTTCCCTTGGGCGCCGAGGCGAGTCAGTACCAAAACGAGCGATACTACCTAGAGGATTACAGCAGCGGCAGCGGAAACGAGCGACTAGCAGGTTGGTGATCCTTACAGAAAGGTTCTTATTAAACAAAAATTATAATCTTAAATCTGTATTACTCAGAACGCCTTCACCATCCGCGCACCTCCAGTCCCAGCGAGACGAGTGGCTCGGATCGCTATCTGCTAAACAGGAGCTCAAACTCCAATCACCTGCACTCCAAAGGCCAGAGCCTGTCGGATGGTCTATGCAATCTAGGCAGATTTTCACCCAGTTTGGATCAGGGTTATGCCACTCTGGTCTCACCCTCGCCAACGGGTCACCATTCAAGTGGCGTGGCGGGAAACGTGACCAGCACCACCACGGCCAGTGGAGCGGGGATTATGGCTAGCAGTACTCCAACGACAACTCCGAGAAGAGGAGTATCCAGCAATGGAGTTGGAGGAGGTGGTCCTGTCACAGCCATTGGACCGCCTCCATGGAACCGCAAGGGTCCCTTTCGTTGCGGTCCGCTCTTTGACCGTCTGCCTGACGAGGCCGTCGTCCGGATCTTCTCCTGGCTAGACAGCTGCGAGCTTTGCAACGTTGCGAGAGTTTGTCGAAGATTCGAGCATCTCGCTTGGCGGCCCATCCTTTGGAAGGTGATTTCGCTGCGAGGTGAACACCTAAATGGCGACAAGATCCTGAAGATGATCTTCCGGCAGCTGTGCGGCCAGAGTTGTAATGGCGCCTGTCCAGAAGTGGAGCGTGTGATGCTCGCCGATGGCTGCCGCATCTCGGACAAAGGACTCCAGCTTCTAACTCGCCGTTGTCCAGAGTTAACCCACCTTCAACTTCAGACCTGTGTGGGCATCTCGAATCAGGCACTGGTCGAGGCTCTGACCAAGTGCAGTAATCTGCAGCACTTAGATGTGACGGGTAAGCAGATGATCCTATAACTGGTTATAATAAATAAATATTCATTTATTAATGTTACCTTCCTAAAGGCTGCAGCCAGGTGAGCAGCATTAATCCCAATCCCCACATGGAGCCCCCTCGCCGCCTTCTGCTTCAGTATCTTGACCTTACGGACTGCATGGCCATCGATGACATGGGCCTGAAGATCGTGGTCAAGAACTGTCCCCAGCTGGTGTATCTTTATCTGCGACGCTGCATACAAATTACGGGTGAGTTTGGGAGTACTAAATTTATGGTTTAATATAACTAACTTCTATCATCCACATCCAAATAGATGCGGGTCTAAAGTTCGTGCCCAGTTTTTGCGTTTCGCTGAAGGAGCTGAGCGTGTCCGACTGCCTGAATATCACCGACTTTGGCCTATACGAGTTGGCGAAGCTGGGAGCTGCACTTCGCTACCTTTCCGTGGCCAAATGTGAACGCGTTTCGGATGCTGGGCTAAAAGTCATCGCCAGGCGGTGCTATAAGCTGCGGTATCTGAATGCCCGGGGATGTGAGGCTGTGAGCGACGACTCTATTACGGTTTTGGCACGTTCCTGTCCTCGGCTGAGAGCCTTGGATATTGGAAAATGCGATGTCAGCGATGCGGGTCTTCGAGCTCTTGCCGAGAGCTGTCCAAACCTAAAGAAGCTCAGCCTACGCAGCTGCGACATGATTACGGATCGCGGGGTGCAGTGCATCGCCTACTACTGCCGCGGACTACAGCAACTGAATATCCAGGACTGCCCGGTATCCATCGAGGGCTACCGGGCAGTCAAGAAGTACTGCAAGCGCTGCATCATCGAGCACACCAATCCGGGATTCTGTTAAGATTACCCTTTTGGAATAAGACACCACAAAGCACAGAGGCAGGCCATAAGAGCAGATATTGTTGATAGTAACAACTGCACAAAATGAAGGAATTTATGGGCATAAGGAGTCTTAATAAGTCCCCGGAGTCGGGAGACAAAAAATTATGAAGTGCCACTTTTGGGAACCAAACCCTTGATCATCCACTAAAAGAAAGTGAAAATATTTTAATTTAAAAACTCTCTTTGCAATCTTTGCCATTTAAAAACTCTCTTTGCAATCTTTGCCACCAACTTGCCACAGAAAGAGGCAGTTTCCCATTTCCGCTAAGAGATGATCAAGGAGTTTAGTTGTTATTGTAAATTGTATATATCGAACGGAAGCTGGACAGGATTAGCGTAGCATAGAACATGTTAAAGTAGACTATGTTTAAGTAGACTAATTCTTGACGTAATAAATTATTGTCCCCACCAGAAGCCGTTTAGTGCAGTTTCTTGGACCTACTCTTCGGAATATCAAATATGCTGAGCTTTAGTTGCGGCACATGGTCAAGGATGTACTGCGGACGAATGTCCATGAGTTCCCGAGTGTAGTGGTTCTTGGTCTTGGTTTTTCGTAAGCGATCTAATTTGATGGTGGCTTTCATGGCTGGTTCACGGTCTTTCGACATATTCCTATAAGGAATAATCTTAATATTGGTGCACTGACCCCGATCCAAATAGTTGATGGTGGCCATTAAAGAGCGAATGTCTGCAATTACGCCGGTGGTTTTTTCATGAATACCGCACAGGTCTTGCAAATCAGCTTGGATCCTCGATAGTCGTTTATCAACTGAGGCTTGAGTCTTGGGATTACAGCGCTTCTGATGCGGAACGGAATACTTGAACGAGGGTTTTTCTTCCTTAGTAATTGCAGTGGTTGCTTCCTCACACGGTTTGGGCATTAACTTCTCTGACACTTCCATCAGACGCACACGCTCCTCCAACGTATTGAGCGGTATCTGGCGGATTATACGTCGCAGTTGCTTGTGCTTCTGAGGTGAGAGAAGGTGCTTATTTTTCTGGAAACGCTCCACTCCACGACGCAGGGTTTCCATCATATTCATCCAGACGTCCATGCCCTTACTCTCCTGTTCAATTTGATTCTGCAGGCGATCCCTCTTGGACTGAAAATGACGCAGTTGCCGCTGCAGGAGAACCACCTGATTCTGGTCATCATAGTGCTTACGTAGCAATCGTTCGTAAGCCTTATACCACTTGGGCTCGAGAGGCATCTGCTAAACTAGCTTAATTTTGAAATTTTAAAAAAGATAACTGACAGATACAACTGTCGATAGTTTCTAGGAACAAAGAGATAGATTACAAAATAGCTATATTTTCCCAATGAAACCTATCGATAGCTATCGAAGAAGGTAATGTACCATCCCCAACCAATCAGCTGTTTCGCTTGCTTTTCGCCGCCAGGTAAATCGCCTGGTTATAAATTAAAAATTCATTTTATCTAACTAATATTAAAAAAAATTAATCCAAATTTTTTGCTAAACGCGGTGTGGTAATTTCTTCTGACCGGCAACTATAGAACAATCCAGTTGGATCACCGGTGGCCGTTCAGCTGTTGCGTAATTTGAAAGACACGTTTTTAAGGCCCCAAAATTCAGCTGTAATCTACACAGAGTGCCTCAGATTTTACGTTCGAGCCGAGCAGTACAAGAAACCAGCTCACGTCGCCATGGCAAAGTATATCGCCCAAATCATCGTTTTAGGCGCTCAGGCGGTCGGGAGAGCCTTCACCAAGGCTCTGCGTCAGGAGATCGCTGCATCCCAGGAGGCGGCACGACGTGCGGGCGGCGGAAAGCAGGGCGACAAGAGCGCCGAGTCCAACCTGCGTACAGGTAAGTCTTGCTCGTAAGCATTGATGATATCCCGGTACTTACACCCATTTCTACTTTGCAGGCATGACGCTAGAGGAGGCCAAGCAGATCTTAAACGTGGACGATCCCAAGAATGTGGAAGCCATTATCAAAAACTACGAACACTTGTTCCAGGTGAATGAACGATCGAACGGTGGATCCTTCTATATCCAGTCAAAGGTTTTCCGAGCAAAGGAGCGACTTGACCATGAAATTAAGGCCCAGCAGCCCCGGCAACCGAAGCAGGAAACGGCGGAAGCGACAGAGGAGGAGCCACAAAGCAGGGCGCGGCAGCGACGTTGAGTATCCATATTGCCTCCCATCGAACTAATTAGCTGTTAATTGATTTAAAAACTATTTGTTAAGTACAAAAAATGAAAGTCTGTTGATGTAAATAGAAGTTTACGAACATGATATGGATTGTAATCTAATTTTTGTAATGAAACTAGCGAGTTTCAATGCGGCTTCCATTAAATATCTAAGGGACATTAATAACGTATTTCTACCGTAAAATGATGCTGAAATAGACTTTTCCAATTGGGAAATTAACATAACAAATTTGAAATTCATTTTAAAATCAGCTGCTGTAAGCTAGTTCTAAGCCAATTTATCGATAGACGGGGTGGTGCTGCTATCGACCGCCAGCTGTCAGCTGTTCGATGGGTAGCACTGTTTAAAAAGCAAACCAAAAATAATCTTTACTGGTGCGCAGTTGTTGTTTCTTTAGACGTGTCAATTGTTTGTCTAATATTGCGCCAGCCAACGACGCCAAAACACACATGCGCATTCCAGCGGACAAAGGAGAATAGAAACCACCACCACCACCCACGAAAATCGCAATAGCAATAACCCAGCGACGCGGAGTAGGGGGTGGTCTCCAGTTTTCCAGGGAGAAAACAAGAATCTAAGAATCCGAGAGAGAATACGAAGACGACACTCCAGCTCGGTATTTGAGCCATCGACATTCCGCTGCTCCGTCAGTTTTCAGAGGACCTTCGAAGTGGGCAGTAGAGAATCCAGTCTCCTGGCAACAAACAAAAATCCAAAAAAAAAAAGATAAAAACCCCAGTTGGCAGAGAAAAGCTCAAGTGGTAATTGGCTGCGACTCAAATTACTTAAGTTGTGCAAATAGCAAACAAAAAAAGCTAATAGAAAAACCAAAAAGAAAAAAACTCGAGCGTGGCGTGTGTCCATGTGGAAAATCGATCGAATCGCAGAGTATTTATCGTGTAATTGTGCCCAATAGCCACGCTATTTCCCAGTCCGTTTTATTGATTTTCCCCACCGCCTCGCCAAAGTTGCAATAAAACAAAAAACCATTCTTTTCCCTTCCATCTCAACATCTGGCCAACATCATCTTGCAGCGTGCAAATTTCAAATTCCAAGTTAAATGCGAGAATTTACATAACGCCGAGCGTTGAAAGTGAAACTTCTGTGGTGCGAACGGAACACTGAAAGAAAGGAAAACCCATTACGGGATATTATATCTCAGCCTCTGCCCAGTGTAGTACAAGTTTTGGAGCGCAAGGAGCGGGAGAGCAGTGTTCCATCAGTGAGAGCCGAGAAAGAGAAAGCGAGAATCGTCAGAGAGCGTTGAACGTGCGCACGTTTTTCTTGGGCAGGACACACCACCACTAATCCTTGAGAGAATCAGCAGGAGCTGCAGGAGCAGTAATAGCAAGCCAACATGTTTTCGGGCCTAACAAATCAATTCACCTCGCTGGTGGGCGCCGTTAAAGGAGGCGCTGGCGACGAGGATGTACCCGCGCCCACAGGAGAGGCGGCCGCAGCGGCACCAGCAGCCGCTGCCTCCACATCATTGGAGGCCACGGCCTCATCTGCCGTCGATCCGGAGGCAGCTGCCGCCGCCGGTGGTGAAGGACTCGAGGGCGAGGAAGCTGGCAAAAGGTGAGTGTAAATTAAAAATTTCCCTTGCGACGGTAATCCTTCGCCCATCTTTCTAGTCTTCCGTGACTGTGACTCCCAAATCCTGACTTCTGGCGACCTGAACATGGCGTGCCAATGTGACCTTGCTATTTGTACCTTTTAACATTTTGCCCGGCGGTGCTCCGGCCTTTTCCCCCAATCGCTTTTCCACGCCACATTCATCATAGTTTTGGCACACTCCGGTTATCCTGCATTCTTCATTGCATTCCGCACGCGCTCACGTGACTGAACATAATTGCTTAAACTGCAAACCAAATGCCCGATAATTTCGCTCCCTTATATATATATCCTATATATATATATGACTCCGTTTGGAGTTGATTTATTTCCCTAAACTTTTATGGCAAGCAATTTCAATTTGAAAATGCAAGGAAAATTGGCTAAAACGATTTTGGATTGATGTTTCGTGGAATTGCGAATTGAGACGTGCACAGTGGTGTTTCCTCGCCGAATTTAATGGCTTTTCTATTAATTTAAATTGGTTTTATACCCCGAAGAATTTCAATTCTAAATGGTATCCTAAATCCGGTTCACCTAATATACTCTTTTTTTAGTCCTCAGTTGTTCTTAAGATTGCTTTCCGTTTTTAAATACTTTAATTCTATTTTTAAGCATTCTTTTTGATGACCAATAATGTCATTCTCTTTGGTTGACCAAATGAAAACCCTTGAACTGTCAAAAAACGGAAAAGAACCAAAGTTTACAAGTTTGTTCTTCGTTTTTTTCTTCGCTGAAAATGAATGATTGTATTGGCCTATTTCTTTTTGCCCTCTCCGTATCATTTGACCTTTCTCTGCCTTGCTTTTTCCGAGCACTTCATCAATCTCTGGCAAACAGTCCGCACCCAAAAATTCAGTTTAGCTTCTTTTCTGCCATAAGAGTGTAAACAATGGTACGTGGTGTCTTTGGCTTTCCGCTCCTGGCCAGCAACATATAACCTTTAACGGAGACAAATGAAAGTAAAATCCAATTATTCGTTTGATTTTTTAGACAAGTTAAGCTCGGTGTGATGGCCTGTTAATGCCACAAGTTGCTGGCTAATCCTCTAGACAAGCCAAAGTCAAATAATGCCCTTGTTTTTTTTTTACTTAATTTCGCGCATTCATATTTAATTGAGCGAGTGTGTGGCGCTGGGTTGGCCAGGATGTCAATCCGGGGCACGTTTTTCCAACCAGCTGCCAACAGCTGGTGTCGTTGTCTTTGTCTTTGAAAGCCAAGACCGTGATGTGTCACGCCTATTCAACGGCTCCGCCTTTCTCCCTCCCCACCCCTCCACTAGTCCTTTCACTATCAATTGACATTGACGAGTTGGACCAGCTCTTCGTGTTGCTTTCTTTTTGTATCTCGTTTTTATTTTGTATTTCTTTTCTTTTTTCTTCTTTGTGGATTTCAATGAAATAATTTGCACGTGGCTCCTGCATAACCACAAAATGTTGAGTCATTCGAGTTTGCTGCTGCTGTCCCTCCGACTGCCTTCCCTTCTCCTACAGCACTCGTACACTCGGTTTTTTGACCAGCTTTCTGTGTGCGAAAAACTGTCACCAATGTTGGCCAAAAGGAGGAGAAAGAGGAAGGAGGTGGAGGATTCGGAGGGCCAACTAAGAGGCAAGGAGGCAGGAAGGATGTGTTCCTTTTGGTGGTTGCTTTCCAGTTTCCAGTTGACTTTTGCTCGTTTTGCGGATCGATACGAGAGAGCCCGAAACGACGACGACGACTCTATGCTACGCTCTCTGCGAAATGTGCACATGTGATGTGGCCAAAACGAGTAAAAACGACGCCATGTCGCCCGCTCTAGAGGATTTAGTATGCCACCTCATACCCGCCCGCCCCTTGTTGTCCTTTTGTCAGCCTATTTAATAATTGTGCATTCAGAAAACGTGTATGCTGGCTTGTTGCCTGTCTTTTCGCCTGTCTTCCTGCCATCGCCATCGACATCGCCATTTCCATTTCCTCTACTTGCCAATCAACGCTAAATCTCTATAATTTTCAATGAATTAATTTATTCAATTTTCGCTGCCATGCATACGAGATGCTCATTATGCGGCAGCCATAGCGTTGGTTTCTAGCCCAAATTGTGGCCAAAATCGATTAGGGTTCCATTACGGGCCAACCAGCCTCCGAAAAAGTGAGCTATGCTGGATGGAGTAATTACCAAATGCACCGTCACCCTCATCTTTGTAAACCCTACAAATCTGCACCTGTGTACATGCATTTCCTCGCTCCGTTTTTTTTTTCTCGCTTCTGATTTTTCCCTCAGTTTTTCGCCAGCGCCAGGGCCAAAGTTGTTGGCGCTTTCAAGGACATTTACACTATTTGCACTTGCTCTCTGCTATTTTGTGTGTCTGTGTGCGTGCCCTTGCCGCCTTTGTTGCTAAAATTATGCCAAAATAAAAAGAAATGAAAAAGAGAAATGCAGGGCGAAATAAAAAGAGTAAGAACTGTTTCATCTTGGGCCCAAATTGCTTGGCAAACAAGCAGGACAAACGTCGAGAAGGCGCTCCTGAAAAGTACGCGATGCATTTTTAACGCCGCTTGACACAATTTACTCGCCAACAACAATAACAGCAACTTTTGATTGCGGACTACAGCAACAACAACGACAACAAAAAGTTGCCATTCTATTCGGGTCATCATTAACAAAACAACAAGCGAGGGCAAACAAAAGTTAAGAAACAAATATTTGCACATGTCGCTGGGTCTTGGCATGATTGAAATATGCTTTCTATATGCAAATACAAATCTTGCTTCCAAAGAAGTTTCTATGAAAATTATATAAATATTACATTTGGGTCCCAGAGTCCAACGAAAAGAAACCAAATCAAATGTGGGTTGCCCGCCCACGTGGAGACGGCAAACATAATAAAATCAAAGCAATGGCCTCAAAATAAATAAATAAATGCGAGCTAGCCAAAAGGAAAACCGACACAAATTTATCGACGCGACATTTGGCCTCTTGAAACACATTTCCCAAGGATATAAGGATAAAAAAAAGTAATATAAATATAAATAAGAGAGAGAGAGAGGGGGGGGAGAATCTAATTGAAACCCTGCCAAGCCGAATGCAAAAACCTCGCAGGCTACTTAAATTTAAAGGCGGTATTAAAATTTCATGTCAAAGCAGGACACCGCCGGACATATCGCCATTTGGTCAGGACATCGCGTGGGTGCTAACGATGCCTTGTCCAACAGCTCGCCATTTGACATTCGCCATTCGCCATTTGCCATTTGCCGTTTTGCCAGCCAAATTAACGTCCCTGTCCTGGCCAGGCCAAAAGCAACAATCTCTGTGGTCAGAGCTCCTCCGCCCAAATGCGGTGCAATTTCATTTTGGTCTCCCTTCGGCAGGACCTTAATTGCCGCCTGCGCCATGGGTGGGCCCTCGGTGTCCCGAAACTATTTGTTTTCTGTATTTTTTCTTCTTGTTTTTCAGCTGTCGCATTTAATTCAATTTATACTGTGCTTGAATCTTTTCTGCTTCTCTGCTGCGGCTGGCTACCTCTCTGTGTTTATTGTTTGCACCACAAATTAATATTTATAGCTTTGGGCATTTGTTTCGTGCTGAATCATTCGGGCCCATATAAATATAGTAATTTTTATGCAAATTAAGTGTTTGTCACGAGTTTTTCAGTTTCCTAATTGCTGCCCAGGGAATTTCTCACGCCCACACAGCAAAGGGAATAAAATGGCAAGGGTTGGTTTATGATTCGTGCCTCACGGCAGTTTTTAGAATTTAGTTTGATTTTGGAGTTTCAAAAAGGATTTAACTTAGTTGGTTTTTAATTGACTTGAGCTAGTTTTTAACATCATAAGTCTGCCCTTTTGGTGAACCCATTACCTTTCCCTATCTAAGGACTCTGGCCAGCTTGGAAATATACCTAATTGGCCACCCAGTGACTCCATTGCTAATCAGAGGCCATCAAAATGCCCAATCAACTTAACACCAATTTTATAGATGCACCTTTCGACCTCGACACGTTGGCACTGTCCGTTCCACTTCTGCCACACCAATTGGCGGTCAATTATGCCCCAAAAGCAAAGTGGGCCAAAGGTCTTGCCAAACGGATTTTTATGGCCTCACACACGCAGGAGTAAAATAAAAAAAAAGAAAAATAAAATGTAATGCTGGTCGTAAAATGACCCCTCAAATGTTGGCCCAAAGGTGCGAACGATGCAGATGATACGCCAGGTCGATTTAAAGCCCAATGAAATCAGGACACGGCGAGAACATATGGAAATATATAGGAAACTGGGAGGGAAACATATGTTAGCAGTTTGCCTTTTGCCTGGAATAAAGATAAATTGAATGTCCGCAGGACGGGGGAAAGTGCACGGCCGGAAGACAACCTAAAGCGAGGCAACCGGAAGGCCAGTCACTGGCGAAAGTTTTTGTGTTCTGTTTGAGCCCTTCACACGATAATGTTGCCAACTTGCTGGGCCTGCTGCAGACGCAGACGATGATAAAGTCGCGTTAAGAGCCAAGACAAGCGCTGGCAAAACATAAATATTAACGGAGCGCGGAAGTGACAGGGCCAGGCAGCCAGTAATGGCAACAAACGATGCAACAGTCAGAGGAGAAGGCCAGGAGGATGCCATCTTCCCATCCCAAGAACAGGAAGCGAGGGACTCTCTCTGTGTGTGGGCCGCAGCACGCACACACATAAAACCGAACCCATCGACCCCGCATCCTCCGTGCCAGTAGAACTCCCAGGACTTGCGTCAAAGTAGCAAATTACGGCGTATCGTAAAAACGGCAGCCCAGACTACGTGCTTTGTTTCTATTTCCTCGCTTGTCCTCGCAGCATGAGAAATGCTCTGCCAAAAACTTTCGTGGATGTCAGCAAGGCTGGCATCCCTATATTTATGAATACCGCTGTGCGAATGGCAAGTCGGAACTTAAATAACTTGGTTTCTACTTGTCAAGTACTTTAAATAGTGTGTTTGTGAAACTAAATGTGGCTTCCTCTTGGAAAGATCTCTTTGGGGAATTGGTTTCAGGACATTGCAGATATCCTTGAACTATATAATTACTAAATGAATCTGTAATAATCTTACTTCATGTGCAAATGATTTTTTACTACGATTTAAGATTTAATCCTCGCCTATCTACGCTATTTTGTAGCCCCATTAAGTGCACATCCACGGTGCTTATCCAACTATGCAAATGGCTGTAGATATCACACATCGTTCCCCCATGATCCCTGCTGGTGGGGTCCTGTCAGTCACAGTCATAAAGCCAATGGTTCCAGCAAATAAACCGCCTCTTGAGTAATATTTAAAATTTACATAAAACTGGCACGCTCTATAAAATGCCAACCAACAACACCAAAAAAAAAGTAATAATACAGAAAAGCAAAAGCAGAAAACATCACCGTTTGATAAGCCAAAGGCGTGGGGAGGGAATCAGAGAGGTTAGGAGGGTTGTATTTGCATTGCGTTAATGGCAGCTCAGTTGCCAGTTTTAAAAGCCAGTCCCAATTGCTCATGTGTCTGGGCTGACTGGTTGCCACTCTCCCTCTGGCCTCCTCCATTCCGATGGGGTGTGTGATGATGATTTGGTCGAGTGTAAAACACATAGCCCCAAGCTTTCAGGGCGGCCATTTTGTTTTGCGCTGTGGTTCATAAATTTCTGGCCTGGCTCTGTAGTTGAAATTTATGTCTGGGCTTTTTTCGGGCTCTTGCCTAATCACAATGACGGGGCGTATACGTAATGGCGAGAGTGTAGGTAGCCGAGGAGAAGAGCCATCTGCTGGTTCGTCGTTTCGAAACGGACAGGACACCCACTCATTGTCTCTGGGCATCAATTTCGACCCTTTATCGAAGAGCCTTAACTCTGTGTGGCTTTTGTTTTCCGTTCGCCTAATGCAATTCTGTGGCTGGAAAAAGGCAAAAATGTGTTTACTGGGGCTAGTATGCTCGCGTAATTCAATTTCAGCTGGTGGATGCTGCAACAGCCGGATGCTTGTGCTCCTTTGGCAGCCACGTCGCATCGAATTCAATTTTCGTTTCGGTTTCGGATGCCGCCACCCGCGAGGCGACGACGTTAACGTGCGCAATTAATTCTGTCAACAACAGGCTCTAACAGGACTTCTCCGAGAATGGCTTGTGGCCATGGTTTTTGGGCCACGTTTTTCTACGTCGCACAATTTGCAATTTAAATGGAACACCAGCAAGTAGCAGCAGCGGCTAACAAAACTGACATTTCAACTCTTTTTTTGGGTTTAGCCAACTCCATGGCTTACTTTGACTTTAATCCAATTTCGGGGGACCTTTCTTGGAGGAATAATATAACTTTTAATGAGCATGGCTTGTGATTTGGACGATTGTAATCAAGTTTCACCAAGGGTGGCAGTATCCTTGAAACTTTCCCTCGCGGCTTTTCAATAAACAAAATTACTCAACTTTACTGCTAATGACATTATCCAATGTTATTTTGCCCCTTTCGCAGCATCCAACACGACCGATACATACAACGCAATCCTTTAAGTGAAAATTCACACATTTGCCATGTTGGCTGGGGCTGTACGTGACAGGAAAACCTTTTACTTACCCAATTTTCATGCCCAACGGCTTTCTTAAAAGGTTTCTGACTTTATCTAGAAATGGCTGTCAAAGTTTCCCATGCGAAATTAAAGTCTTGCCTTCCAGTCTCACCACCTACCACTATTTCATGAAGCATTTTATGGCTTGAATGATTTTAACCAGCAGCAGGAGTACATTTTTCTTTAGGGGAATATCGATTTGTCTTTTATGTATGTGTATTGGCCAGGAAAGTGGATAAATAGGAGGTATTTCCACTTGCTGGATTGACATACCGGAGTCAAAGCATTTCTTAATTAAATGACGACCTCAGCCTGTTGTGGCCCTTTTGCATTAGATCAGGGTCAACTCATCCTGCCATATTGCATCTTTCATTAAATCAGCTTGGTGTGAGTGTTTTGTGAGTGCTGCAATTCATTCATTCATTCATCTGTGACTCAGCACATCGAAATATGTGTGTGTGTATGTGTGAACGTGGGTTGTGCAACTTGGCCGTTAATTGAAAATCGCAAACGGCTTAGTCCTTCCATTTGACTCTGGCTCTTCAAACAGTTTGCTTTGTAATTGAGTAATGAAATATGCCAAGTCACAACAGCAACGAAACGAACACAGTTTCGCCTGCATAACAATTAACAGAGGGTGAAGAAAGGGGGGAGGCGGAGTGACAGTGAGAGGGATTGCTGCGGAAAGTGTGCTAAAGGTCAACACGTTGCTGCATCGTGGCGCAGTCCTTGGATGCTTCAACGCAGGCTGCAGCAGTTGGGATTACGCGGCGTATGAGCAACATTTGCTGCCAAGTCAAGATGGTACCGAAAACTGTTGCCTACTTACTGGGGCTGTATTTCTTAGAACGACTATTGGGTTAATATTTTTATTGATTTCTTTGAGACATTAGCTTTTATATACCCATCTTTCTGTTAAGTTGTGTTAGTATTAGATTTTCCTTCGTTTAAGAAGGTTCTTGATTCCGAATTGCAATCAAATTATCCTTTTTATTAGCCCATATCCTTATAAATATTTCTGTGTATTCCATTATTCGTAATCATTAATTTGTCCATATGGTCGCTGCAATCAACTTTATCCCTGTTCAACTCGAAGGACGTGCCTGTTTTTGCCGTATTTATCGAGCGCAATAAACCATTATTATCTCATCAGTCGCAGGCGTAACCTCGTCAAAACTAATGCTCCAGCCATATGTTCCCCAAGTATTGGCTTTGCCACAAGAACAGCAAATACAAATGCAAACAGTGCAGCACGCTGCATTGAGTGGCGGAGCTCACAACATGGCGTATACTTAATTAGCCTTATAATGAATGCCATGTTATGTAAAAAGGACGCACCAAGGAAACTGATGAAGGCAGCTGCTTGCTGGTTGCTAGTGCCTGTAGAAGTTGACGATCCTTGTTGCTGTTTTGCCATAAACAAGTTGCTGGGCTGCGAAAAAGGGGTGCCTAGATATAACGTAGAGCTTCGCCTAATTGAATAAAATTTTCATTTGCCAATGATGTTGTTGTTGTTGTTGTCGTGCGGAATCGGTTGGCATAAATTACGCATGGCCACTCCCCAACATTGTCGCTCCATTCGTAAAAACCCACCACCCACCCACCAGTACATTCCCACTGACCTTGCTGCATGCATTTTGTTACATTACGTATACGCGATGTGTGCCAGCTTAGACTTTTATCTTGGTTGCCCTTTGTAAGTTGTACGCCAAACGAATACTGTTGTTTTGCCATTCAGTAGGGTTTGTATCACAGGACACGGGCTGCCGCGCGGCTACCGTGTGGCATTTTCATTGGGTCAAGGTCAGAGCACGATTTGCATTACTTTTCGATTTGAAAGTTTCACCATCGGTTGGCTACCTGCAATTCGATACGAGACAATTCGATTCGTATTGTTTATCAATACGTGGCTGTCCTTGTCTGTAAATTGCTACATAAATATCAGCAAAAATAAAGGAAAACATCTACTCACAATTCCCCCGTTGAGTTGATTTATGTTAAGAAATTGTTTTTCTTCGCTCAGCTTGAGATTTACGAGTCTCTATATATATATGTATGTATGAATGTACGGTATGGCCCAGTGGGTCCGCTTGAGCGTGAACTTTGGCCTTTTCTTTTGCTTTCATGTTGGGCGCCCGGTCCTGTTTCGCATTTGTAATCATATCCTTCGGCTTAATTAGAGGGTCAGGTCAGGAAGCATTTTAGTTTTGGATGGGCGTTTCGCAGGCCTTTTGTGCCTGCTTTGCTTTGGGTCTGGCCTGGCCTGGCCCAACACGAAATTATCTAATTAATTTGCCTAACACATACAAAATCGCTGGCGATATACATCTTCATTAACTTTTGAAAACTTTTCATTCTTTTTGCAGGTAATTATCCCGGCAACGAACCAAATACCCAAAGAAAATGTTGTAAGAAAACGGAAGGAGGAAATTAAATGAATTTATTAGTGTTTGCTAAGCAGACTCAATGGGTAACAGAAAATACCAGTCTCAAGCTAAAATCGATTTATTTACTTAGACTGTTTTCATTTAATTTACTTAATTGAAGACCCTTCTTTGATTTCATTTCATTACTTATATTTTTATTTATTTTTGCTTTGTACTTTTATAATTTCCTTTTAGACTTCCCAAGTCATCTTCCCTGGTTGATTCTTTAGTCACCGAAGCCACGTAAGTTCATTTCGTTTGTATTTTTTGTATTATTATTACTTTTATACTTTCGTACTTAAACCTAATTAGAAGCCATTATCCAACTCCTTGAGCCAGCAAACACAAAACTATGGTAGTTACCTTTTTTAGTTGTAATTTTTGCAAGGCCGTAAGAGGAAAACTTTGCCTCGCAGTCGTAAAATCATTAACACAGAAACTTTTTCTCAAACTGAGCCGTGTCCACGCCCATTTAACCCACCAAATGGTATAAAGCTGAAGGGGCACAGAAAATAAGCAAAGGGCTTCAACCATAATCGCCGAGGGAAGTCAAATACTCACACAAATTGCTTGCCCGCTGGCTGTGAAAGTTTAAGTGAGCCAACGATGTAATACCCACACACTCACATGTGTTGTAGTATCCATGTATAGTGACACATTCGACAGGACTCGCGGGTCCTTTGGTGGTGTTGTAACAAAATGCAGGTTGGCAAAGCTGCTGGCAAACACCAATCGCCGTGGGAAACTCGAGTCGCAACCGTAAATGGTCGCCCACGTGTTGAGCATTAAGTTGCCATTTGTTTGGTCCGACGCCCACCACCCCTTCCTTTGATATTCATTTCAAGTTAATTCATCTCAATCAGCTTAAATATCAAGCTAAATAATTCATTTGCATTTTCGGGGCGTGCTCTTGCTGCGTATAATTAATGCGCATAAAATTCCCAACACTTTGCACCTTTTTGCTACCAGTTTATTTCCGCCGTGCGCCCTTTGGGCCGTCCTCTGGTCCTTTTTGGCCATCAAACACACACATATACCACACCCCCAAAATACACTTTTTGATTGAGCGAAAGACATTGCAGTCCAGGAGCCAAAGCCCCCTGGCAACAATTGTCCCGAAAACCTTTGCCCTGGGATGTTTATCATTTTCAGGGGCTGTGTCGTCATTCTCATTAAAATCGGATAGGGTCAGCGATGGCTATAAATAAATGTGTGTATAACCCGAAATCGTTGCACGAAACGGTTAATCACGAGCCAAAAGGGATATCCTGCCATTGAGGAAGGACAATTGTTTGACTGTCTTCTATTTATAACAAAATTTCAATCAAAACCCACACTTCTGTTGCTAGAGCTCTTGTGTTTCTGGCCATTGAAAAAGTGCCTCTGACATCCTCTGAAATCTATATTTTTCAAGGAGAGGAGAAAAGAAAACATCTCACAGCATTGATAGCTTACCCAAAAAAAAATATTGGAAAAAATAACAAAGCTTTTGTATCAAGTTTAAAGCTGATAGCTGAGTTCTCATGAGGATATTAAATTTCATTCCTTTTTAGTTTAGTATAACAAGTTTATCTAATTTAATTGCTTTAAATTTAACAATTTATGTTAGAAAGTATTATCCTTTCTGATAAATCTAAATGGTTTCACCATAATGCTATAGGATGAGCATTCAAGGATATATATTTCCCCATTTGGCTACACTTCGTTGTACCACTTTCCATTCAAAATCCAATACTCTTTGTTGTGGCAATCAAAATGGAAATCCAAAGCGGCCACAATTGGCATTTTCCGCAAACGTGCGTGTTCCTGCAAATGAGAGATGTCTTGCAGACCCAGAAACTGAAACGAAAAGGAATTTCGAAGAGCTGGGTATACACACCTGTCGGTCCACCTGTCAGTTGCATGCAGAACTGGGGTTTTCTTCTTTCCATCTTTCCTATTTTTAGACCCGAGCCGTCAACTTTCAGTCTAATTAACCTTGCTCATCTTGATTATCTTGCCCCTGAGAGAGGGGCATTTCAGTTTCATTTCGGAACTCTACTTAAAACGTTAAAGTGTTGAATCTCTCACCTAATCGTAATACTTTTATGTTGCTCCTACTCAAACAGCTTTCCCTCGACTTCGCTTTGATGATTATGGATCTTTGTCGTATTTCCAAGCTTATCGTTGTCGTCCTTTTAAATGGATATGGCTTAGGTTGTCGTTTTCCCTTAATGTTTAAGCCACGGTAACTGCGACAGCCATTAGGCAATCATATTAAGTGGTTTATACGACGGCGGAACTGTGGTCTGGGCGCTTAATTATACAAGTATGATTATGTCCAAACGTTGGCAACTATTAGAGTTTATGGTGGCGTGCAAATACCAAACTGTTATTTGCCATTGCAAGTCCCGTGGGGACAAGTACATGTAATTATGGTAAACAAACTAAATTTCAGGGCGGGATCTGCTGTTATATACCAAAAAGGTCAGACTTTATAATCAGCTCAATGTTGATTTATTTTCGCCGCCTTTGTGGGCAAACGGATTTGGCAATGAATTACCAATCTCCCCTTCGGCTTGATTCCGCTGATTGAGCCAATTCAAGGCACCAACGAGTTTCAATCTCTGTTAGCCAGTTTGTTCATCAATTTTCGCTTTGAATAATTAATGCTCGGCATTTTGCCTCGGCCTGGTGCTTTCCATGAATATTTGATAGCGCACTTTCAGCCAGATATTTATGTTTGTTCAGTTCACTTTAATTGAAAACAAAAAAAAAAACTCGCAAAGTAAATAAACAAATGTGGGACGAAAAATAAAAGCAATTTGAAAATGCGATATGAAAATAGAAATCTGCTAAGCATGAAAAGTCAAATGTCACATGGCCAAATCGTAAATAAGGCGATGCCCAGAACGAGGCGGGTAATCGTGTCGATGGATGGATGACTCACGTTTATGCCGGCGTTTAATGTTGCGTTCATCTTTTATTAATAGCTACACACATGGCCATGATTATGTAGATGGTCCGCCCGCTGTGCTCTTGCATCCTTATATCCCTACATCCGTGATCTGCCATGCTACCAATTTCCCGCCAGTGGCTGTTTTCCTGTCTCGCTTTTCAGGAGCAGGCTTATCCGCCTTCTGTTTACCTGCTTGCTGGTAATTTGTCAAATGTGGATTTTTCTCGGCGTTACTTTGTTGGCTGTTGCGCCTCTGACAGAATGTGGCATTTGCTAAATGGCGAGGGTAGGTTTAGAAGTATTTTAAATAAAAACTTTCAGCTGAGATCATTTAAATAAATTTCAAGTTTTTTACCATCTTGGATGAAAAAACTTAAAAATATTCAGTGCCCCAAATAGTATGCTATACTTTTAACCATATTTCTTTGTTGCAGTTGGTTAGCAAAAATCAAACTAAAAGCTATTTCTGGTATACCTACACTTTATTTTCACTTAATATAAGATCATATAGTTAATCCGGACTTTTAAAATTTTATGAAAATCCCTAATTATAAATGAAATAGCTCAAAAACTAGAAGTTATTTCCAGATTTATGTTCCTACAGACTAATTATTATTACCAAAAGTCAGCGTTACTACTGATATAGCTCCCCCTTAAGAGTAAGCCTGCCTTGCTGGGGGTTACTGATGAAAATGATGATGGCGGAGATTCTTTGACGGCAACTGGAGAGAGAGGGGGGATAAGAATGGAAGCTCAGCAGGTGCCTTTAGCCGGGTATCATTTATTTTTGCTTTATACACGCATTTAGCTTTACTTTCTTTTGCCTTTTCCCTTCCCCTCCCAGCGAATGTAATAAATTTCCTATAAGCATTATCTTTAAATACACGGCCATTGTGTAACAGAAAGGGAAGATAACAGGCAGTGGGGGAAGATGGAGGGCTCAACATGACAACGGATTGTGTTGCCATGGTCTTTAGTTATTGGCCCTTCAGTTCTGGCCGTGTTGCGTGTCTTGTTCCGATTCAGAACCTTTGAAACTGGATAAATCTCCGCTTGGCGCCAACAAAATCTCAATCCAATTAGGCTTGCGAGTTAAAGGGGGTAAAACGGCTGACTCTACTTCATAGTACTCCAATTAGCAGGCAGCTACAACAGCTTAAATGGCCAATTCGTTGAGAGAGTAGGAAAAAGTGTACGCGACCAAATGGAGCAACTGCAACAGTTGACGCCATTCTAAGCTGACAATGCAATTTTCGCATCAGAGCATTTCGGGGCTCAAGGGGGGTTTCTAAAGGGGGTTCGAAAGTGTCAAGCTTGGTGGCAAGCACACAAACACCCAAATCCCCACCCCCAGCTTTCCCTGCTCTTTTCTTTTTTTTTCTGCCACATTTGCACTTCTCCATTTGCAGTTGCAATTGCAGTGGAAACCTTCTTCTCTCCTTCCCAAAGCCACCCACATCTCTGCTCCCTGACAGGCTGCAATTTACATAAGTGCCATGTGCGTTGGTCGTTGTTTTGTCATACAGTTTTTCGAAGGGTATCGCACCATGACTCCATGACATTGTTGCAACGAAAAAAAATAATATTTCGAAGAGCAAAAATTCTGAAAAATATGTTCTGCAAAATTCTAAAAGGCAAAATATGCAACAAATTTATGTGTTAAAATGTGAAATATTTTCTGGTCCTTTCTATCGTTGCATCACTGTAATTGAATACGTTTTGCTGTTTGCATATTCCACATGTTTGCAGATTTCCAAAGCAAGGCATTTCACTGCATTCTGCTTAAAAGAGAAATGTTTCTGATATCTGTAGAATAGAGAATCTCAATTAATTTTATACAATTTGATTAAAGACCTTACGAACCTTGCACTTGTTTACCCAACTAAAAATAATGCCATATTGAGAGCCTGCATCAGGAATTGTCTTATGGCCATAACTGAAATCGATTGCCGGCGCCAGAAAAGCCAATTAATTAGTTTTCACTGGCCTTGTTTACCCTCTGGATTTATGATGAAGATGTCTGGAGAATTGAGGTCAGCCTCCGGCATAGAAAATTCACTTCACTCCTTTTGTTTCTGCTGATTTCTGGCATTGCGGCATGTCGTATTTCTTGTTCTATGTGTTTGCCGCAGCGTTTGCCCAAACTTTTATAATTAAAACTTTTCACGGCAAAAATCTGGCGGGAAGACAAAAAAAAAAGAAAAAGTTTGCAGCAAAAAACAAGAATGGTTAAAAAACAGCAGAAAGTCGATGCGTGAATGCGTACCATATAATAATAAAAGAGTAGATGGAAATTTATGATATTCACTTCATAGCGAGAGGGCAAGGTAATTCCGCAGGAAGTAGATGAGTGAGCCCTTTAAGGAGCCCATCTCTCAAGTGAATGTCCAACCACTTATCGGTTTGCTTGTGCTAAGTTATGCAATGCCCAAATGGGAATCCTTGGAGCCATAAATAAGAACGGAAACTGTTGCCGCCGCCGCTGCTGTCGCTGTCAGGTCAGCAGAACTGCGTAAAAGCCAGCCTCTCTCCAACCCCTCAACCTTCTCATTCTGTTAACCAATGACGAAGACATAAATCACAAAAGGGAAGTCCAGAGGAAAAAAAAAAGAGAGAAGGATCCCTTGGACTCCGGCCAATTGCTAATGATAAGCTCCATGGGCAAGGCAATAGCCATTGCTGGAGTGTATATATACACCGATATGCAATAACTTTGCCATTGAGTTTGCTCCCTAATTGGGCTGGCCAACATGGCGTATGCTTGATATGGCTCGACATATGCTCCCTTAATCTCTTGACCCACTTGGGTAAAAATTTAATTTCCCCCCACAATTAAGTGCAGTTGTGAAAAAAACATAAAGGAAAAGCAGCAAAAAAATGTAATAGCTTTTGACTGCAGTTTTAATCGATTTACGGCTGCGATTTTTTACTGCTGCTCTGATTCCGCATCGCTGAGCACTCACACAGAACGGGGCGTATGCGCAATGCCTGTCCACTATTTCGCTGGCCTTGCCCTGTCATAATGAAGCATAATGCATATGGATCTGAAGATATAGATATAGTATATGAATATATATATATAAGTGAAGTCGCATTACTCGAGCGATTGAAATCCTTTGCTTGTCACTGAGAGTTTTTTTCTATATCCCCTCATAGCTGAGCTTGATTTTTTTTCTTAGCGGGAATGTGCGCGTGCTATATGTGCAGTACCATATCATCTATATCCTAGGCACAGAGGGGGCGTGTCCTTCCTCTCATTCCGCGTCAATTCCCTGCTCCTTGTACCGCCGCAGGCCGAGAGCATTCAATATTGCAATATGTGCATGGAATATTTGAGCGAGAAAAGCGAAGAAGAAAAAAATGGGAAGAGGGCGAGGACGAGTCTCCAATCGATTGTTGTACTTGGCTGAATAAGACCCTCAAGGCTCAAGTCAAGCTATTTTATCACATTTTCGATTTCCTAAAACATGAAAACGTTTTCTGCAATTCCAATTTAGTTTTTTTCTCTATTTTTCGCGATTTTCTAAGAACAAATCAAAAGTAATAATAAACTTTGGGAAATTCTACAAATGTAATCTCATTGATGTCTAACTTGGTAACTGACTAACGATTTAAATAATTATAAAAACAAACAAAACTTTAACAAATTTAAAACAGCTAACGAAACAAAACAAAAAAATTAAACTCAATCTGAACTTGACTATGAAAAAAATACTAGTTTTACTGGGCTTTTTCTTTTGCTCTGAAAAGTTAAAAAAAAATGTTAAACTGCATTTAACCTTTATCTTATTACCAAAATTTGATTTATAAACTTACAATGTAGTACTCCAAAGGTGCCCGGCATAGGGGACACGACTGGGCCGGGCTCTGTTTGTAGACCTTGCACAGGCAGCTCTTGCAGAAGGTGTGCCCGCACGGTGTCTTTACCTGCCGACGAAGTCTTCCTAGGCACACGGGACAGCATTCCAACATCGATTGTTTTGTTTGTTTTTTTTGCTTTGATTTACTTTCAGTTTCCATCTTTGTTGTGCTGTTTTAGTGATTGACACAGCGCCGCCCTGGAGCTATGATGTGTATGGCAAAGCCATCTCCAATGGCATTCTGGTCACAATGCCTCCTCCCAAACAAGCACACCACATGTAGTCAGTAGGGCTGTCACGTATCCAATGGGCTTGTCAGCGGGATTTTATTTATGACAGTGTAAAAATGGTTCAATGAATCGCACAGGACTATCAACGCAATAGGAAAGATTTCAAAAAAGGGTGCTTCTTGCAGGTTTTGTTAGTTTAATAATTAAAATTGAAAAGGAAATTATAGAAAAAATCTTCCAAAAGTTATTCTTAAATGGAACTTAAGAAAACCCAACGAATTACCCACCATTTATAAACCTAACCACAAACAGCAATATATATCTGAAAATATATTGATAAAACTGTTGCCCAGTGAGTAAATAAAGTATCGCCAAGGAAATCAATTAGTTGTCACCCTGTATGGTAGCCTTTATATGTATGTGTAAGCACGAGCGGCTGACAAGTGGAGGCGCCCGCTTATTGTTTGACATAGTACATTATAGATTTTTATCAGGCCCTTATCCAGCGCCACCCACATGCAAGCATTGAATATTGTCAAATTAGGGCAAAGATTGATTGTCATTTTGTCAGTCAGTCACTCAATCGCCAAGGACTAAGGACTAAGGACCCCCTAACTCCCCCAACTAATGCTTGCCTTTTGTTTCATTTTCATTCATTTTTTTTTTTTTTGCTCTTTTTGCAGCGGATGGTTGGGCAGTGCCAAGGGTTGGTTGGGAAACGCTTCGATACCGTCGATGCCAGCTATGCCATCGATGCCATCGATGCCAGCAATGCCAGCAATGCCGTCGATACCATCGATTCCGGGACTTCGCAAAGCCGGAGGAGCTGAAGGAGCCGAGGGCGCCGAAGGAGCCGTCGGAGAGGGAGGTGCTGCTGCCAGTGGAGCCGTGAGTGGTGGCGAGGATGACGACAAGTCGAGGTATATTAGGTATGGGTGCCAGCTTGACAATGACGGAATTATATACGAAGCAGCCGCTAAAAAAAAAAAAACCATAAAATTTATGAAATGAAGATGAGAAGCGCGTTTGTACTTTAGTTTCGTCTTCGGTTAACCTCCGTTTGAGCCATCCGAAGTTTTTGTTTTGGTTTTTAGCCTTTTGTGTTCAACTTTTTCGGTTGCCTTTTGTTTCAAGTCGTATGCCAAAAAGTTTTTCTCCTCCGAAAGGAAAGAACACGAGCTGAGGCTTAAGTTTTCCTTGGTTTTATTTACAATTAGTTTGCCTAACCGAAAGTTGAAGCCTTTTCCACAAAATTTACTTAAATACTAACCAATATACACACGAGTTTCTCTAAGAACTATATTATAACTATTTTACAATTTGCCTATATACTCAACATCAAAAGGAAACTCGTTTTCTTTCATACATTTAGTTTCTGATATTGTTGCGCATTTCCACTTAACCAATATATATTTATACTTACCTATTTATTTAATCTACACGATTTTTCTTGTGCTGGTTCAAGTTTCACTTTTTCACATATTAATAACTTATTGTACAAATCAAAAAATATGATCTCTGTCTCTCTATAAACTCTGTTTAACTCCAAACCCTATCTATCTTTTCCATCTGTTAAACAAAATACAACATTTTAAAATCGGTTCAACGTTTTTGTATATATCAAGGAAGAAGACCTGAAATTGGCTTAAAAAAACAAACACAAAATTTTGTCCCTTTTAGAGAGTTGGAAGATATTTAAAGTTTCTTGATTTTAATCAGTTTACAAAGTTATTAAGAAATATCTGAAAATGGAAAATAGTTACTCCACTTAATATGAAAGGTAAGTTTCCCATCATTCCGACCCTAAAAATGGACACAATTTTTGGTAAAAATAATATAAAAATCAAAAACTGAAATTACCATAACTCATTTCATTCAGCTCATGATCAAGTACAAAACCATTTGACTATATTGAACCACTGAATAGTATTCTTCTTAAACACCAAACACATAAGCCATACAACATACATTAAGCCGTTCCATCTATATCCTTTCTAAGCTTTCAAAGAACATATTTCATTTCTATTAATTTGTCAAACGCGTCGAAATCAAAAAGAACAAAATGTTAAATCTTCATTTACTCTAGTTAAATATTTGCCCAAAGTATCAGATTCCATCATTATTGAGCGGCCCATCGAACCAGGTCAAGGAAACCGAGTCAAAACCCACCAAAAAAAAAAACTATCTGGAAATCAAGTCCTTTGGCTACGTACAGTAGATATGACAAGCTCAACCCTAATTGTTGTTGGTAGATGTGTATCATTGTCATTATTTCGATCATTATCAGTGTCATTATCATTTCCCTTTTCCCTAAAAACCAAGTTCATCTCGCTGTTTTTTGCTGTGTAGCTCTCCTTCTGTGTATTTTTTTTCGTTTTCCTGGCCTTGTTTAATAATTATTTGTAGCAGCTAAGTTTCCCAGCCTTCCCCTGTTTGCTAAGTGTCTGTCTTTCTCAAGGACCAACTGAAAAGAATCCCTGAATTGGGAACAGTATGAATTCATGATGATGATAATTAGTCCTTGCATGACTTCTAAGTGTGCTGCCTCCCATTTGGTATTTACTTCTTGATTTCTCTGTCATTTTTATTTGGTTCCCCCTGTAGTATCCGTTTTTCGGCATCATTCATCCTGACATTCATATGAGATTCGATCATACCATTTTGCATTCACGAATCAAACTGAAAATAATACAATATAAATCAATAGCTGTATACAAAAACATGAATACGTGTAAATATACATAAGCGTTTTAAGAATAATCCAATATTAAGTTTAAAGGAGAGTACAAGAAAGGAATTTAACTGAAATACATCAAAAGATTAAGAAGCCTCAAAAGTTCATGGTTTTTGCAGTTTAATATTGAGAACTAGATCCTTGGTTAAGAGAGACAGAACAGAAAGAATTTGATATTTCAAATGTTGCACGCTTAATTGCTGTTAATGCATGATTACCTCATTTAGTAAATATTTATTAAATATTATAAATGTTTTTCAGTGTATTTTCTTAGTATGTTTTTTTGGCTTGCTGCTTGCTGCATGAATTTATCTTCGAGCTTAACACAATAACTATATGATTACACTAACGAAATTGAAATGACAAAACTATTCACCATCACTGTTTTCTTTTTTTCTTCCCTTAAAAATTACATAACTGCAGCGCCACGGAGGGCGCCGACTCGCATCCTGCATCGGGCGGTGGCACACCCACCGGCGACGAGGGTCAAATCGGACAGGGTAAGGGCGATGAAGTCAAAAGTACGTGTCACACTTTGATTGGTAACCAAATTACAAGAGACAACTTCAAACACATTGTGCTAAATGTCGAATCAATGTCAACTCAAATTGCCAATTCAAAAAGATTGAGATAGAAAGCGGTGACAGGTTACTAACCCCGAGTTACAAGTAGTTTCAAGCAACCCAGAAATCCCGCACTCAATTCCCCTCTCCCCCTTCTAGTAAAACGTTTGCTTTGTAGTCTAGTTTAGTTTAGTTTCAATTTGGTAGCAAAACCCTCTTCTGGGTTGATTGCCGTTGGTGGACTAAAAAACTTATCGCATCCTGATTTGAATGTATCCGACAGTTACCACAAAAGTAACACAGCAGGCCAAGCACTTTGGGTCCTTCTTGTCATCGGCCATCAGCAAGGCTGGCAGCAAAATCAAGGAAACAGTCAAGGATAATGTGAGTTCACTGCTTGCTTTAAGGAAGTGAGAACTTATTTAATTTGCGAATATTTTTAGACCATTCTCGACTCGTTCAACAAGGAGCAAGAAGCCTTCATCAAGGGTCAAGGTGGTGTGGGCAATGGTGCAGCACCCTGGATTGGACATGCCAATGAGGCCAAGATCAAGGAGGAGATTCTGGGCCTGTCACAGGATCGACGCAACTTTGTACGCGCCCCGCCCGCCGGCGTGGACTTTGAGTTTAGCTACGACACCGCCTATCCCACGGCCATAGCCATTATGGCCGAGGACAAGGCGCTCGAGACGATGCGATTCGAGCTGGTGCCCAAGATGTGAGTACAGTGCTTCATCCTATATCCATGAGTAATTTGCTAATTAATATATTACCAACAGCATCACTGAGGAGAACTTCTGGCGGAATTACTTCTACCGCGTCTCACTGATCATCCAGGCCGCCGAGTTGGGAACTCTGGGCGCCGATGGCGTCGGTCAGGCCTCCAGCGGCGAAGATGGTAAGTTGGTTGTAGCTCCTTCCCCTCGATGAAAGCTCTGGAAAATAGTTAATGCAATGAAAATGCAGGATAAACAGACTGTCTCGCTCACCAAACACTCACACTCGTTACTCGCGCGCTCTCTATCTCTCTCTCTCTCTCTCTATCTATCTATCTATCTATCAATCTTATACCTGTATCTGTACCTATATCTCTATCTGCCAACGAACTCTGTCTATCTTTCTCTAAGTCTAAGTCTTTCATTTTTTTTTGTTCACTTTAGCCACACGCGCCTGTTTAACTTATGATTTCCTCTTAGTCCTTTTCACACACGCTAGCTATCAAAAGTTTTCCGTTCTCTCGCTCTCTCTTCTATAACTCTCTAACTCCTTAAACATACCTACTATCTCTCGAGTCTCGAACTAACTAACTTGGCTAGCGTCTGTACTACACCGCCTAAGAGTATGCTCAAGTCTTAAGTTGAATTTGAACTCTTTGATTTGTAACCGTCCCCCCACCCACCACCTGCACTGGCTTATACCGTCGAGGACTCGAGTCCTGATTTTCGGTTCTAACTCACTATCCTTGACAACGCTCATCTCAATCGCGTCTCGAAGCTCAATTTGAAAATCGCTCCACGAATGTCGCCAGCCGCCCAGCGCCTCACTTCAAATCGTTTTACTTACTAAATTTCCTCGTTTTAGTTAATTAATTATATTATTTTATTATTTTTATGATTTCCAAACACGAAATTCCATTGTGAAAACGAACTTTGACCATTTGATATTGATTCGAAAAAACCAATGATCAGCCAATGAAGTGGCCACTAAAGAGAGCAAATCGAAGACTGCCGAACCAGCCAAGAGCGATTCAAGTCTGAAAGCCATTGCCGAGCAGCCGAAGGCCGTGATAGAGCCAAAGGTTGGGGAGTCCGATGATGTGGCTGCCACCAAGTCGAAGGCTCGTTCTGCCGGCAAAGAGCTGGGCCAGAAGATCTCTGAATCGGAATTCGTTTCGGACGACTTCCAGGCCTCCAGCGAATCGGACTTGGCTGAGATCCAAGACGGCATGCGCAAGTTGGGCATCGATAGCATGACCCAGCAGGCCCTAGCCACGACTGATGGTAAGACATTCTTATTTATTTTAGTTTTTATATTAGTTTTGTTATGATTGTGTGAGTTATTTTTATGTTTGTTGAGTTTAAGACTAACATTATTTGTACATACATTGGCCCATATGAAATTGATCAAACGGAATTTCATTGGTGTTCTGGTTAACACGACACATTCATTCATACACCTGCCACATGCCAAGACATAAGAAAACCTCAAGTGTACGATCTATAGTTAATATTGCTTAGTCAGCGAGCTAGCTTTTAGCTCTGTATTCATCTAGTTTCTAGGGTTCTATCAATCAAGCAGCACTCATTGCCATTTGAACACAAAATAATGTCTCTGGTCTGAGTCGCGTTGTTTTTTGATTTCCTAACATCTCTCATATAATCTATTTTGCAAACAAAGCCACACATGAAAGTAAATATACTCGTATCTATAGTTTTTTGTTATACAAAAAAAAAACAGAACAAACATTCTAAAAAACAAACAAACAAACAAACAAAAATGTGTGTACAAATCAAGTGTAAAAACCGAAACAATTCTCTTTTTTCTCCTCTGCTCTGTTTCTTTCTTTTGTGTAAATTACATTTTGTATGAAAATCGTTTTTACTTATTATCTATATAAATATACGACGACCAACTCAAGCTCTGGCATTTAATTACTAAAGCGAATCTATCAATTGAAAGTACTATTAAACCAATAAACCGAATCACATAATAAATAAATATAGAAGTAAAGCAACTAATGGATAACAAGAGTATTATAAATTATATAAACGAATATAAATATTTATATCCTGGATTAAACCAAACTCGAACTCAAACTCGACTCAAAAGTTTCGTTTGCCATTTAGCAAATTACAAAATATAATATATACTATATATATATATGTATCATATGGCATATAATTTGATTTCAAGCATAAGTATCGAATAACAAACAGTTTAAGAAAGAGTTTAAAAGCCACAAACCAAATTTCAAACAAGTTGAGTATGACCAAACTGATCAAGAAATTCTTATATACTAACATATATCCTATTGATACAACTTTCGCTCTCTCTCTCTTTGCAATTTCGTGCTCCTTTTTATTCAATTTGCAATTCAAGTTCATTTCTTTTAAAAACCAAAATTAGCTAGATGTAATTTTCGTTAACCTCCTCTCTCCTTCGATCCAACTATATGATTTTGCCTTTTACTTTTACACATTTCTCCACCATGTTTAAACTTTAAAAAAAAAAAAAAAAAAAAAAAAAAGAAATATATATTATATTCCAAACTGGCAGCGACACAAAAATGAACCTCCTCTCCTAGCAATACACGAAATTTTCCAAAAAGTATTATTACCATGACTATTTGATGATGAAATTTGTATGGGAAAACATTTTTAACAAAAACATTTATTTTTCTTCATGTATTTCTTGATTTATTTACGAATCATCTTGCAGAAGATTGAATGGATTAAAACAAAAACAAAACAAAATGATAAATCTAAATTTTGAAAATGCAAAAAAAAAAAACATACAACTAACAAAATAAACAAGAACAAAATTATACAAAAAATGAAAAAACAAAAAGAATACTACAAAATTGCCCACAAGAAAGAAAAGAAATTGTTAAGCGAAACAAAAACAAAAACAAAAAAGTACTACAACAAACAAAATTATATAAATACCTATAAAGATATTCACTTGACAACAATGAAAATTTGAGTTGAAACCCAGAAAACGCATTATTTATATAAACCGAAGAAAGAAAACCCCAAAAAATGTTACTAAAAATGACAAAAAACCGAAAAACAAAATTTTGTGTGGTAAGTTAGAAATTGTTGGTTGAATAAAAGCAAAAAAAAAAAAACAAAAACAAAAAAGTGAAATATTTTACAAATTGCAACAACGTTTTAGTTGTGATATTTTTTGGTTTCCATGTTGGTTTTCAATTGCATAACGTTTCCGTTCAGCAATATTGTATGTAAATATTATCCTACAATCCAAAAGTAGTTGCAATTTCAATCATTTCTCCCTCTACGCTCCTGTCTGTGTCTATCTAATCGTTGTGTATGTCTTAGTTCGAGTATATGTGTGTGTGTAAATTAATTAGTAGACTTAGTCGAAAAACAAAGCTTGATTTTTAGTTTTAGCATTTCCATTATAGTTTTCATTGATGTGCGTGCGGTGGATAAAAAGAAAAACAAAAACCAGCTGAGGGCAAGAAGAAAGAAACCTTTTATGAACATTTGGCGCTTCTTTTCCAAAAAAAAAAAACCAAAAAACTATATGCTTTTTATACTGCACAAAATATATAAAAAACAAATTGGGGATCACTTTTTCTAAACCAATAAAGTCGAACTACTTTTTTTTTGGACCAACTCACCACACAAAATCAATGAACAAAAAAAAGAATTTAAAAAGTATTGAAAATCTCTGGCTAAAAAGTAAAAAACTCAAGATGCCGCAGATGACTCAGTTTCTTTCCCCTGTTTCTCTCTATCTTTACATGGCATTTTAAGTTAATTGATATTAAAAAATAACCTTTTGTTTGCCAGCTTATAGACAAAACTTATATTTGGCAAGCTTCGTCGATTAATAGGTGTGTAAATAGGCATAATTCAACTATTCAGTTTGCTTGCTTTTTATGCGTAAATGCTGTAAATACACACAGACTATGATTTTCGTTGTAAACATTTTGTGTTAATTGATGGAGTGTGAAACAACAATAATAAACCTAAACACAAATTGGTGTTCCGGGACTACAAGCAAGTCATGGACTGGGTAACCTTTGGGTGCACGCTATCCGTTAATTAGTGCTAGACTGAAAATGGTGTACCTACCCTTATCTAACTCATAAATATTGGTTTGACTTTCTTAATTCGACTAAGTAAAAATAACAAAACAAAAAAAGAAATAAACGAAATTTTTAAAACTATTTTTGTAGACGGCTATTATTCAGTTACGGTGCGAATACCCAAACGTATTACAGTGTGTGAAAATCTATGTCTTAGCTATATGCCCAGAGACTAGCCAAAGGTAAACGTAAGCGATGATGATTGAACTGAGAAAAAACCATGTACTTGCTTGGGATGGTCACCTAACCACAATTCAAATGCTTGCCTAGACACCTTTGATACTAAACCTATATACCTATTATATATTTTTATATATATATATATATATACGATATGTGTAAACCATGTATGCTAAACCTATTATATCCTTATATAAGCAGATATCCGTTACGACGCTGCTAAGCCACGCAAATTCTAATCGATATTCTGCTTGTTGCTCCATCTTTTGCCAGAGGAACAATGGGAAAAGGATCTGGAAGCTGAACTCAAGGACTACGAGGTGGTTGACGAAGGTGGCACTGGAGGAGGAGGACACAAAAAAGGCAGGCAGACCAGCAGCGGCGGCGATGACGACGCGGAGGCGGATGAGGATGAACCGACAATATCTAACTTGCGCACACGCTCGACTAACAACGATTGGGAGGAGTACGCCGATTTAATTGAGGATACCGATGATTTAAAGTAATTAAGAGCTTATATCGTAGTTTCTTCTAAGTTGGCTCTAAGTTTATAACTATCTTTACTTTATCTTTCTTTTCATTCCTTTCCAAACTTGTTTCCTCCTTGATTGATTACCCTAATTATTGTTATAAAATAATTCAAATACAACAACAAAATACAATATTTGAAACCACAGAACTTTGAAGTGCCTAAAGCGCACGATGTTGGGCTATCCATGAGACGAGGTCCCAGTTCCAGCGCTCTTCTAGTGCCGGTGCTCCACAATCCCAGACATATCCCAGTGGCCTTGCCTTGGGGTGGCCTATTGGAAAAGTTGGTTAAGATACTATATCCCCTCCCAATAACCCATTACTACACACACACATCCTCTCAAATATTGGTCACAAAGCAAAGCGTTTTATTCAGTTACCTTCCGACATGATATAAGACACTAAAAGCAAAAGAAAACGATTTAATTCAACCTTAAAGTTTTAACCTAAAGTAAAAAAAAAAAAGGAAAAGAATCCCCAGCCAATCTGGTATTCAAATGTATCTATTATATATTATATTTTATTTGGTTGACACACCGAGTGGCAGCGGTAGAGAGGAGGAGTAGAGGAGGGAGTCGTCGGTATTACTTGCCAATTGTTCAGCACACGAAATCCGAGATCTGGCAGTCAGTATAACCTATCAATAAGTACTTATATAGACACAAAACTATGAATGCAGGCTAAACGAGAAAACTGGCTAATGCTATAGATGATGCAGATCATATTTCAATATAGTGACTAAAATTGAGTAAACAAAAACAAGCTTCAAAGGGAAATTTTGTTATTTATATTTATAAATAAATTATATATAAATATATATACACATATATATATATATACAGATAAATTAATGCATTTGAATTTAATGTGTAAAAATTATTATAATAAAAATATAGATATAAAATATGTAAAGATACGAAACACTCAAAGAAAAACCATTAAAGTTTAACAAAATTTGAGTTGAAAAAAATCCTCAAAAATGCTCTTTTTTTAGAAACTTGCAAAATTGAAATACAAGCGAAATAAAACCTAGTAATTCCATTAATTGAGAGCAAAAAAATAACATTCAAATGTATTATTTCTCCCTCGATAGTTTATAGTTTATAGTGAAAACCAAAACAAACAAAAATATATTAAACATTGAATAAATTATCATTAATTGATGCTTAAAGAAACACGTTGAAAAATAAATAACAATGCATATAAAATAAAATACCAATTGTTTAGCTCAATTTAAGGCGCGCCAACAAGTTTTCTTTTCCGAACATTTTTAGTTCGAATCAAACTTCTTTAGGATCTTTTCTAAACAACTAACTCTCTCACCTTGCTGTTCCACTAAAACGAGAAAACGAAAACACGAAACTTCCTTGAACGAAACTAAAAACAAAATGCCAAAACAATAATATTCTGAAATTGGACTTGAAAGATCAAGAAACTAAAAACGCAATTAATAAATTACAAATAACAAATGATGAAAAGTAAATGCAATTATAAACAATAAGCAGTTCAAAACCTTTGAAACAAATATATACACATATATATATTTATATATATTTCACTAGACAAATTTTTATGCATAAACTAAAAACAAAACAAATTCTATATTATCAATGTTTTTGCTCTAAATGTCTAACTAATTGTTAATAAAACCAAAATAAAATTATTTTCTGCAGACAAAACGTTATATGAGAAATGCTATGAATGTATAATTATTTGTTAGCAGTGACAAAATATATCTAACACACAAAAAAAAAAAAAAACACAAGGAAACAAAAGTAAAAAAGTAAAAGTTATGACATTAAACTGTATATTGTACATTTACTTTTAAAAACAAATGAAATGTATTTACACGAAACGGCATGGAATATGATAAACTAAAGAAATTTTAAAATTTATATTTACTTTGTGCGTTTTTAAACATGTTGGCGACACAATGACAAGCAAATTAGTGCATAAACCGAACTAATAATAACAATAAATATTAACAATTAATGATAATGTAATGATGTTGACAACATATGTATTTTACAAGGCAGAACAAAACCCAACCCCGAAGATCCCAATCCTCACCGAATCCCCCCCAAAAAGATATATCAAACAATCCTGCATTATCTCTCACATAGAAACACATTTTTTATTGTCTGCAAAACAGTTTATTATTAAACCGAACCGAAAGTAAAACAATTAAATTAATGTTTATGAGCAAAGTTTGTTGAGCAGCATTCCATTAATATAACATTGCAAAATGAAATAAAATATATGTATATGTACTAATTAAAGTATATCACCCCCGAAACGGAAAACCCAAAAAAAAAACAAAAAACAAAGTATAATTTAGTTGTTTAATGATTGATACTATTTAGACCCAAGAGGATGCCCCCGTAGCACCCTACGGTTGCAAGAAAATAGTCAGCAAGAGGCAGAGACACTCCTTGATATACCATATGCCATAAAACATTTTCCACTCAATGTAAAACCAAGCGCAGAACGTGGAGTTTCTCTGACCAGAGAGAGCACCCTGAAAACTAAGCACAGCAAACGGAAAATAAATAAAACATTTTGTGTAAAGTTTGATGACAGACCGAAGACAACAACAACAGCATGAACACATACGAGTATATACATAATAAAAATATATATGAGAACAATTTAACGAGATTAAAATCAACTAAAGTAATAAAGGGAAAGTGTATAACTATTAAAACTAACGAAACCACAACTTCTTTCATTTCGATTTTCGCATATTGCATTCAATTTATTCACAATAATTTTCCATACATAAATTACAGGATCTAACACTAAACGGGTTAAATAAAACAAACTTTTGAACAATACACAATGAATTAACAATGGACGTTAATAAGCACGCGATTGTGTGCCAACGGCATGCCAATTAAATAATTTACAATATTGCAGTTTGGTTAAAATCGGGAAATCTCATAGGTGCCCTCATATTTGCGGAGCAAATACCTTCAAACTTGAAGCGGGATTTGGGATTGGCGTCGGTTTTCTTACGGCTAGTAACACAATTTCAATGATTTAAAGTTGCCCTTCCACCCCGCACTAATTACACATATTTAGCTAGGTAGATTGTTCTTGGATACGGGTCACTACCGAGGACTTCTTCGGTGAGGCTCGGAACGTTCGTATTGGATGCTCTTGAATCGGCTACTCGCCTCCAGTTGCTGCTGCTTTAATACCGGCTGACCACGATTGACTAGGTCCTTCCAAATCATGGTGAGTAAGATGAAGAAAGCCCCTACAATCTTGTTTAGAAACTCGATTAGCTTAAACACAATTGGCGTGACCGTGTGTGTGAAGCGGCTGAGCTCAAACAGAAAGCGCACAGTAAAGATGCCCAAGAACCGAAGGGCTACGACTGCTCCACCCAAAGCAGAGAAGATAAGCAGACCTAGAAACCGAATGGTGCTCAATATGTTTCTCTTGTTGACATCGTTGGCCATGAAGTCGTAAACGGTTTGTTTTACTCCATCTCCCCACTGCTGTAGCACGATCAGGAAATCGTTGAGGCCAAGCTGTAGTTGTTCCGTCACTTCGACCGTTTTAGTGGAACCTTCACCCGCTGTGATCGCTTTGGTGGTGCTACTCCTGTTTAAGGATAGTGATCTCCTTGGTGTGGCAATTGGTTCAGCCTCTACAGGTCGGACCATCTTCAGTTTGAACTGGATTTCCTGGTCCCGGAATCGCAAAGTCTTGATGCTAAACCAATACTCTCCGAAAGCCAAGTCACTGGTCTCCGTCCAGATGCAGGTCTCCAGTTGACCTGGATCTGGTGTGTGTTTATAGCTTCCATAACTGCCGCTGGTGATACCCACCCACATATTGGGTACAAAACGTCGGTAAAACCTTTGCAGCTGGTCAGCACTAGTATGCAGCATCTTCTCCAGCTCACGTTCGCTACGCTGCAGCACCACCACGTCCCGGTAGTCGCCAACCTGCTCTACAAAGCAGCGCTCCAGGTAATAACCGCGAAAGAGGCGGGATTTGTACAGCTGCTTAGTTAGGCCCTGCATGGCCAGTTCTTCGGGAGGCACAAGGCGTCCGCTCGCCTGTGGCACCACCGCGCTGGATACCATGGAATACTGCTAATGAAACCTTAATTATTGATCAGCCAATAACCTGCAGTGACCCTTACCGAATGATAGTAATTGGACTTTGTTGCAACCACTTTCGCCGCTTAGTCAGCACCGTGCTTTGTTATTGTTTGCCTAGGCAAAGTGCTAGTCGATGTTATGTGATTTAGGTGTCAGCTGGTATTTAAATTTTATTTTTTTTATAACCGAGCATAATGCACGGTGGCCTTAGGCTTAATGAGTCAAAAATTCATACATTTAAACGAAAACCAGGTAGACAAAAATTAGGCAAGCAGCTGCTAGGTGTCGATAAACGATAACAATAGGGTTCCCACCGGCAGTCGATTAGCGGAATACAGTTTGCCAGTCCATCACTAATGTGACGAAAAAAATTGTAAAAAACATTTTTGATACTCATTTTTCCCAGCTTTTCCACCCGGCCACGTTGGTATTCACCCACATCAAGATTTCCTCCCAAAACCGACTACTCGAGTGCTTCAAGATGACCTTAGTGGGCCTTGCAGCCCGCAAATTGGCGCAGAAGAAGAGGTGAGGCCGTTTGTTAAGGAACCTAGCCGGCTTTTGATCCTAACCTTTGATTTCTATGCCCACAGGGACGCCAAGCTAGCTGCTGACTTTCCTAAAGGAATTCGCTGCCAAAAGTGCCTTCAAATTGGACATTGGAGCTACGAGTGTAAGGAGAAACGGAAATACGTCCACCGTAGCTCCCGCACCAAGCAATTGAGCAAGCATTTGGCTCAAAAAGAGGCAGAGACGCCCAAGAACCAGGTAGAGGAGCAGCTGGAAGTAGCCCCGCCAGGTGGAAAAAAGGTCCGACGAAAGCGAAAGACCAGCAAGAGCTCCTCATCCTCATCAAGCTCGTCGGACAGCTCAGACAGTAGCAGCGAATCGGACTCTTCATCTGGTTCGGACTCTAGCAGCTCCAGTTCAGAGTCAGAAGACGAAGGGGGGAGTTCCTCTGGTTCCAGTAGCAGTGGAACCTCCTCCGACAGCGACAGCAGCGATGGGGCGTCCCAGAGGAAGAAAAAACGAGCCGACAGTTCAGCAGAATCCTCCGAAGATCAGGATTAATCAAGAGATCAATACCGGGTCCGTAGCGCATAGCTTTAGTAGTTTAGTTTTCCCCACAAACCCTTCAGATGCGGAAATTTAATCCGAATATGAACTTACTATATGTACTGTACTGTATTTATTATTTAAGTCCCCTAATGTTCACGGTCTGGTTATGTACGGGCCAAGATGCTACTCATAATAAAAATTTTTAGTCCGAGTCAGTTTCCTCGTCGAATTTTCTCAGTTGGTTGAACATGCCCAGGTCAATTTGCTGGCTATTGATTTGCTGAGAGTCCATTACAGTTGTGGCTTGGTTTTGCTCCGTCAGATCTATATTAAGAGTATCTATTCCAGGAGAGGATTCCTTCGATGTGTTCTGCATTCCTAGCACTTGTGACTTAAGATGCAGTTCCTCAACCTGTGCAACACAAAATTATACTATTCTGTTATAGAAATAAGGCTATCGTTACCACCTTTAATGAGTTTAATGTCTCTTGGATGACGGGGAGCACTCGCTCTAATTTCTTTTGAATAATGTAGAGTTGAGTCTGCTCTTTTTGTAGGACCCGATTTGATTGCAACATTTTGTAAACAAACAATAAACTTTTAACCCTCCGATGACCACAGGGTGTCGAAGGTTGTTATCGTTAATAATAACTAAGAAATAATCAGTTTTAAAATATTTGTGATATCATGCGTGATTACATCTGTGGAAATAAATTTAACATTCAAGTTCTTCGTTTATTATTAAATTTTTATGATAAATCTCTTACATAATTATATTATACAACAATTTTTAGTTGATCTAAATTTTTCAATCTGAATAACATTACTACTGTAAATGTAAATTTTAAATATAAAAAAATTTAATTTATTGATTAATTGTATTAGTGGGTTAATGATCAACTATCTTTTGTTACTATCGATATGCCTAAGCGAATGCAGAATTCCTGCCAGGGCTGACATTCGATAACAATGGCGGTGAGGTATGCGGCAATCGAAATCGTTCGCGCCTTTCGGAAATTTGCATTTTGTACAGTCAAAACAGGAATAAACGAAAACTGTGACAGAATATAAACAAACAAAAGAGAGCACAGAAGTAAATATAAACAATTCTCCATCAATGAACATAAGCGAAGTGGAAGGAGAGGCGGAAACGCTGATGAGGCGCTTTTACGCCAGTTGTGAGCAGTTGGAGCTGGATTCACGGATTCAGCAGAGTGCTCTGGCAACATACCGACAAATAGATGACTCCGGTGGTCTGTCTACCAGTGATGGAGATGTCCAAGAGTGGCTATGTTGTGCAGTCTACAGTGAACTGCAGCGGGAGAAGTTAAGGGATATCAGGGAGGAGTCCCAAAGTACCACTAACGAGGCGAATGATACGCTGAACAAAAACAGCTGCTGGAACTTGTCACTAACCCGCCTGTTGTGTAGCTTTAAAGTAAATGTGTCACAATTTCTACGACGTATGGAGCACTGGAACTGGCTGGCCCAGAACGATAAATCCTTTCAGTTGGAGATTGAAGAGCTACGTCGCCGACTGGGCATCACTTTGACCCTATTGCGACATTACAACCACATCTTCCACAGTCTGTTTACTCAGCCCGGAGAGAAATCCGACACGGATGCCGTGACCCACTATCAAAAGCTCTATGAGTTCGGTTGGCTTCTCTTCCTGGTCATCCGAAACGAGTCTCCGGGATTTGCTACTTCGAACCTTGTTAATGGCTGTCAAGTTCTCGTCTGCAGCATGGATCTTCTTTTTGTAAACGCTCTGGAGGTGCCCCAATCTGAAGTGATTCGCCGTGATTTTACTGGCGTCCCCAAGGGGTGGGACAACGATGACTTCGACCACAGCTTCTTGAACAAATATACCGCTGTAGAAGCTCTGGGAACATTGATTCCTGAGCTTCCGATAAAGGGTGTGAAGCAGATGAAAGATGCGTTTTTCCACAAGTCCCTGATGCTTCTGTTTATGGACCAAAGCCTGGTGGGAGACGACACCCACATCAGAGAAATCATTAAGGGGGGAATGTTGGATATCAATCTAGCAAATCTAAACCGCAAGTACACCAACCACATAGCTGACATAAGTGAAATGGACGAACGAGTGCTGCTCTGCTTCGAAGAAGCAAAGTGTCGCAAGAGGGATTTTCATTTAAGCCCACTTCCAACCTACTCCTCACCTCATAAAAAATTTCTAGACCACGATTTACCACAAAGCCTTTCACCCTGCTTAGTGAAAGCCTTGCAAAGAGGCGAAGATGAAAATCAGGTTGTTAAATACGTAAATAAGACCCTGCATAAAATGGATCAAACTTTTATCGATGCCGCCAAGGACTACTTGAGTGCAGAAGCGGCTCAAAAACGAATTTGCTTGGCCAGAGGTCTTTACTATACATTTCTACAGAAGATTTTGGCCCCGGAGCTGGCTCTAAAACCAAAACTAAAGATTAGTCAGTTACTAAAGCAGCGCACATTAACCGCCACACTCTTAGCCTGCTGTTTGGAACTGTCTCTTCACATTTACGACGAACAAGAAGATGGCTTTAGGTTTCCCTTTATCCTAGACTGTTACTCTTTGGACGCCTACGAATTTCAAAAGATCCTGGAGCTGATGGTGCGCCACGATCAGGGCTTTCTGGGTAGAGAGCTGATTAAACACCTTCATGTGGTCGAAGAGAAGTGCCTGGGATCGTTGATTTTCCGCAAAAGCTCACAATTTTGGTGGGATTTGGGGCACGACATGCCCGTTTACCAAGCTGTCCAGTCTGAAGTGGAAGGTAAGGAGAACAATTCAACAGGAGCAGGCATCTGCCTGCGAAAGTTCTACGGGCTGGCCAACCGGCGACTGCTGCTCCTCTGTCAGAGCCTTTGCCTTGTTGATTCCTTTCCGCATATCTGGCACCTGGCAGAGTACTCCTTTACTTTGGAGGGTGGCCGGCTGCTTCGTAATCGTCATCTAGATCAACTCCTACTGTGTGCCATTCATATGCATGTCCGACTTGAGAAGCTTCACCTAACCTTTAGTATGATTATCCAGCATTATCGCCGCCAGCCGTACGCTCATAGAGACGTGTATCGAGAAGTCAATTTGGGCGTGGGTCAAACCGCTGATATCATCCGTTTCTACAATACTGTGTATGTCAAGAGCATGGCTAGCTATGGTCGTCAACTGGATTGTGAACAATCCCGAAAGTCACTGCAACAATCCAACGGGACTATAGGGGTTCTGATGGATATACCTCTCAACAAGAGGAGCATGCGAGAGAACATAAGCATATCTTCGCCACCACCGCCCAAGGTGTGCCAAGGTGGACCCTGCTCCAGTCTTCCTCCATCCCCTCTGCCCAAGCAAAGCTCACCCAACATAAAGCGTGCTGCCTCCAGCAGCGAACTGAGAGCAATCAAGAGACCTAATATTCTAAGACGGCGTACTTGCTTTCAGTGATCTTAAAGAGATATTGCATTAATTACTTGGCTGCATTTTACGCAGCTACCCTATAATATACGTTAAGATTTCCTAAGCTGCTGAAAACTCTTTGTAAATTATCAGACTGCTCAATTAAACTTCGACCGCAAAGAAATCTAAGTTTAAGAATCAATTTTTGATTTTTAACAAATTAAGAATTAAAAGAATTTTCTTGAAATAAAATAATAACTACCAACATTTTTTTTGTTTAAATAGATTTTTATTGAATGCCATTTTTGTGGCTTTGAAACTTGGTTCAAAATATTTGTGCAATTGCTTATTAACGCGACCGGACAGGAAACGAAACTTACACAAAACTGGAGACGCGTCAAGATGTAGGGCATCTTCTCAGATTAAACACAAGATTTGGGCTTAGAGTGGAGTATACATAATACATACTGAGAGCGTACGACTTAGAGCTAGTTACTTTAACGTTTTCTGACTTAAAAGTAAGAGTTAAGAAGGAGGAGCTACACCGGCGACGGGAGCAGTGCTCGCTGGAGGAATGCTGCCTGATGGAGCCATCGCTGATCCCGGTGGTCCGCCGCCATCTGACACTGGACCGCTGCTCGGCGGGGTAGTATCTAAGAAAGGTATTAAATGAGTATATACCATATGGAATTAAATGTTGTATATAGTGTTCTTACCCATTGGTGTCGGTGCCTGAGATTGCGCCGCTCCCGCTGCTGCTGGTCCGGATTGGTCGCTTGGATTCGTAACGATAGCCGTGGGAGCGCCAGGCGGTGGTCCACCGGCGAGAGCAATGGGCGGCGCTGCAAAGGGAGCACCGTTGGGCGGCGGAGCTACGGATCCGGCTATGTGCGGTGGCAGCGGCTGGTGTTGGGCAGTGGGACCCGCCAGCGGTTGTGACTGCGGCGGCAACTGGTGCGGATGTGGAGGCAGTTGTTGCTGCTGCGGCAGGTGTGGATGCGGTGGCAATGATTGCTGTTGCTGCTGCGGCTGCTGTTGTTGTGGTTGTGGTAACTGATGTTGCTGTTGCAATATCATGGACCCAGCGGCCGCTTGACCTTGAAGCTCCTGCTGGAGGCGGTGATGCGCTTGCTGCCGCGCCCGGAACTCGGCCGCCTTCAGCTGCTCCAGGTGGAACTGCTGGCGCTCTGTGATCAGCTGCTGTCGCTGATACTCCAACCCTTCGCGCTCTCGCTCCATGGTGGCCTCTAGCTCCTCAAAGTGACGCAACTTGATTTCGAGCTTCTTCATCTGTGTCTCGACAAGCAGCGCAACCAGTGACTTGATTTTGCGCTCTTCCAGGGCAGCCAGGTGTTTTGCCTTAACGGCTGCCGATGCTAAGGCTGCCGCTGCTGCCGTCTGCATATTGTTCTCACTAAACGTTCCATCCTTGGCCACAGCTCCTGGTCCTGTGCCAGGTCCCGATCCCTCCTTAGCCTCGGTGCCGTCCTTCGTCTCGCCATCGCCACTGCTGTCCTCCGTTTTGATGTCCACATCGCCTCCACTGGCGGATGCTGCTGTTTCTGTGGGTGAGGATTTGTTTGATTTGTCTGACTTGGTGGCTGACTTGTCGCCCAAAGGCGAGGAGCCGGACGACTCCTTTGATTTCTTGTCGGTGTTGTTGGTGTTGCCTGTCGCTGATGATGATGTGGAACTCGAGTCTGTGTTCGTGTCGGTTTTATCCGATTTTGTTTTGTCTTTGGACTTGGCATCGTCTGTGGTTGTTGTTTGTTATTTGGTGGTTGTGGTGTTGATGTGAGTTTGGTAGATTGGGCGCAACACAAAAACGAAACAATATACGAATACAGTGCCAAATGGAGAACACATTGGGAATTTTGAATGAAAGCAACACAAGAGTTCAACAAAACAAACAAATGCGAAACCAACAAATAATTAAATGTTTACGCTAGATATCGGTCACAAACAAACTGCTTGAAATTACAATTTTCGACGATTCCATCAACCGACATCCTTCAAAACCACCTTAACTATACGTTCTAGTTTTCTCTTACCGTCTTTTTTGTTCAGATCCTTCATTTCCTCATCAGAGCCGCCAGCGGACGCAGAGGCGCCTCCTTCCTTGCCCTCCTCATCCTCCTTGTCGTTTCCGGTTCCTGCTATCCCACTGTTGGCCAATCCAAAGTTTGGATTGAATTTACCGCCTGCGGAGGCCTTCTCCACGTTTTTCATGTGGTTATCCATAATCGTAGCGGGCACCTCATCCTAAAGCGTACATATTTTAAATTAATTCATGGTAATGCTTAGATATCCAACATTAAATTACCTTAATGGCTGCAAATTCTTCCATGGCAGCCTTGGCAGCAGCAGCAGCCACTCGAGGATCGACCACAGATGCGAGGAATGCCACGGTGGACATAATTGGATTGCCGCTCTTGCTAAAAGGAATGGGTTGACATCCCAAGGGACCTAGGAAGCCACCATCATCCTCAAGATAGGGGTCCTCAATGGGAAGCCGAAGGAAATGCAGGATGCATTCGTCTTGGGTGCGAGAGCCTACGTGCTCGCACACTTTGTTCCAATCGTCCTTGTGCATCTCTAGGCCTTCGAGCAGCAGCAGTGTTTCCTGATCGGTCCACTCCCGAGCCATGCTGGCCGCCGTTCGGTTTCTCATAGCCGCCGGCTTCTTGGCGTATTGATCTAGCTTTAAACCAAACTGGCTTACCCCAGAACTTAATCCACCGGCAGACCCACCGTTCTCCAAAGCCTCTGTCTTAATACCAGCCAGACCACCTTTATCTCCGAGCTCCAAGCCACCATCCTTGCCCAACGGCTTCTTGTCCAAATCTAACAGCGTCTTTGCCGCCGACGGCTGCTGCGTCTTTTGAGGATTTATAGACTGTAAGCCTGACGGTGTGTCCGAAAGAATGTGGAAGTGCGACGTTGGAGGCGGCCCCATTGGAGTGGGTCGCAGATCTGCATCGATCTGATAGTTAATCAGGCCCCACTGCTCCAAGAAGGCATGCACCCGCATGATGGCGCACACATCTCCGGCGAGGTTGCGCCTGCAGGCGGTGCTTGTTAAGTACTCCGTCGGATTGAGCCTGAAATTGATCAAAAACATTAGCTATACTCTCAACAGATAAAAAAGTAGAGTATCATCTTACCTGTAGGTGTCTATCATAAAGTTTCTGTAAGCCATGTAGATCTCTGGCGTCTTGGACTTATTCTTGCTGTTGAAGAATTCCGGCATAGCACGTTTCTCGATCACATGAATGGAGTTGTAATCAAACCAAGCTGAGTAAGAGGGCACAATAATATGGTGCGTCTGCTCAGTAACATTATCCTCCATATCCTCTTTGGCAGATGAAGAGAATTCTTGAGTGTTGCTATTATCACTGGTCTTGCCTGTCTGCGAGTTATCTCCATCTCCAGTAGACATGGCTTGAGCAGCGCTTCCTCCTGTCATTTCATCATCTAAATCGGTCATAGTGCCACCTAATCAGAAGGTAGATATTAGTTATACATTCATATGCTAGGATAATGATAAAACTTACCCTTAATAGGCATCATGTCGTTGTCCCCACGGGACTTTCCGCCCGGAGCTGGACTGGCTGTGGACTGTAGGGCGGCGTTGGCCTTATGCACCTCCTGGACGTTTGGTTCGACCGGCGGATCATCTAGATCGCGGGTCAGATCTTCGTCGTCATCTTCATTTCGCGACTTCTTGTGCACCACAGCAGGGGATCTCTTACGTTTTCCCGGCTTCGAGGTGGACGTTGATGTGGCTGGCGAAGGTGAACGGCGCCTCTTTTGCTTACCGCCCCCAGAGCTGGCAGCAGGCTTCTTTTTTTCGTCGCCGAAGGACATGATGTCGTCAATGGACATGCGCTGCTTGTGCGTTTTCTTCTTTCCTTGCTCGTCCACCTCGTAGTCCTCCTCAGCCATCCACTCATTGTACTGTTCCAGATCCACGATCCAGGAGGCAGATACTCTCCAGCGCTCCGCCGGGGACTCGGGATTCTCCGGAATGTGATCCGGCAAATCGAAGTTGTTAACAGCCCAAGAATCATAGGACTCCGGGAAATAGTACCAGTGCAACATCACATGGCCGCCACGCTTAAAAATTGGACGAGCATATTCATCTGGATGAGGATCCACGACAGGATAGACAATATGGGTGGCATCCTCCTCGTCTGAGACTATCTCAACCCGTCGGTTGTCGAGAATCTCGCGCAGTTTTCCTTCGAAGCCCTTCTCGATCTCCGGTCGGATGTAGATATACGGTATGCGATACAAATCGGCCTCCACCAGCGCTTGCTCGATCTCAATCAGCAGCTGAATGTTGGGATCCTTACGCGTAGGATTCTTGCCAATAGAGAAATCGAACTTCTTCCCGCGTTGCTCGGCCCGAAAACGGAACATGGTCGAAAAGATGATGCACAGGCCTCCGCCGCTCTTGAAGTCTAGAAAGCAGCGCATCTGCGGAGGCAAAAATTAAGATGCATTAGCTAAAACCATTTACTTCCTAGCATTAATGATGCTCTTTATCCACCATAGGGTTAATATTTACGTGTACACACGCAACATGGGGCACCCTGTACTGCGCACCCACACACAGACACACCAATACTAACCGGAATTCTGGTCGCCGGTGGCTCTGCTGAATTCTTTCCCAACTTCGCTTCCACATATTGAAGAAAATGGATGAGCAGTTGGGCTAAGGACTCCTTCGTGATGGGTTCCGAGCTGTGGGCCAAGTACTGCAAGAAATACGTATATCATTAAAGCGTTTTTTTTCTCAACATCAGGCAGCGCCATTTTTGTTTGCGGCGGCGTTGTTGTTGGTACGCACCTTCTTGCAATTCTTCTGCAGCCACTGCCGAATAGATTCGAAGCCCTGCAACGTCTCCGGCGACTGAAAAAAGTCTATATTCGGACTTCCGTCCTTCTTAGGACCCAGTGAATTCATAGTGCGGAACTTTAAAAGGCTTTTTGTCAATTATATTTTCACTTTTCCACGCCAACAAAAGCCAATAAACGCTGGGCAGATAAAATAGAGATGGAATACAATCTACAATCGATTTCTATTTGATACTATCGTTGTTTCCAGAAATGTGCGCATTTTGATGTTTACCGTGTTCCCATCGATTAATTGTAATGTAATACCTTTTTTACACTTTTTCTATTCATTTAAACGTACAAATTTTATAGTAATAATTTATTGACCCATTTAGTATTAAATTTAACACCTTTTTTTTTTACTTATTTTCAAGTATATGTGATTATTCATGATTACCACAACTATCATCAGAATGCTACAGATATTATGATGTTATGTGAATGTTATACGACCCAGTCGAATCAAGATATTATAGGGAAATTAACCCTAATATTTTAGCTGCAAGCTCTGGTCACATTATCCCAGTGTGTTCCATAGCCCTCTCGCTCTAACTACTATCGGCATCCCGCTCGCGCCGCCTAAAAACCGTATGCACCATGATAGTCAGGCCGCACATATAAATGCGACTCCATCGCGCTAACATGGCTGCTGGGAATCGAAAACTTAGAAATATTGTGCGGTCGGAGTGTGTTTGCATCAGCGTGAAGCCCAGTGTTAAGTTAAAACATTGACTGCCCACGCCCACGATCGACAATTGCCGCATTTTACCGTAATTCGCCACACCGGGGTCTCCTATGAGTGTGTTCGCCGCGTGTGCCAGTGTGCGTGAAAAAGAAAAATTCAATGGTGCGTGAGTGGGAAGGCGATTGGATTGATTTGTGACGCTGCTGACTGCCCCCTTCCCTTGGCCAAAACACACATACACACATACTCATACGCACGGCCATAGTAACGCAGCATCGATTGTACAGTTTTAGAGCAAACAATTCAATTAGAAAATGCAGAGCGCATGAGTTGAATTGTGAGTGGGCACCCCGCAAAAGCTGACTGCTGCCGCATCGCGAAGGAGAGAGTAGTGGCGAAGAGGAAGAAAGAGCAACCATTGCCAAAGGTGGGTGATATAATATTCAGGAAAGGGGATCGGAAATGGGAATTGAAGGGACCCAAAAACTCTTATCCTCGATTGCAAAAGTATTTTATATGGCAGGCACTTATCGCTTCCGCTTGCGTGTGCATGAGAGAGTGAGAGAGCGGGGCCAAGGGGCACACTGTTTGTTGATAAGAGAGAAGCAAGACGGAGAGAGAGTGAAGAGAACGCCAACGCAGCAAAACAGCGGAAATCCTTAGGCGAAAACAACAAAAACCTGGCCAATTACTAGCTCATTGTCTTTCGCATACATTCTCTCTCTTTTTGGCAGTCCGTTCTAGTGCGCGTATTTTTAGTCGCAGCACATTGCTCAATTCGCCAGCCGCTATTTGTGTCGTCCATTTGTTCATTCATCGGGCTCTTTTTCCAATTTCAGTGGGTGGCATTTAACAATAATCCCTCCATGCGTTGTCCACGTCCACATTACGGTACGTTTGTTACACAGAAAGAAACAAATTGTTGGGCTTGGATTGTTTTGCATATCTTATTGGACTAATAAATTTGTTATACTGGCAATTTGTTATACCGTAATTTAAAATATAAATATAAATTTAAGCATTAACATATTTAAATGAACACCTATTTATTTCTCTATGTGTACGGCAATGCCAGGCGATACAAGCACCTGTGTTTATTTATGGTCCGCTGCCGTAATCGACTGCAGTCGCCGCCTCCCTCTCTCTTTCGCTACCAACAACTTGGGGTAGGGCACCTGAACTAGTTTCAAACGGTGGAGCTCGGCCTTTTCAGCTTTTTTTTTTTTTTTTTTAAGTTTTTTATTTTTTTTTTTTTTTTTTTTGCATTTGCCATTTTCTTGCAGTTCGCAACATCAGCGACATTTGTCACAGTTTCTTTTGAGAACATTTGAATATTCAAAGTTTACTTGCCGAACTTGACTGCTGTGAGGCGATGATGCTGCTAAAATGAAACACCTCGTTGTTTATCATTCGGCTCCATTAATTCGATTCAGATCGCTGCTGCACATTGTGCGAAATATGCAGGAACATCTGTCACAATATTATCCAAATGTCGTGCAAATATTGAACTGTGCAGCTCAAACACATATGGTGCGGAATAATGCCGAAATATGTCACTTTTCAGCTCAACATTTGTGAAGATGACTACATAATTCGACGAATTGAATTTAAACAATTCGGTATTGCCCAAAGTATTTGCTTGAGTTTGTATTTATTCTATAAAATTTCAAAACAACAATCGATTTCTAGGAATGTAGATAGTGAATAAGTGGATGGATTATCGGCTAAACTTGTGACATTTTAAACAAATCCACCTACAATAAAAGTGGAAAGCTATTAGTAATACTAGAAACCGAATAAATAGCTTATCTTTCGTTTTAAAAAAATACAAAATTTATTATTTGTAACATTAATTTTAGCACTTGCCACAAAATTTCGTATTCGATGATCAAGCAATATGGCACAGCTAAATGGCCGAGCCTTATCTTTAGTGTAAACAAATGACCCAGCATTTCCGTCAGGCCCGTTTTAATCTGTACAATACCAGCTTCTAAAAATAACAAAATAAAAGCTCGCAGAACTTGCCACAAAATACTCGAAACACTTTTCGCCCCATCTAATCGAAATTTTACGAGTGCCATTGGTGATAATAAAAAAGTGTACACATTCATGGCTTATCGTTCGATGAAAATGAAGTATAAATAAATAAATGCGCGACACACAACACTGGGTAAAATCAATGATTGCGATTGCTTTCAGTCGATGTTCATCTAATGGGAATTTAATTACTCAGCCAGCGGGGCATTTTCCTGAATTGAATCCATGGCAACCCAATCACAATCTCAATTCGGTCCCCCTCCCCGATAAGTGGATGGATTGGTGGGTGGCTACGACAAGGTCGCTGACAATACGAAGTACAGCAGATTTGTCGCCGATAAATTGACTTTATGGTTGGTCGGACAAATCCATGCGACATGCCATATGTACAAACGATTTCATTATGACTTTTACGTCGTTGCTAATATTATTTCTTTGTTATTTCTGTAAGTTTTTGAGTGTTTTTATTGGCTTGATTACTTATGGATAAACATTGTCAATAAATTTGCACGTGCCTCGAAGACTCATGGCGTATCTCGTTATTGTTCCATTCTAAGCGTAAATATATTCATGAATCGTAATTCTTTGCCTTGGTTCAGTGAACTGTGATTTTTGCACATTTCTTATCACCCGCAACACGTTGCATTGATAAGAGTCCTACAAACAAACAACCTTCGAGAGTAAAAGTATGTGTCAATTTGAAGTATCGTTAATCTCCATATAACTTATAATAGAGGTTAACGGGGCTCTCTAAAAACGATTCCTGTGGCGATTCGTACGTAATACGGTTGCACTAGTCCGGAGGAGAATATGGAAATGCCGTAATTTGCTCAATTGTCACGTTCTGCTCTAAGCTGTTAAGAACGCCTCGGTGGCCACAACGAAGTCATTATTCGCCATTCACGTTGAGTGACTCAATTTACACACAGCCCAACCCCACTTGGCTACCGGGCTCAATATTGCTCCCCAGGAAATCCTACCCAACCCATTGGTTCCATGTCTTTCGCCTTCTTTGACCACGTGTCCAGGGTTTATTGGTCGATTGGCTCGCACTGGAAGAGGCTAAATTTCGAGATTGTGACAGACGTTTGGCCTAAGCTATGCGGTCATTCTACATTAGAGTGCGTCACGGCTTAGCAACTGGGGAAATGTACTAATAATAGTCGGAGGAATCTTAATAATAGGCTTCCCAGAAATTCAGATCAGTTCTGTAAATCTACTTGCTTGAACAATTAACCTTGCTTAATTGTTTAATCTTAGTTAACTGTGAGTATTAAGTAACACTATACAAAAGTCTAGAAAACGGATGTATGGTTGTCATGGTACTTGCACTATAGTGAAGTTTCTTTACAATAGAAAACAAAACTTGTATTTGTTTCAAAGTGTAAGGTCTATCTGTCACAAAATAAAACTTTATCTGAAACGGCGAACATAAAAAATAGAAGGTTATTGGTTTTTTTGTTGTATCTTTTCTTTGGTCACAGAGAAATAATATTAAATTATTTGATACGGTGATTAATATTTATTAAGTTTAAGTTATGGAGACAGCATTCCCAGAAATTTATTCGCTAAATTCTATTATCAATTAGTTTCGAGATACAGATATATCGACTTGTTAGGTATTTTTTCTGACGCACTCGGATTGCATAATCGATGTTATATATGTTAGTGTAAGCGGGGAATACAATAAAAATATATTAGTAATTTTATGAATACAACTCAATTAATAAAATTCCCTTTATTTTTTACAGATTAGTTACTTAGAGTAGTACGATTTTATAGATCGACGGATCACAAAGAGTATCACAAATTACCATTGTATAATGACATCTAGGTAAGTTAAATCACTTAAATCATGGATTATATTGTAATAATAATAATATCCTTTGCAGACTTGACCGACTTTTTATTCTACTTGAGACCGGGTCTACAGCTGCCACTCGCCAAACTGCCGCCAAACAGATCGGTGAGGTCCAGAAGCTCTATCCACATGAACTCCATGCCCTGCTAAATCGTCTGGTGGGTTACCTGCACAGTACGTCTTGGGAGACAAGGATAGCAGCGGCGCAGACTGTTGAGGCCATACTGAAGCAAGTACCGCCTTGGCAGCCGGAACTGCAGGTGATACCCAAGAAGGAGCGCTCTGGAAGTGATGCTGCCACAGCTGCAGCTGCAGCTGAAGAGGATAGCTGCCAGTCAAGTGGGTCCAACTCAACGACGGCCAGCGAACGATTGCTTAGCTTTGATGAGTTTGATCTGCAGCAGATCCTGCATAAAGGCGCCCGCCTCATCGGCTCAGAAGGCAATGAGTTCGATGTACAGGAGGAACAGCCAGCTAGTGGCGGAGGGGACGAGGAGAGAAGTCTCGCCAGCCGCCTTAGTCGACAACGGGCAGTGCTCAACGACAAATTGGGCTTGACCACGGCCGCCAAACTCGGCGTAAATCTTACCGATATGATAACCGACGAGGACGTTGCGCTTGCGAGGAGTGGGAGCAGTTATAACATTAACGCCGAAAAGCTTCCTGTGGAACACATACTCAACATAAAGCCAGCGGCGAACGGATCTGGGCAGGCTCAACTAAGCTGCCGTGAGATGAATCGAGCAAAGCGAAAGGCCCGTCAAAACACAGTCGCCTCTGCATCTGTAGTCACACCGACTTGCAGCCGCCGAAACTCCAATAGCAACCACAGTACGGGCAGTAATCACAGCAACAATGGAACCTCGTCACTTACTTCACTGGATGAGCCGGAAAAGAAGAAGCTGAAGGCAACGGAGCGGCAGGAAATCTTTTACAGTTTGAATGGTGAGTGCTTTTACTTACAACTTTTTAATACTAGTCTCAGTATAGAGGGGTTAACTGGGCTCACGGGGTAAAGTTTTTAATTAAAAAATTTCCATAAACCAGATAACTAATAATTATAAAATGAAGTGCTTTATTAGCAAGACTTGATTGTGAAAATTTGCATGCCTGGTCAAAAGTTATTTTTTTTTTATTAGGGTTTTTAATAGAACCTTATTAATTTCGGACTTTTTCATTTTTCAGCGGCTGTGCCAGATGCCACAGGCACTTGGGTGGATGCCGTCTCCTGGCCATTGGAGAACTTCTGCTCACGCCTTTTCATCGATCTCTTTCACGCCAAATGGGAGGTGCGCCACGGAGCGGCGACAGCTCTAAGGGAACTGATCAACCAGCATGCCCAAGGAGCGGGAAAGGCGGTACAACAGAGTCGCGAACAGATGGACGAAGCGCATAGCCGCTGGCTGGAAGATGCCGCGTTGCGCCTGCTCTGTGTACTTTGTCTGGACAGATTCGGGGACTTTGTTTCGGATCAGGTGGTGGCACCAGTGCGTGAAACCTGCGCTCAAGTGCTGGGTACCCTTGTCAAAGAGATTCAGGCGTCCAAGGTGCAAAGAATCGTGGACATCCTGCTCCAGCTCATTCAGCACAAAAACGAATGGGAGGTGCGGCATGGTGGACTACTTGGTCTAAAGTATGTGTTTGTGGTGCGTGAGGAGCTCTTGCCCATCTATCTGCCGCAGTCAATCTCAAACATACTCATCGGTCTTCTGGACTCGGTGGATGATGTCGGAGCAGTGGCTGCATCTACCCTGATTCCAGTGTCTTCCTGGCTTCCAAAGCTATTAAATCCAGCACAAGTGTCCTCCATCGTAAAGATGTTGTGGGACCTGCTTTTGGATCAAGATGAACTCACCTCTGCATGTAACAGTTTCATGGGATTGCTGGCGGCCATTTTATGTTTGCCAAAAGCCGCTAGCTGGGTGGAGATGGAGCCAATGGCCAATCTGGTGCCGCGACTGTGGCCTTTCCTTTCTCACAGCACCAGTTCAGTGCGTAGATCAACGCTAAAGACACTGATTACACTAACAAGTGCGGATAAGGTGAAATCGGAGCCCAAAGATGAGGATCAAGTTAAAGAGGAAAAGAATGAGCAGATGAAACTTAACTTTGGAGTTAGTGACTGGAAGTGGCAATTGCTGCAGCAGGCGCTGCGCCACATATATCAGCGTATTCTAGTCGAGCCGCAGGCGGATATCCAAGCACTGGCTCGTCAGGTGTGGTCCAATCTTATCGAGCATGCGGATTTAGGTGCCCTCTTACATGCTGCCTGTCCGTTTGTGTCCTCCTGGATTTGCCTATCAATGCAGCCACCCAGGCTCGCTTTTGACGCGGCAGTGCTGATCAGAGCCTGTGGAGACTCGAGTACACCAGGAAGCGCCTCGAGGAAACGAACGCCACGCATAGGAGACGATCTGGGCGGAGCTATTCTAGCACACTCAAATGCCTCACTTAAGCTTTATTTGGGTGGTAGCGAGGCCACGCCACTAGAACTACGAGAGGCGAACTTTATGCGAGCTCGGATCTGTTCGTCGCGTGCGCTTGGAGCGCTCTCACATTACCTGGTGCAGCCAGCTCCGGGAGTCGTGTACACCCCGCAAACAGAGAGCCCCACGGAATGTTATACGAAAGTCCTGTTGGGCCATCTAAATGCCCACTCTGCCGTCCAGAGAATCGTGTGTGGGTTGATAATTGCATTTTGGGCTCTGGAAGATGAGCCAGTGCGTCCGGGACCGCCCAATCTGCAGGAAAAGTTACACCAGTGTGTGAGCGAGTACGTCTATTACGATGAGGTGGCCATCTCGCTGACCCGACTACTGCAAGAAGCACAAGATTTCATCGCTACACTAAAGCAAAACAAAATACCGATTAACGACTTCAATAACGCCAAGATTCTCACCCTGGATCAAATTGAAGCGGTGGCCACTACGTTGAGCGAAAATCTGCGTATTTATCCCCTCAAACCAAAGCTTTTAGACATGCTGGAGGAGCGGCGACGTAGCCTTCAGGCATCCTACCAGCAGACAACCAGCGAGCAAAGCGCCTACCATGTTAGTGCCCAGGCAGCACTTGCTGGCGCCATATGCGCTCTGCACTGCCTGCCCGAGAAGTTGAATCCGGTGGTTAAGCCTTTGATGGAGTCCATTAAGCGGGAGCAGTGCCTCCAATTGCAGCAGCTGTCTGCCGAGTTCCTGGTCCATCTTATGGATCAGGTCTGTGATAGAAACCCTAGTCCAAATAGCAAGATCCTGAACAATCTTTGTACGTTGCTGAGAAGCGACCCAGAGTACACACCCAAACTGGTAAGTTAAAAAATCCGAATTCTAAACCAGGTTTATAATTCTCTGTCAAAATGCCTACAGGTTAAGCCACTCCAGACTCTTAAGCAGACACCACCATCGTCTGAAGTCACTAACAGTTGTGTTTACTACGGCATCCTAACACTCGCACTTCAACAGGCAGTGCAACCTACTAACACCCGAAGCGGTGGAGGAGTAGCTGTAGCCGGAGCGGGAGCAATAACTCCCACAATAACTACACCTAGTCGTGGGCCTGGACGACCGCCAGCTGGTGAAATCTTAATTTCACCTGCCACTTCTGCTCACGTTGAGCTAAAGGCACAGCAAGCAAAAGAGGCGGAGGCGAAGCAATGTCGCATACAGAGACTAGGAGCAGCATGTGCCATAGAGAAACTGTGCAGCACTTTCAAAGAACACATCGTGGACAAGGTGGCTGTTTTCCAGCAACTGATGTTTGGCAAGGTTGAGCAGTTCGTAAAGGAAACGTTTGATTGGCAATTGGGATGCGTCCTGCCAGATTTAGGGGCATGCAATGAGCTTATTAGTTCTCTGCAACTGATAGAGACAGCCGCCCCTCATCTTCATGCTGCACTACATCCACAAATGTTCGGCCTGCTGCCACACCTTGGCTTCATCGTTTGTCATCCTCTTAAGGCAGTTCGTCACATGGCCGCCCGCTGCATTGCCGTTTTGGCCGAGATCGATGCCTGCCAGACTATGCAGTTTGTGGTACACGATTTGTTACCGCTACTTGGGAAAATTGAGCAGCTTATAGAGCGTCAAGGAGCAGTGGAAGCTATTGAACGAGTAGTTAGCCGCTTGCAAATCAAAGTTGTGCCCTACATCGTGCTGTTAGTAGTGCCTCTTTTAGGAGCGATGAGCGATCCGGACGAATCTGTACGACTGCTCTCCACCCACTGTTTTGCCAATCTCATTCAGCTAATGCCACTGGACGGAAAGGCGGAGCAACTGAAGAGCGAGCCGCTGCAGGCGCGCAAGACTCGAGACCGCGAATTCCTGGACTACCTTTTTAACCCAAAGAGCATTCCCAATTACCAGGTGCCGGTACCAATAAGTGTAGATCTACGCTGCTACCAACAAGCCGGCATCAACTGGCTGTGGTTCCTGAACAAGTACAATCTCCACGGCATCCTCTGCGACGACATGGGTTTGGGAAAAACCCTACAAACCATTTGTATCCTTGCCGGAGACCATATGCACCGACAATCAGCCAATTTGTCCAATCTGCCTAGTCTTGTCATTTGCCCGCCAACTCTGACTGGTCATTGGGTGTACGAGGTAGAGAAATTCCTCGATCAAGGATCCGTTTTGCGTCCTCTGCACTACTATGGATTCCCCGTGGGAAGGGAGAAACTAAGAAGTGAAATTGGAACGAGCTGCAACTTGGTGGTTGCCTCCTACGACACTGTACGCAAGGACATAGACTTCTTTAGCGGCATACACTTTAACTATTGCGTCTTAGACGAGGGACATATCATTAAGAACGGCAAGACAAAGAGCTCTAAGGCCATCAAGCGACTGAAAGCCAACCACAGACTGATTCTGTCCGGCACGCCCATCCAAAACAATGTGCTGGAGTTGTGGTCCTTGTTTGACTTCCTTATGCCAGGTTTCTTAGGAACCGAAAAGCAGTTTGTGCAACGCTTCTCCCGCCCCATCCTGGCTTCTAGGGATGCAAAGAGTTCGGCAAAGGAACAAGAAGCCGGTGTGCTAGCCATGGAAGCTCTGCATCGCCAAGTCCTGCCCTTCCTGTTGCGCCGCGTTAAGGAGGATGTGCTGAAAGACTTGCCGCCTAAGATTACCCAGGATCTTCTTTGTGAACTGAGTCCGCTCCAGCTTCGCCTCTACGAAGACTTTAGCAATAAGCACCTGAAAGACTGTTTGGACAAGCTGGGCGACTCGTCGACGCCAGCCATAGTGACGGAGAATCTCAGCGCCAAGACGCACATTTTCCAAGCACTTCGCTACCTGCAGAACGTGTGCAACCATCCCAAGCTGGTTCTGCGTCAGTCCGAGGAGCTCACTAAGGTGGCCAGTCAGTTGGCGCTCTCGAACAGCTCATTGGACGACATTGAGCATTCGGCTAAGCTGCCGGCACTGAAGTAAGTATATTTTTTAACTTTATGTTTATTTTTTTTACTTAAAAATGTTTTATTTCTTTCAACAGGCAACTTCTCCTAGACTGCGGCATTGGTGTGCAGACTGAATCGGTGAGCCAGCATAGAGCACTGATCTTTTGCCAACTGAAGGCAATGCTGGACATTGTAGAACACGATTTACTCCGTCGACATCTGCCCAGTGTAACATATCTGCGGCTAGATGGCAGTGTGCCCGCTTCCCAGCGCCAGGATATAGTCAACAACTTTAACAGCGATCCCAGCATCGATGTGTTGCTGCTAACTACTTTGGTTAGCATTGGAATACTTCTTAAGTTTCGAACACATTTTAAATTTGTATCTCTTTGTGTAGGTTGGTGGTCTTGGTCTCAATTTAACTGGTGCTGATACTGTCATCTTTGTGGAGCACGATTGGAACCCTATGAAGGATCTGCAGGCTATGGATCGAGCCCATCGAATCGGTCAGAAGAAAGTGGTTAATGTTTACCGGCTGATCACGCGCAACTCGCTGGAGGAAAAGATCATGGGTCTGCAGAAGTTCAAGATACTCACCGCCAACACTGTGGTGAGCGCGGAAAATGCATCTCTTCAGACTATGGGCACTTCGCAAATCTTTGACCTTTTCAACGGAGGCAAAGATCAGGGCGCAGTTTCTGGTTCAGCAGCGACAACCGGAGCAGCGTCGGGTGGCATGTCCATGAACACCATAATCGAAAACCTACCGGAACTGTGGTCTGAGAATCAATACGAGGAGGAATACGATCTTGGCAACTTTGTGCAGGCACTGAAAAAGTAGACTACTGCTTCCCACTCCAAGACTTCCAGTTTTAGGCTAAGTTGAAAATTTCAATTGCCCTCTGTTCCTTTATAATCGCAAAAAGAAGAGTTTAGAAATTTAAAATAAAAAAGTTAAAAAATTAATGATAGCTTGAATTATTAATGAATCAGCTGAGTTTGAAAAATAACCCAAAGATTGAATTAAAAATCTAAAAGATATGTTAAGTTTATAATTATTTCTTATTAGAGAATTCAATCCGATCGGAATGTTTTAGGAGTCCTATTCCGAAAATACGAAGTAAGCGTTCTGAATGTGAATTGTAGCAAATAGTGATGCATACTTTGCGGCTCAATGAAAATTATGGAATCTGAAAATCTGACAAGATTTCTAAGGGAAAGATCCTTTGACGAAAAAGTGCAGAGACCATTATTCAAAATTCAAAATATGTTGGTCCTAAATAGTCGCCCATTGTTCCGATCAATTCTTATCAGCTATGGTCAATACAAATGTTTGCCAAACAGAATTATGGTTTGAGTGCACAGTTTGTTTAGTAAATATTTTCTTCTGGCTCTCACAATAAGACACCTAATTTTACTCTTATCGAATGTTTGCTTTCCTCTCCCATCTAAATTCATTTTATTGACTAATGTGTTCATACTGTCACAACTTATCTGATCAGTTGAAATCGATTTAGTGTCTAATTTATCAGAGGACAGCTTGGAATATTTTCGGTTGTCCTCATTTGAGTTTACTCTGCTGTGACCCAAGTACCTTGAAATTTGATGGGGCTATCAGTGGTGTCAGGCCATTAAGAGTGCCTCAGCTAGTAAATATAGTTAGTTGACCTCTTACCACACATCATACACGATTTATTTTTCAATTTCGTTTCGTTCGGTTTTGTTTCATACGAATCCCGGGCTTATCTCTGCTCAGTCACGATGAAATGGCTATGGATTATGGCATATAGTACATATAGCACCCATATTATTTATGTCTACTCGGGGCGCTAAACGCGACCCGATCGTAATGAAGGCTGTGTTTCAATATTCCAAAACAATGATCCCTGCCAGCTTAAGAATGATTCGGTGCGTGGCACAGGATAGCCTTATCTCTGGCTTGTAGTTATGCCCGACTTCCCCTTTTTTTTATTATAAGAATTCCATTTAAATGGCCATTATTATGTTGTATTTAAAGGCCCAGCTCAAACAAAACAAAAGCAAAAGCCGAGCCGAGTCGAGTCAGAACCAGATAAGCTAAGATTTTTCTCCCGCTGCATATCACTGTGAGAAAACATTCAATTACTTCTAAATAACAAACAAACTTTTCCTTCCAACAATTCAAGAGAACAAAATTATATGATTTGATCTTTGATTTCAATCCTTATGATCATCCAGTTTTAAAATCAAAAAATTGAATATATTTTTCCCAGTGCATTATGTTTCTTCTCGCCCACTTACTCTGGCCTTTTATCTTTTGACCACAAGGCATCTTCCGGACTTTGCTACTGCTGTTGCTGCTGATAACTGGCAGCCCAGGCCAGCACCCGCACCCTTGCATCCTTATCGGTATTTCTCCTCTATTCGCTCCTCCCCGCATTGGTGACCCGCACCCTGTGGTAAGGGGCACCTCCTCCTTCTACTCCTCCTACTCGCTGGGTCGGATCTTCCTCAGCCCGTCGCCCGGCGCCGACTTAAAGTTTTCCACCAGGTTATTTACCTCCTTATCTCACCAGCATTGTTTTCGCCTCGTCACCCGCTCCTCGTTTCTGATTCGTTTAGTTTTATCAATGTTTCTGTTTGCAATATGTTTGTTCTTTGCTTTTTGTTATTGTTTCTTGATTGTGTTATCAATCCGCATGACGTCATAAGAACCGGCATTTTGTTATTTTAGAGGAATTCCTCGACACTTTTTTATCGTTTTTTTTGACACTTTTTTTTTTAAAGCAAACCAGACTCTTTGGCGTTTTCCTGGCGCATGTTGTTTATATTTTTTGCGTTTTAGTTGTGCTGTTTGAATTCATTGCCAGGGGAGTGAGCCAGATAAATAGGGTTAAGAGAGATAGACAAGGTCGTTTGCTAAACCTCACTATCAGTTCCTTAGAAAAAGAGGTGCCAGAGGTGTTGGAGGTGTTGGAAATATAAATTTGATTTTCAGAAGTTGATTCGGTTTCTTTATAATATTGTCCGATTACATATTGTTGTTATTCCTTAAAGATTAAATGAAAATGATTTAAAAGTAAATAAAATTAACTTATTTAAAATCTTCAATTTTGCAAGTTAGAAAGAAAAACCCCCTTTGAGTTGTTAAGTGAATTTAAAAAATTAGGTTTCAAACTATTTGCAGATCACTTTCTCCCAAAGGGAATAAGGTACCTCTACTATCGTATGACCATTCTGGGTCGACGATTACCTCCTGTTAATAAGAAACTTAATACCAGCGATAGTGGTAATCGGGTTGGATTCTCGATGTTGTCGTCACCAAATCAAAATCTGGCCAAACCAGACCAGATGATAAGGACTCGGGCGGATTCATATACATATGAGTACTCGCCAAGTCGGAGAGTTGCCCCGATAAGGATAGTCGCGCGACCAGCGCGTGATGCAACTTAATCAAATCGTGTTTTGGTATCGCCTTAGCTGCCTCTCGCTCTATCTGTGCCCGGTGGCGTCCTGCTCGCTCCCGTGTGTGGCGGGAGCCACATGGGAATGAAGGTGGTGGCGTCTGTGGGGCTGGGAATCGGGCCCGGCTCAGATAGCCATATCTTGGTCGGCGTCCAATCAGCGGAGAACCGGCGACAGCCAAACTACGCCAAAGTATACGTCGAGTACACGGCGCAATGAGTTCGACGGTTGCGTTGCCGATAATAAGTACAATCGTTACTTTGCTGTTGTTGCGTTTTTGAAAAGGTGATATGAATTGTGCTCTGATAAGTTTTAATCAAGAATATTTTACTCGCATTGCTTTGGGTGGCTCCGGGCCGAGTAGCATTTGAAAAGTTGTAGTAGTAGGTCGGAGCTCGGATGCGGGTCCGGTCGGGTCCACTCCCATCCCATCCAGCACACCGGTGCGGTTTCGTGAGTGGTGGTCGTGCCAGGCGATTATCACAGTGATCTGTTGGGCGTGAAACCAAAGAAAACCCATTTAGTCTGGAAAGGAAAAGAGAAAAAAACGCATAGGAAAGTTGCGCCGGCGCAAGGGAAATCCTTTAAATGTGTGTTTAACCACAAAAGCGACGTGAGTTTAACCAACATAATCGGCAGTCGGGCGCTTGGGAATGCCGTTCGCCTCAGCCTCATTGTTCCTCGAAAGAGTTGTGATCCGTCGGCGTGACCTGTGTGACACTTTCATTTGCCGGGTTAACGCCCCCTCGAAATCCGGTCAGTATCGAAACCGAAATTTAACGCTTGCTTAGCGCATGGGATCGCCAGATGCCCGTGGTTCGGTCATCATCGATGTAAACCACATGTGCCCAACGCCCCTCATAATGAGCGCAACGGATCAGAACACCCAATTTCTGGAATTCATGGGAATCTGCCCGGGGATCATTTTGGTAAGTTCTCGAGACTCGAATTGGTGGCATTTTGGCATAGGTTGTACTTAATTTAGTTTGTCATAACTAAAAAAACAAAATATAAATGTAAATATGAATAAGTCACAGAAATTACTCATTAATAGTCATCATTTGGTATGTGCCAGCAGTAATTTTTGGAATGCGTTGAAGAACGCTTAGGATATATGTAAGTAATTTTAGAAATAACTAAAAAACAAAATCTAAAACCTTGGTCCAATGGTTATTCCCAACTTCCAAGGCATATACATAGAGTAACTTAACCAAAAAAGATAAACAAAATGCAGCCAAGTAAAGGAAGACTGAGAGAGAGAGAGAGAGAAAAAGGAAAAGTAGGGAAAATTATGACGATTACATGAAACCAGCATGACGATCAACGAACCCAAAAAGCACAAAACTCTGGGTCCCGTCCATCGTGAGGGGTGGGGCATTGCCTTTCAGCTCCAGGCAGTGTCACCCAACAAGTGGCCATATATGTACTTTTCCATATACAATTTAAATTGTGCCCATGTCTATATATATATATATATATATATATATATATATACATATATAGCGGTTGGAACGGCAGAAAAACAAAATGCGAGGCAAATGCTGGAGCTCGTTCCTTAGTACCGCTTCCACCGCGCCACTTGGCTTGGATCCTACAATTTGCCTCTGCGGTCGTTGAGTTGCGGCGACGACAACAACGACGGCCTTATCAACAGACCCCATTACAACAACAACAACATATACTGTACATATATATGTATGTCGGGAGGGAAAAAAATAAAAAGAAATACTTATTCAAGAAAAATAAGCATTTAAGAAAAGAATTCCAAAACAAAAGAAATAAATGTAGTGCGGCTTTATACTATATACTGTATACCCATAAATTTATACACACTCATGACTTCCTGCCATAGGTCAGCCATATTGAAAATTAATTATATAGAAAATAAAACAAAAAACAAAGAAAACAAGAATCATACATATTATAGGCAAGCAAATTCTCGCATTTAACCGACAATTGCCTTTTGCTGTTCAGGCAGTGATTTTCCAAGGAAAGCCTGAAGGGTGTCCACACTACCCACTGACACGTGCATCTCTATAAGCGAAATGCATCTGCAAACAGACGACGGGCTCTACATTTGGGGTACCATGGAGGAAACCGCGACGACAAACACCGCAAAAAAAATAAAACGAAAACCAAAACCAAAACGAGGACAAACAACCAGACGGACGGACAGTCACATACAGTCATTAAACATTAAAATTGTAGTATAAAAGGAATTTTTGTGAAATTCCGAAACGCAAACAAAATGCACGGCAAACAACAATCGGCCAAAGACAAGATACAAGACACTCGTGTTTGTCTTAATTGTTAATTGCTCTGGCCACGTCCCAGTCCCTGTTCCTTTCCCTGTTCCCAATTTCAGTTCGAGTTTGAGTCCCAGTTCCCTGTACGTTCTGTACACATATCCACATCCCACAGAGTGCGCCAAAGTCTAGGAAAAACCGCACCTACTCCATATAAACAGAGAGTTGCAGAGGATGAGCTGTATCCGCGCGCGTGTCTCTTAACTGGGTCTTCAA